CCATTCCATAAAATCGCCCGAAATCGGTGATGGTACCCCTTTGGAATTTGGCAAAAATGGACCCGGAACAAATATGAACAAATCTGTGCTTAATAGACTCAATGGACGGCGGAGGATAGACTCACGCTGAATCCTTGATCCGTAGCTTTCAAAATACAAGGAAAATGGCCTTTCGAAAAAGCGCGCGTAAAATTACGAAAATGCCCCCCGTAATTTTTTTGCCCAAATTGGCGATTGATTGACTTCATCGTCGGTGGAAAATAGCCCCAGTCCTCCTCAGGCCGAATTCGTAACTTGTACCCTCCAAAATTCAACGAAAATGGTCTTCCAAAAATCGCCCGAAATCGGTGATGGTACCCCTTTGGAATCTAGCAAAAATGGACCCGGAACAAATATGCCCAAATCTGTGCTTAATATACTCAATGGTCTGCGAAGGATAGACTCACGCTGAATCCTTGATCCGTAGCTTTCAAAATCCAAGGAAAATGGCCTTTCCAAAAAGCGCGCGTAAAATTACGAAAATGCCTCCCGGAATTTTTTTGCCCAAATTCGCGATTGATTGACTTTTTCATCGGTGGAAAATAGCCCCAGTCCGCCTCAGGGCGAATTCGTTACTTGTACCCTCCAAAATCCAACGAAAATGGTCATTCCATAAAATCGCCCGAAATCGGTGATGGTACCCATTTGGAATCTGGCAAAAATGGACCCGGAACAAATATGCCCAAATGTGTGGTTAATAGACTCAATGGACGGCGAAGGATAGACTCACGCTGAATCCTTGATCCGTAGCTTTCAAAATCCAAGGAAAGTGACCTTTCCAAAAAGCGCGCGTAAAATTACGAAAATGCCTCCCGGAATTTTTTTGCCAAAATTGACGATTGATTGACTTAATCATCGGTGGAAAATAGCCCCAGTCCGCCTCAGGCCGAATTCTTTACTTGTACCCTCCAAAATCCAACGAAAATGGTCATTCCATAAAATCGCCCGAAATCGGTGATGGTACCCCTATGGAATCTGGCAAAAATGGACCCGGAAAAAATATGCCCAAATCTGTGCTTAATAGACTCAATGGACGGCGAAGGATAGACTCACGCTGAATCCTTCCGTAGCTTTCAAAATCCAAGGAAAATGGCCTTTCGAAAAAGCGCGCGTAAAATTACGAAAATGCCCCTCGGAATGTTTTTGCCCAAATTGCCGATTGATTGACTTCATCATCGTTGGAAAATAGCCCCAGTCCGCCTCAGGCCGAATTCGTGACTTGTACCCTCCAAAATCCAACGAAAATGGCCATTCCATAAAATCGCCCGAAATCGGTGATGGTACCCCTTTGGAATCTAGCAAAAATGGACCCGGAACAAATATGCCCAAATCTGTGCTTAATAGACTCAATGGACGGCGAAGGATAGACTCTCTGAATCCTTGATCCGTAACTTTCAAAATCCAAGGAAAATGGCCTTTCCAAAAAGCGCGCGTAAAATTACGAAAATGCCTCCCGGAATTTTTTTGCCCAAATTGGCGATTGATTGACTTCATCATCGGTGGAAAATAGCCCCAGTCCGCCTCAGGCCGATTTCGTGACTTGTATCTTCCAAAATCCAACGAAAATGGCCATTCCATAAAATCGCCCGAAATCGGTGATGGTACCCCTTTGGAATTTGGCAAAAATGGACCTGGAACTAATATGCCCAAATCTGTGCTTAATAGACTCAATGGACGGCGAAGGATAGACTCACGTTGAATCCTTGATCCGTAGCTTTCAAAATTCAAGGAAAATGGCCTTTCGAAAAAGCGCGCGTAAAATTACGAAAATGCCCACCGAAATTTTTTTGCCCAAATTGGCGATTGATTGACTTCATCATCGTTGGAAAATAGCCCCAGTCCGCCTCAGGCCGAATTCCTGACTTGTACCCTCCAAAATCCAACGAAAATGGCCATTCCATAAAATCGCCCGAAATCGGTGATGGTACCCCTTTGGAATCTGGCAAAAATGGACCCGGAACAAATATGCCCAAATCTGTGCTTAATAGAATCAATGGACGGCGAAGGATAGACTCACGCTGAATCCTTGATCCGTAGCTTTCAAAATCCAAGGAAAATGGTCTTTCGAAAAAGCGCACGTAAAATTACGAAAATGCCCCCGAAATTTTTTTGCCCAAATTGGCGATTGATTGACTTCATCATCGGTGGATAATAGAGCGTCGTGTACCATTTAAGTTTTCTAAAGAGGCGTGCATCCACTAATTAGAAGAATCAATGGGAAGAAGGGGAACCGTTGAAGATGGAGGAGGAGATAAGTGGTACAGGTGGTATTGCGAGCGTCGAGGTTGAAGCGCTTGCCAACAGGGGAACCGGCGAGTGCGACGGCATAGTTTATTACCTCAAGAACGATGGCCTAGGGGCCATTTGCGGCCGGCGGTGTGTGGAGAGGTGGAGGAGGGTTTTCGATCAAGTGGTCCAAGAGGCGCCCCCTGAAAATTCGTGAATTTCATCGATTGATGAGGCGGCGAGAAGCGTACTCCCGATGTTGGAGTCAACAGGAGGATCTAGATTCGGAGGTGAGAGAGGGCTTAGATTGGGTGTTCCAGGAGGGGCAGCGAGGACGTGTTTTGGTGCGAGCTTCCGCTGCAGTTCTTGAAGGAGGCTCATGGCGAGTATGAGCTTTTGGTTGTCTAATTACACCAAGTTATTGAAGGAGCCTGCTTGGAGCTCCGACGGTGGCGACTTCTGCTTGGAGCTCCCAAAACCCTGAGCTCTACCCGTATAGATCCTGAAAACTTTTTCCTTGACATGAGCATAACTGAGAGACCGATTTGCTTTTGGGTCGTGCACCAGTAGCGACTCCAATAGGAAATTTTGGGTAGAAGAAGATGTTTTTTTTTGTTTTGGAATTGGGATGGTTTCATTTGGGGTTTTCATTTAGTTAGGCCAAGTAGGGGTGGGAAACAGTGCGGTCCAGACAAGACCATAAAACACGGTCTGTGGTCCATACCGATTGGTCTAGGTATAAACCAAAGGGTCGAACTCATTGTTATATTAGTGTTCTACCAATACACTACTACAACAATTTCAAGTTTAAAAGAAAACATAAGTTGATTTATTACACTATAAACAAAAATTTCAATTAAAGTACACACAAAAAAGTTGATATCTCATGACATTATTATTAGACAACAGTTTGTTGGGTATTATCAATGATGCTATGATTGATGTGATATTTGTTGGATTGAAAGGAATTGATAAATTATATCAAGCAATGTTGAAGATAAAAGTGCATGAGTCAATATCCGTCAGTTTATTTTCTTGTGAACCTAGTTTGATGCTACATGTTGCAACTGCAAGGGTAGAAATAACACTTTGAGCTTGAGCTATACTAAAAACAACTTTGAAGTCGAATTGTCGACCTGTTTGCTAATGTGATTGTTTAGTTATTAAAAAAGAGTTACTTAAGTTTCGACAACGGATGCATTTTGTGTTTCTTTCATAATATGAAAAAGATTAGAGGTTGTTTATGAAATCAGTAATTGTATTAGTCGGATATTTTTTATTATCTTTGAATGAATTATTTGGATATTATTAGTTGTAAATAAGGATTGAAATACCGTACCATACTAGCAGTTCGACCAAAAAACCTTTACCGTAGGTTAAATCGGTATGCGATATTTAGCGATTATGAAGCGATTGAACCACGGTTAAACCACGATTTTAGCATAAAATATCCTATCGCTGACATTTCCTGTACAACTTCTGGCACGGTATTTCAATCCTTAATTATATTATTAAATAATCATATATATATTTATATTATGGAAAGATGACACATGTACTTTCGAATCCTGACTTCGCCACTAGTCACGGTGTTTGTAAAATCGAGAGAAAATATGCAAGATTTGAGATCTAAAAAATATATGTTACTCTCTTTGTCGTGTTCGGGGAAAATCTACCCAAATATAATATAGTTTGAATTTTTCCCGAATAGACCGATTCGGATTTTAATAGGTAATGGGTTATTTTGCCACCCAAAACTGTTTACATGAATCTCAAGTAAAAAATGAGTATTGATCAGCATTTGAACTCGCAAATTCTTAATTTACGTCCATCATCAGATTAAGAATTTGCGTCAATCATCATATTGAGTGGACCGATAATAGTGTATAAGTTACGAGAATGTTAAAGGAAATAGTATATCACTTTATTTCATGTAATTTTCATTGAAAATTATTTCATATCACAAAATAATTGTTAACTGAGTATATATGATTTCCAAATCAGAAGCCAACACAACTATAGAACGCAAAAAAAAAAAAAAAAAAAAAAAAAAATCAGAAGCTTGGCCTTTTTGCCTTTTGTTGCCCCGCCTAAATCAACACTTATTATACAATCAAAGAATAAAATCCACAAACAATTAAACAAGCAATTATGCAAAGTAATTCATCGTTTAACTATATACGACATCAGTTTCTACGTATAAATATCTGCTTCTCATTCTCGATCTCAATCAAACTATCGATTACGATATCCGTCGCATTCGTCACCACATCCGACCAATTCCTGCTCCAATAAACAAATGAGATAATTAAGAATATTGTGTGCAATAGAATGATATTAAAAATTCATTGATAATTTAGTGAGTTGCATGATTAATGTCAAGGTGCGCTAGCGTAAGGCAAGCGTTTGCCTATCGCCTAACTCATTTAGGCGTAGATTAAGCGTGCCTAAACGTTGGAAGAAAAATAGTTATTCGTACCGCATGATAAATGAAATAATAATCCACAACACTACCTCACTTTAGTTACAATGATTGATAACTTACTCAACACTTAATGACAAGAACATAGCTCACGCAAACTCATAGAATCATAGCTCAATAGCTCACAAAGTTCTTCAGCTATTGAAAATATTGATATAGAAAATTGATTTCGTAGTTGATTGTTAATTTTTCTCCTTTAATATTGACTTTCTAGCTTCATCTATTAATGGTTAGAAGATACTTATATGTCGACTTATTCCATTAACGTATTCCAGTATCTAATTAGACGCGAAACCCCTACGTACCCTTTGGTGGAGTCGAAATCAAGGCCCACGGTGTACTTGGCCTGCTCAAGCGCCAAACTGAACCTCCTCATCTCCTCCTCGGAGTACAGCATCCCCTGCCGCCAGGCCACCGTCGGCGGCACGCGGAGCTCCGACGGCTTGACGTCGCAGAAGATGGGGATCACCTTCTTCCGCGACTCCATCATGAGGGCGAGCTCGTGGAGGCAGAAGTAGGACTCGCAGTAGCGCGGCGAGAAGACGGCGACGCCGACCTTGCACTGGCGGATGGCGCGGTTGATGTTGTCGAACAGCTTGTCCCCAGGCTTCATGCTCTTGTTGTCGAGGAACGGACGCAGCCGCAGCCTCGCCAGCTGGTCGTACAGCAACGTCACCACCGTCCGCTTCGTGTCGATCCCTCGGTGGTTGATGAACACGTCGCACGTCGCGGCCCGCCTCACAGCCGCGGCGTTGGGCCCGGATTCGTGCTGGATTTGGGCCAGGAGCTTGCGCTGCATGGACTGGATTGGCAGGCGGTTCATGGTTTTGGTGTCGAGTGGCGGCGGGTGATTGTGTGTTTTTTAGCTGGTTAGTTTGGTTGTTGGTAGGTGTTTTTTTGTTTGTGTTGTGTGTGTTTGGTGTTGTGAGTGGGATTTATATATAGGAGTCGGCAGGAAAGGAAGGAATACTAGGTTGAAAGTTTTTGTCTTTGTATGAGTAAAAAAGAAAAAAAACATTCGAATGAGGGACCAAATATCGGGAGGTCAGACAAAGATCGATGCTGGTCTTAGAGTTGAATGACTGTTGGTTTTGGGTTCTGTTTGATTTGTGCTGACTCTTTGAGTCTTTAGACTGCTTCTTCTTGTGTAATTTTCAGGAAGATTACAATAGAGAGAAACAACTTGTAACCCTACGGAAAAATGTACGTCTAGTTTCAATAACTCTGAATTGTTAAGAGACGTTTGTGTTTCTGATACTTAACAACTTTCTTATACGTCTCCTCGAATTAATAAAAGCCAGCTCATGGGAGTGAAGTTTGCATAAGTCCACCATATCGCATGTGGTATAAGGACAGTTGATATTCAGGGGGCCGTGAGCACTTGAACAACTCTGATACCCATGTAATAAACTAATTAATCTCGATAGCTCGAGTTGTTGAAAATTATAGTTTTTTTAACGATCACATATCAACATTCATGTAGTGTGCAATCTTACTTATTGTATGAGCAAGCCCAGTTTTTTTCGCACAATTCTAAGAAAAACCATTTTTTCACTTCGGTAACCCCGGTCGTGCATAGAGATCGTACTTCGGTTTCCATTTTTTTGCTGAAGGGCTCATCGTGCATGAGAGTTTGAATTGTTAAAGGGAATTGAAAGGGAAGTGAAAATCAAGGCTGACTGACTGATAAAAAGTAATGAAGATGGAGCTCAAAGTAAAGTTATCAATCAAGATCAGCGCGTGTATATGGTGATGTTGATAGTTGGGAGGAGTTGGAAGAAAGACGAGGGTTTGACCTGCCAGTATTGTCTGTGTACGATTTGGGTGGGGGGGATTTGGGATTGAACCCTTCAAATACGCTAGTGTCGGAGACAGCAAGAAAGCAAGGACTTCCACAAAACGTATTGTCTTGTTATTAATGTTTGATTCAAAAAAGCACCTACAGTACAAAACAATATGATTTGTGGAAAACAAAATACACGGGCCGGGCTGGGTATGAACCAAAAGCACACTTGTCTCAGTTGTCTGGGTAACTCGTCATCGGGGAATGTTAGGCACATTTTGAAGGTTGTTTTGACTAGTTAGCTAGGAGCCTAGGACTAGGAACTATTCCTCTTCTTCCCATGAAAAAAATACACTCGTTTGATCTGGAATTAATTTGGACTGCAGTCTGTAGATGATTTTTTTTTGTCTTGCCAATGCATGTTGAGGTTATTTAGTTATACTTATTCTAGTGCTTTTTATGGACGGGTGCATTCGTTACGATAAATCTGAATTGAATCGCTATGAACCAAATCAGTAAACTATTATGTTTGTATTTGGGTTCAAAGAATCAATTGTGTGTGCTGACTGACCAGTAATTGATATTTACTTTGATTTATTTTGAACCGAACAATTAGAGCATTAACAACCAAAATCTAATTCCCCAAGCCCATTTGCCCCACGGCCCACCAGCCCGCCCGCTGCCATCCCTTCCCCACTCTCAGTCTCAAGTTGGCCTCAACTCAAGATAAGTCGGGGCTTATGGCCCTGCCAAAAAGATCGTAAATGATTCAGTATCGTACATATTGAAAGAAGAAATCCCCCAACATAGCCGATTACTGTACATCAAGAGTGCTTTTACTGTCCACCAAGACTCATGTGTACTGTTTCAACTCGGCTGCGGATCCAGTGTGGGGAGGTGCAGGGGGCTTCCGGTTTGATCCTGACTGAACTTGGTGGTTTGGTTGCATTTGGACCGTAGTTTACCTTCTGGTTGGGCTTCTTTGATTTGTCCCAAGCATGCGTTGGTCGCACTGCAACTTTGTAGAGCCTCTGTTTGTCCTTTCCCCGATGAGGTGACATCTTCCTTTCCTTTCAAGGACTTTTGCGCAGCCGGTTAGAGGTGAGCTCAACTGCCTTTTGCCCTTGCATAGAAAAAGGAATGAACAGACTGACAGTGACTTTGACGGGACTGGAAGAGTCTGATAGTGGTCAGAGATTGCCTGTGGGCTGAATACAGTCTTGGGGTTAGAGTGGTGCTTTGAAGGGACTGATAGTAGGGGGTTGCTGATGGAGACTAAATTAATCCAGAGAGAGAGAGAGAGAGAGAGAAGGGAGAGGTTAGATGCAAATTAATAGCCTCTTATATTTTCCCTACCACACACATTACCTGCCGGCGCGGTGTCCAATGGAGGTGATGCTGATCGTTTTTCCTCTCAATTAGATTTAGTCGCGAGTGGGGAGAGGCTCAGAGGCAAAAAAATAGTTTCATCTGCCTTATTTCTATGCGCGCTCATTTCCTTCTCTCTCATATCTTCTTTGTTCAGCAGTTTCTAATTTCTCTCTCTTTGTGTGTTGCAGAGGGGCTGGCGATTGGAATCAGTTCGTCTTTGGAGTTTCTGGTGCTTATGCATGGTGGATGCAACACTGTTGTGCAATCTTAGGTACGGCATCAGTAATTATGCGGTAGTTTCCAAAGAAACTAGATTGTCCTCCAATCGCCCCATCTCGGTTTCATGTTCCTCTTTTTTTTTCTCTCTCTCTATTTGTCCATTAGATGCGATTGAAGGGCTCAGTAGCCACAACCTGGCGACTCGGTTATCATCGATGGTCATCCTCCTGGAATCGAACAGAATAGTAAGCTCTTTATACTTACCATTTCTATCTTTGTTTTTCCAGTCCCTTATTTGCGATCAGCTGAGGGTTTTGAGAAGAACCATATTTGTGGGTTCTCTGGTCTGTGGTGTTTTTACTGCAATTTTTTTTCTTAGTAGCTAGGTTGCCACTGGTGATTCCTAGCTTCATACTTACGTCATAGTTTTAGCACCAGTCATAGATCCATTTCCCTTAGATACTATCTAGGATAATTGCTCTGTTGGTTTCATCTTTTTATGAATGCATTTAGATTAGTTTTTGTCTTTGCTGCTTGCGCATCGTAATTTTCAACTCCATGATGCATTCATCTATTTCACTACTTTATGGTTTGCGAAATTAGGAAGCTCTATGATTTGGCTGTTGCCCCATAATTTATTTATGTTGAATAAACCTACTTTCAGAACCATATTGGTTAACCCTTGGAGTAAATAACATCCCCTTTGTGCCCTTGCTTCATGGATCACCTAATGGGGAATTTTCTTTGAATCTACTCATTTTGGTTGCCTAATATTACTATATTTGGTTGTCAACTCCCTTGCAGATTCGGCAGGTTGAAGTTGTGGGGGTTTATACCCCTTCCCTTCGCTCACTGGGCATCGTGGTGACCGCCATACACTTTAACTTTTAATGAAAATGGTATCAGCTTGCGGCATTACTTCTTTCTTTGTGGTGCATCCGTAATACTTGGTATCTTCTTTAGTCCCTTTTTATTTCTGTGCATTGGTTATTTGCAGCTGCAGGGGGTGACACTATGTAGAATGTGTGTTGTCATTTCTGGTATTTTGGTAAACGGGTTACATTTGCAAACTATGTACATATTCTTTGTTCAGTTATTGCTTTTTCGATTATTCTGATGGAATTCCTTATAAACATTTGTGTTGACCACAAAACTAGATTGTGTGGTTACTTTTTAAAATATATGTTACACCAGATTTGTAACCTTTCCTACAACCTGATCCCAAAATATAATATCAGATTATGTCCCGTTTTGATTCTGGAATTTAGTTATGTTCTTGCTGTTCTTTCCATGTTCTTCGTCAAATATAGCCAGGTGTGGAGATTGATCCATCAACTTCAAAAAATAGGAACAAAAGGTGTTTATTGGTGAAACGGTTATGTTCGGGTCGTTCAGTTAATAGGGCTAAAAACTTAAAATTGGGTGGTTGTAGAAGAGCCCAAATAAACGGTGGACCCAAAAATTGATTACAGCACACTCTCCCTTTTTCTGAATAAATAAATAAGAAGTGTACCCAATTCAATTTTATACCATTACCATATTTGATTGGGACTCATCCATAAACCAAACACAAAAATGACTTTCATCAGTTTCATGTCCATCCCACGGAAATAATTACATTTAAGAATGCGCACATGTAAATCTAATTGGAGAAAATCAGAAGAAACCTGAAGTGTATCAAATTATATCAATATAACAATTCTATCATAACAACAAAATCCCTTACATTTATCTCAAGTCCCAGCGCGGAGCGCGGGCAATGAGAACTAGTAAATTAGATAAAGGTGTAACACGAATACCTAAGTGTAAAAAAAGCATGGTCCATGAAACCGTATCGGATATCATACCGGAAAATTCAGCGGTATGATATTTTATGGCTAAATTACACGTTTGGTCACTCGAATTATATAAATCTTTCATGTTTGCCACCCGAATTACTTTTCTTTCTTATTGGCCACTAACTTTACAAATCATTTCATTGTTAGTCACCGACTGTTAGTCTCCGTTAGACTCCGTTAACTCTGTCAATTTTTTGATGACATGGCAAACAGAAATGTTGACTAGACAATTGACTTAATAACATGTCAACTTAAAAAAATAAAACAAATTGTTAATTAACACCTCATCCTCTCCCTCCGCATTTCGCAAGCTGCTTCTACCAAGGTCGAGACAGCCATCCACTCTGAGCTCTCGCCGGCTTCTTCTCGCCGGAGTTCCCCAATGCGTCGCTTTCCCCGTCGATATGGGAACCGATGATGGATTGGAAATTGTTTCTCATCGATTCGGCCATGTGCGGAGAGCCGGAGATCATAAAAATATTCGATTAAATTTGTTTGGTTGATTGATTGTGGGCTTGAAAATAAAAATTGACATTTACCAGCACCGGCAAATTGAATCTCCAGTTTCCATTTTGTTTTGAGGTGAAATATTAACATTTTGGGCTTTTCGAAGATCCGATTATGCAGGGGTGAAACCCTTCTCAAAGGAATAAGATCAAGCCGGTGAATCTCGACGCCGCCGTCTCTACCTTCCTCAACGATAATGTCGTAGAGAGAAGAACCCAGATGGTGGCTGTCAATAGACGTTCAATCCTTCGCCGAAAATCGCCTAGATCTAGAGATCTGCTCCACTCTACCGGAAATAATCCAGCCTAGAGATCCCTTCCTCTCTCTTCTTCGTCGGTGAAACCCAGAGTTTGAAATCAATAAATTTCTACACTCTCAAGATGCCCCCTAGTAGTCGAACCGACGCTTGGTCTTCTCGATGGTGGCTTTGATCGCCATGGCGGGAGCGTTGAGCTTCAGCGACAACTCCATCTTCTTCAGGGACAGCTTCTCCCGATTGGCAAACTGACTACTTGCACGGGGTGTGGCTGGAGATGTCGGCAACGGGCGGAGCGGGGCGAAGAGAAGGATCGAGGAGAAAGCTAGGGCGGCAGAGAAGACCTTGAGAGGCGAGGAGGTGGCGCGTGTGGAGTTGTTGTTGAGGGTGTCTTGGAGGCAGAGCATACAAGCCGATGAGGCTTTTACATTCTGATGGCTGAAGAGATTGGGAAATGGAAAGTAGTGGAGGAGAGGGAGGTGGGAATTTGATGGAGAGGAAGGGGATAATTTGGGAAAGGGAAGTTGTTAAGGTGGAACTTGGAAGGATTGATTGAGGATGAATCATGATTTTTTTATTTGTATTTTTTAATAATAAATTACATATTCTGTTAGTACAGTCAGGACTCAAGAGTTCTGTTTGCCATGTCACCAAAAATTTAATTGAGTTAACGGAGTTTGACGGAGCCTAACGGTCGGTGACTAACGATGAAATTATTTATAAAGTTAGTGGCCAATAAGAAAGAAAAGTAATTCTGGTGGTAAACGTGAAATATTTATGTAATTCGAGTGACCAAACGTGTAATTCAGCCGATATTTTATGATAAAATCGTGGTTTTACCGTAGTTGAACCGTTAGACCGTTAAATACCGCCTACCGATTTAGCCTCCGATACTGGTATTTCGTGGTTGAACCGTCAGTACGGTATGGTTTCATGACCATGAAAAAAAGTCTTTACAATTTCCAAGGAAAACATATAGAAGATGGCAGAAGCCCCCCTGGAGGAGTTCTGAAGCTCAACATTAGAGAGCAAATTTTGTCCTTGGCTTTGCTCGAAGTGAGAAAGGTTGCTGCGATGTGGAGGAAGTGGAGGCGACGCGAGCCCCTAGAGCAGCGGCAGCCTAATTCTGTAGCTCACCAATTAGCACATATATTTCTCGGGCTGGGATTCTTCTCTAGTGTGGGCCGAAAGACAGCCTTTTGTGATGGTTTGGCCGTTTGGGCCCTTGAACCTCTTTAACGAAACAGATCCAGATTTCCATAAAATAAAAGGAAAATAACAGGGAAAGCAAAGGTAACAAAACAAAAATATTCGTAATCGTGAATGTCCACCCGAATGTCCGACATAATTGGATAGGGTAAAATTCGAATCCAAAGAATTTTTAGTGGATACGGATAAAACTCGAACTCAAATATTGCGGATAATGGGTGAATATGATCTTCTCACGCTCGATTATACACATACATAAAGTATTTTTTCTAGAAATAATCATTATTTTTCTCTAACATATTTATATTTAACATATAAATATAATATTTTCATAAAATTATGTTGCTTTAATTAATTTTCTTCATTCTAGTGAATTATTATCGTACTTTTACATTCTTCTTATGCAGTGTAAAGTTCCGAGAATTTGTTCCAATCACAAACAGTGTAGGGAGTGTAAAGTTGAATGACTATTTTGTTAAGAATCGCAATTTTGTCACCCAAAAAGTTAAGCGACCATTTACACAATTGACCCTAACTATAAGATGACAAGCGAGGAAGGAAGGGCAGACCGCAGAACTCTCTCGGTCTCTCCATTCCCCACAGTTTCACACCGTCGCTGGTTCCCCAAATTGTGAATCGTTGCTTGTGCATGGTTCCCGATTCCTCTTTCTCCCGACATTGCTAAGGAGCTCCAGGTACGAACTCATCGTTGTCTTCTAATTAGCGCTATAGCTTACTGTCGTAGTACTGTCCTGCAACCCTAGTTTCTCACCTGGATTTCTTCATATCGCGCTTCTTTACCATGCCATTGTTTACTTCGATTCCTTAGAAGAGGCGGGTTGCTGAGCATAACCCAGTATGCAGATTGTAGCATGCCTATCTTTCGTGATTTCACAATTTATAAATGATTGAACTTTACTATTCCCTGGTTATGATTCTTGTGATTTCAAATGTTTTGGAAAAAAGGAGGACGACAATGGCTGGGAATTCTGGAGAGTCCAAGAAACTCAAGAGGAGCCATGCAGTTGACAGGCTAAGCCATCTTCCTGACAATGTTATCCATCACATTCTCTCATTCCTTGACACCAAATCCTTGGTCCGAACTAGCCTTCTGTCGAGGAAGTGGAGATCTTTGTGGAAACATGTTCCCGCCCTCAATGTCCTCCGTAAGTCCTTCCCTAACTTGTTGAGTTTCACAAAGCACATAGGCAGGATCTTGGCTACCCGCTACCGCAGTATCCCTGTGAGCAGCATTACCTTCGACTTATGTGGAGATAAGTGGCCAGGTGCTGTGAAAATATTTGAAAAGATCATGAAATATGCCGAATCTCATGGGGGTGGTGGTGGTCTTCACCATCTGTCCATCGTCGATGATGAAATGCATTTCCTCACGAGAGATGTGATCAATGTAATCACAGCTTCTCGTCATAACGAATCGCTCAAGACACTCAAGTTTGAGAGATGCTGTCTCCAATGTGGTGAATTTGATATGGACTTCAAATTGCTTACAACTCTTGAACTGCAGAATTGTATCCTGCAACATAACTATACAGTGGAGTCCTTCGATCCGTTTGGTAATCTGCCTTGTCTTAAATACCTGAAGTTAATTGGATGCGGTGTATATTGTGAAGACACTGGGTTGAAAATATCGGGACTTGAGTTGCTTGGCCTTGAAATTGAGAGTTCAAACTTCTACGGTGGTTATGAAGTGATTGCTCCGAAGCTCAAAGCTTTATATCTAAGGAATACGAACCATCATCCTTATCTCCCCAAGTTGAATCTACCTGCTCTCGATCATGCAAACATCCGTCTTAGTTGGCACATATCATACGGTAATGCAGCATCAGAAGAGGATCGCGCATTTATGAATTTTTTGGGTAGTCTGCGGAATGTAGAGTCTCTCCAGTTACGTTTCGACAAGGTACGAACTGTCTGCTCTTTTCAAAGAACATTAAGCAGTTTCATTAATGCAAATGTCAGCTTACATGAAAGGATGATAGCTGCTTACATACTGACGCCGCTTCAGAATTGGCAGTGTTGGTTCGTGTCTTCCTATTTAGGCAATATCCATAGTTTGGTTTTGATACATTATTGTGTTTTCATATCAGGCCAGGAATATTATTGGGCAAGAAGACCACTTTCCTCTTAACAGAATCAAGGCCTTAATAAAGCCCGAGGCCCCTCCTTTTACCAGGTTGAAGACCTTGAGGTTACAATGCGTGGGTCTAAAGAAACTGCCAAACATACATTATGAAGTGATCCGCTATTTTTTTGAAGGCTCTCTTAGTACGGAAGAAAGGGTCGTTAAGCTTGAGCTGGTTACTCAAAAGCAGACCTAATTCTTCCAATGGTGTCAAAACTAGTAATAGTCATATTCTCAACTTGAATGCATGGCAGCCATGATCCAAGGACGAGAGAAATTGAATGATGAATTGCGTTGCTGTTAGTCCAGTCATCCCGAAATGTTTATTTTGCGACTTTCCGCTTGGGTGGAATGCACAAAGTGTGTCTGACTTTGTGCTAATCTGTGTTCATGAAGGTTGGTACTGTGTAGGTAAAGCATTGACTTAGGAATCTAGGGATGTTTGATGGTGGCATGCTTATTTTTTGCATTCTGTTCATTAACCAGACACAACCATGCTGAAATAGCAGCCACTTAAAGAACTTCTGCTACTTCTGTCTAGTCTCTTCTGCATTATTGACCCAGGATGCAGGGGGAAATAGATGGTGCAGTGCTCGAATGTGTAAACCAAGTCTACTACTGCTTCCTTTCTGATTATCAGTAAGGAACTCAGTGAGCATATGATTCAGTGGGATCCTTTTGTTTTGTTTTATATTTTCCCTTCAAGCTGAGAAGTGCGGCTCTATTCTTGTTAGCTTTGGGAAATGGTTGGTTTCTTCTAGTGATGTTGCTGCATTCTTAGCTGGTGAAATTGGAACCCCAGAAGGTTGAACTGAAATCTTAACCCGGACACCAGAGCTATCGAGGGAAACAGAGTCGTTTCCACATACACCGAGTTAGTTGCGGTTAGTGGAGTTCGTTAGTCGGTTACACGAGTAAGGGTTGGTAACTTGGTATATATGTAAACCAGACTTGACATTTTCAGTTATGGAGTTTCGAGTTCCTCTTTCCAGCTTCTCTTTGTTCTTCCTTGATACTACATTCTCCTCTCATCAATCTATGAATTTGACAAGAGACTTAAGATTGTAACGTGATGTCCGACGAGTTCTTCACTACATTCACTTTCCGATTATATCTTGGAACGAAATTGTTCAGAATTGATTGATTTTTATCAAAATAGTCCTTTTATAGGGTCACAAAAGCGTTCATTTTTAGAATTGATTGTCAAACGTGATCACCTTTTCTTTCCATGGATCCTTGATCAGCTCAAAATCAACAACCCTAAAAGCCACACGGACTTCTACGGCAATGCAGTCTTTTAATTTCTCAATCTTGCTTGGCCATATCCTCCACCATTCTCGCCCATTGGAGCTCCGCCACTTTACCTCCCGCAGGGAAGCGATGATCTCGTCGGGAAGTCGCGCTCCTGCTGCGAACTTGGCTTCCCCCTGATGCTGCTTGCTGCATCCTCCAAGTACTTGCCGAATCGCTACCCGTCGTTTTGAGGTAACAGAGAATAGTGTCGCCTCATCTGCCATTTGCTTCTTCCTCATCTGCCACAGTGCCACTTGCTTCTTCGCCTCCGGTGAGCCGAGGAGTGTGACACTGGAAACTTTAGCGCCAAGCCGACGGTCACCGCCGGTTGAAAGTCGGTTAAGTTTGGCAGACCGGTATGTCATTTTTAGTCGGAAGAGGAAAGAGTTCTGATTTCTTCCTGATTCTAGGCTTCACAGTTAACTTAACCCCGCAGTTAGGGTTTGCCAGAGTGTACAATCAATCCCCTGGCTCTGGGAACTCAAAGGTTTCCGCTCCCATGATATCTTTGAATCGACCCACTACCGCTCCAAACAAGTAATGCAGGATTGGATTCTTGTTAGGGTTTTCTTTTTCTCGTCTGCATCCTTTCTCCATATCTAGTACTGTATTAGATCCATTCATGGATTATTGGTGAAGAAAAGTCTCCACCTTTGTTGTTCTTGTGGGCGATCGCTGAGGTACATTGGGAGATGTCAATTAGTGTTCAAGTTGGTTCGATGAACTGAAATGACCCCTTATACCTTATGAGTTATGATGTGTGTTCTTGCTCTCTCTGTTTCCCATCTTGGGTTTTCCATTAGTGTTCTAACTAGTGTGATGGAATTGCAGCAACTGTTTTTGCTCTCTCATTTTCTGGTTTGGTGGTCCATTAAGCCTTCCTCCTTTTCCATGGTGGTCACTTTGAGAAAACAGAGTGTAGCTCTCAGGGATGACTGATGAGGATTTTCTATATGCATTCACTTCGCTTGATTGTTTTTTTTTTTTTTTTCTGCAGCAACAACAGCTATATATGAATGATAATAATAGATTGCATTGGCATTTTTCAGTTTCAGATAGACTACTTGATTGTGATCATTCCTTTTTGCACAAGATAGCGTAAGAGAGGATATGGCAGCTGGGAACTCAAAGGGCTCCAAGAAAAAACCCAAAAGAAGCCATGGCATCCGAGAAGAAATCGACAGATTCCATGATGTGCCTGACCACATTGTGCACCACATCCTCTCGTTCGTCGCCGACACCAGATCGTTAATTCGAACCAGCCTCCTGTCCAAGAGGTGGAGGTCCTTGTGGAAAGATGTTCCCGTTCTCAGTTTCAGAAAACCCTCCTCCTGCAACCTGTCCTCTTTCTCTGAACAAGTCAACAAGTTTTTGACTCTCCGGTCCAATTCTGCAGCTATTACCGACATTTCCATGAACTTGCAGGGGTGTTCAGTTGGAGGACAAGCGGGATTGCAGCTTTTTGACAGCATCATGAGCGCTGCTGCCTCTCATGGTTTGATAGAGCTCTAGGTCAAGCTCTATCGGACAATTGGGGATCGGGGATCAACTAGGGATTGATCCGGGAGATTGGGAGATAGATGATAGAAGAATAGAGGGGATTTGAGATGAGAAGGAGGGAGGGAGGGGGCTGCTGCCGCTGGGCAGCTTGGAAGAGAGGGGGAAAGGGGTCGGCAATCACAGAGGGAAGAGAGGAGGAGGGAGAACAACTAGGAATTAGGTTTATTCTTGCTTACCATTCTCTACGTAAACAATAGCCTAAATACCCAAAACACAATTACCTACTAACTCCCCCAAATTATTAATCCCCCACAATATTCCCAATACCCAAAATAATCCCGAACTAAATAATTCAAACCGACATAAACCGAAATAATTAAAATGTCTATCATTCCCTTCCTCTTCAAAACAACCTTGTCCTCAAGGTTGGTAGCCTTCTCCTGCGTCTTCCCCGTCTCTCGCTTCATCTTCCGCCTCGTCCTCCCACCTCCCTACCAGCATCATCAAGTCCGGACGTGCACACTTGTGGCCAATCGTGAACCTCTCGTCGCAGTTGAAGCACTTCCCTTCCCGCCGCTTCTGCTCGATCTCAGCAGGGGACAGTCGCACAAACCCCTTGGGCGGAGGTCGTGCCCCACCCTTCACGACAGCTACTGGCGCCTGTGTCGCCGTGGGTCCTCCAGCTCCAACCGCGGTCCCAGGCGCTCCTCCTCCTCCACCGCTGAGTCCGCTACTGCCCCCGGCGCCCCCTGCCCGCGGATTGCGGCCCATGGTGCTCCTCCAACTCGCCAGCTCCTCTTCCTTGAACCCTGCAAGACGAAAAGCAGATTTCACGGAATCCGGCTCAAAGATCCGGACAGCAGCAGCAATCTCCGGCTTCAGGCCGGCCATGCACAACCCCACCAGTGTCTCCTCCGGGACCCCATGGCATTGATTGCCCAATTTAAAGAACTCTGCACGGTAGTCCGCAACAGAGCCAGTCTGCTTCAGCTTAGCCAACTGCTCTGGGGCCCACCCCTCTGATTTTCCAAACTGATAACGCAGCTCCTCCTGGAACAGCGGCCAAGTGATCAGAGTTCCCACCGCCCCATAGGACCTCTCCATCCATTCCCACCACTGCAGCGCTTCTCCCTCTAAGTAGAAGGACGCCAGATGCGCCTTCCTCTCCTCCGGAATGGGGTGGTTTCTGAACCACCTCTCTGCTGCATACAACCACAACCCTGCATCCTCCTGACCATTGAATTTTGGAAACTCAATGGTCGGGGGTTTGGCTCGAAAGACCATTCCATCAGCTCCATCATAAGCAGGATGATACGAACCATACCTGTCATAACCGGGAGCACCCCCTGGCTGGTCTGGGTAGAACGGAGTCCCCCTTCCTCGCCCAAGGCTGCCTGCGGGCCCTCGCCCCATCGGTCCTGCCCAATTCCCTGCACCGTGCGATCCGCGCCACATGTTCGGGTCCATGCTGGCCGATCTAACCAGCCCCGGTTCGAACCGGTTCGGTCCACTGTCGGTTCGACCCGGTTCGGGTCCGCCCCGACCCGACCCACCTCGACCCGACCCGGTCAGCCCCGGGTCGGTCTGACCAGCCGAGCCGCCTCCTCGACCCAGCCCCGGTCCACCCGGCCCAAACCGGCCCTCCTGGCCCGGCCCAAACCTGCCCTCCTGGCCCGGCCCGAACCGGCTCTCATGGCCCGGCCCGAATCGGCCCTCCTGGCCCGGCCTAACCTGCACGATCTGGGCCCCTGTCACGTCCGGGCCCAAATAGTCCCCGCCACCCGCCGGGTCGGCCCATGGTGCGTTCTGGCCCACCAGGCTGAGCTCCTCCTCGATCCGCTCGTGATCCATGGTCAGCCACCCCAGGCCTCTGGGCTCGTGATACTGGCCCACTATGTCGCTCCGGCCCATTGGCCTAGGCGGCCCCTGCCCAGTCGGCGGAGGCCCATTGTCGTACCCTGGCATCTTGGCCTTACCCTTGCGGGCCGCCAACTCCTGGGCCGTTGGTGTCGGTAGAAGCCCAGGCCCACCGCTGCGCCCTGGCTGACCCTGGCCCACTCGCTCCCCGGCCCCGGGCACCATCTCCGCCGCGTCAACCACCTCGACAGCCGCCGTTGGGGGCGGCGCCTCCGCCACCACCATCGCCCCCGCTGTCGCGCCACCCGCCGCCGCGCCTCCATCCGCCGTCGAGCCTCCCAGCCCGCTCCGGCTTTCGCTCCCATCGCCGCCGCCACCACCCTTCGGCCCAGTGGCTTGCGCGGCGGCCAGCGCCTCCACGACCCTCTGCACCTCATCAAACCTCTTCCAAACTCGCCGGGACTCCTCCTCCTGTTCCCGCCGCTGTTCGCCTTGCTCCTGCCGGAGCGCCCGCCATTCCTTGCGCTCCTTCTCGAACTCAGCTACCAGGCGATCCAAAGTAGACTGAATCAGCTCCAGCCTTTCAGTTTCGTCCACCAGCTCACCGTCCCGCGGATCGGTGGCCCCCTGGTTGCCGCCGCCAGCTACCGGCAGCCCGGTCGAGACCGTGGTGGAGGCCTGCTCCGGCGCCGCCGCCTTGGCAGCCTTCTCCGCCGCTGTCATCGATTTTGTGGACACCATTGCACCCTTCTTTCGCTGTTTGTGATCGAACCCAAGAACCGGGCTCTGATACCAAATGATAGAGCTCTAGGTCAAGCTCTATCGGACAATTGGGGATCGGGGATCAACTAGGGATTGATCCGGGAGATTGGGAGATAGATGATAGAAGAATAGAGGGGATTTGAGATGAGAAGGAGGGAGGGAGGGGGCTGCTGCCGCTGGGCAGCTTGGAAGAGAGGGGGAAAGGGGTCGGCAATCACAGAGGGAAGAGAGGAGGAGGGAGAACAACTAGGAATTAGGTTTATTCTTGCTTACCATTCTCTACGTAAACAATAGCCTAAATACCCAAAACACAATTACCTACTAACTCCCCCAAATTATTAATCCCCCACAATATTCCCAATACCCAAAATAATCCCGAACTAAATAATTCAAACCGACATAAACCGAAATAATTAAAATGTCTATCATGGTTCTACTACTGCAGGCCACAATCTTCGCCGTTTGTCCATTGCCTATGCGTACCGCGACATCAAATTCAGCAAACTGGCACCATGCATCACGGCTCATCATCATCACAAGTCTCTCGAGACTATTGAGCTGAAATCAACAGGACTCCGGAGAGAAGCACTTGCGTTGGGATTCAACTCACTGACGACCCTTGAACTGCGTGGCTGTTGGTTCTCTCATTCTCTGCGGGAAACAGTTGATCCTTTCGGAGATATCCCTTGTTTAAACAACCTCAAACTCATAGAATGCAAGTCGTCGAAACGTTACTTGTTGAAAGTATCGGGACTCCAGCTGCTGCACCTCGAGATTCAAAAGAAGACTTGGGACAAGGAGGAAATCGAAGTTTTTGCTCCAAAGCTGGAATCTTTCTCTTATAAGGGTTGGATCCTACAGCTCGTCAAGCTGAGCCTTCCTACTTTGGATTGCGCGAATATCCGCATGGGGTGGTGTGGAATCCAGCCTTGGAGGGAGCAATCCATTGCAAAACAGGAGGAGCAGAGATATATGAAGTTGTTGCGTGAGCTGCATAATGCAACATCTCTCAACCTACGTTTTGACAAAGTATGTAATATGTTTACTTCCTACGATCATAATTCATATACAAACCACTGAAAGTAGAAACTAACTCACCATTGATGATGATCTTGTCTCCATATAACTAGTTGGGCGGCCGTTATCCTTGGGAAAAACACCTATTTCCTTTTACTCGCATGAAGCCGTTAATGGAGCGTGAAGGCTCTCCTTTTACCAGATTGAGAACTCTGAGGGTACAGTATCCACAAGAGCCTCCTGACACACCTTATCAAGTGATTCGTTACTTTATGGAAGGCTCTCCTAATACCGAAGACAAGTTTGTTAAGTTCGAGAGGAAGGTAAAATAGTGACATGCTGGTAGTATGTATCTGTTTCTTGGTGAAATTTTGTCCAAAATTAGCGCAATCCAGCCACTAACGTTATTATTGAAACACCCGGTACATTGATATGTAGTTCTTTCGTTTCCCCTTTGTTTGGAAGTCGAATTAATGGTTTTTGTTGAGTCCTTAATCTCTCCTGAATGACATAATGATTGGAGATCAGAATGGTTATGGTAGATAGAGTTTCAGAGTTTTTTGTATAGTTGAGTTGCACGTTTTGGTTTTAAGGTTCAAGTGCCTTGATGTAAAGTATTTTTATCGAATTGAATGATGTCATTGTTACATCGGAGATTCAAAATTTTATTATGTTGAAAATTGAAGTTTACTGACTACTCTGAAACAACCTGTTAAGCTCAGTGACTGTTATGTAGTTTGGCTCTCCTTGGCCAATATTTCACCGCAGAAGTTAAACTGCTAACAGGTGTTTCTGTTAGCAGATACTAACACGGGCCGGATTTGAGCCACGTCCCCACTGCTGCAATCCAAGGGCCGAGAATCGCGGGCCTATTAATTGGGGCTGATGGGCTGAGAAGGAAGGGGTTTTGGGCGGGAGCAGCCAAAAAAGAAAAAGTGGGCCCGCGTGGAGGGTTGGGCGGGAGAAGGAAAATGGGGAAAGTGGGCCCGCTAGGGGGTTTGGGCGGGAGAAGAAGAAAGGAAAAAGTGGGTCCTGCGTGTTATATTAAAAATAGGAATAGAAAATGAAAAAATAGAAAGGAGGGATGCAATTAAATGTCCAACCACCCAACTCTCTTTCTCTCTTCGAAAATGGTATGTTGTGATCTGATATTGACATGTGATGACATGATATGCTTTTATAATTGGAAGGATATTAGTCCGTCATTAAGGGATACTAGTCTGCGCTTTACAGATATTTGTTGACATGTGTTGGCACACTAGCAAGTCCTAACACATAAGGCTTGCAACCTTAGTTAGGGCTGCCCGCCGAGGGCCCAGGGGCCGAAGGCCCATGAAACAATAATAGTATCGCTTCGGGGATTGGTGGATGAGTTCGAATATGATGGTGTTATACTCTGTTACCATGGTTAGAGAGCCGCTAAACGACTTGTTGTTGATGGAGTCAACCCACCGAATAAGTATTTCTGATGTTGGATGTACATGTACGAGTACGACAATGATAACGGGTGTGGTTTTCACATGGATTGGGACGAAGTAATGTTCCCCGCTTTTTCAGAGTCGTATGATGAAGATAACACCGAGGAGACCGTGAAGAAATGAATTAGTATTTCTTGTCATCAATTTGTATTGTGTTGAGTTTGTTTCCATTTCTGATTCAAAGTGTTATCCATCTTTATCTACTATTAGTTTGGGCTCCAAGGATATTAGTCTACAAAAGAAGGGTATAAGGACATTAGTCTGGGCTCTATTGATATTAGTCTGGGTCTTTCGGATATTTGTTTAGGTCTTTCGGATATCTGTCTGGGTCTTTCGGATATTTTTCTATGATTTGTTGATATTTGTTTAAATAAAGAAGGTATTTGTCTGTTCTTTAAGGATATTAGTCTACAAAGACATTAGTCTGGGCTCTATTAATATTAGTCTAGGTCTTTCGGATATTTGTTTAGGTCTTTCGGATATCTGTCTGGGTCTTTCGGATATGTGTTTGTTATTTGATGATATTTGTTTAAATAAAGAAGGTATTTGTCTGTTCTTTAAGGATATTAGTCTACAAAAAGACAGATATTTACCTGGGAGGTTACAATATATTTTTCAATCAGAACTTATATTAGTAATTATATCCAACATCTGGCAAAATATCCTTCATCCTGCTACAAACCATGGAGTCAACCCACCGAATAAGTATTTCTGATGTTGGATGTACGAGTACGACAATGATAACGGGTGTGGTTTTCACATGGATTGGGACGAAGTAATGTTCCCCGCTTTTTCAGAGTCGTATGATGAAGATAACACCGAGGAGACCGTGAAGAAATGAATTAGTATTTCTTGTCATCAATTTGTATTGTGTTGAGTTTGTTTCCATTTCTGATTCAAAGTGTTATCCATCTTTATCTACTATTAGTTTGGGCTCCAAGGATATTAGTCTACAAAAGAAGGGTATAAGGACATTAGTCTGGGCTCTATTGATATTAGTCTGGGTCTTTCGGATATTTGTTTAGGTCTTTCGGATATCTGTCTGGGTATTTCGGATATTTTTCTATGATTTGTTGATATTTGTTTAAATAAAGAAGGTATTTGTCTGTTCTTTAAGGATATTAGTCTACAAAGACATTAGTCTGGGCTCTATTGATATTAGTCTAGGTCTTTCGGATATTTGTTTAGGTCTTTCGGATATCTGTCTGGGTCTTTCGGATATGTGTTTGTTATTTGCTGATATTTGTTTAAATAAAGAAGGTATTTGTCTGTTCTTTAAGGATATTAGTCTACAAAAAGACAGATATTTACCTGGGAGGTTACAATATATTTTTCAATCAGAACTTATATTAGTAATTATATCCAACATCTGGCAAAATATCCTTCATTCTGCTACAAACCATCATCTATCCCTAAATATTATCCAACCCTAAATAGCATCCATCCCTAAATATTATCCAACCCTAAGTTCAATTTTACAAACCCATATTACACTACACAAGTCTACAATCAACTTCTTTTCCTTTTCCCTTTTTCTTTCTTCGCATTCCAATCTTTTGCACCTTGAATTATTTCACCGGACCGGTTGTTATAGTCCCATAAAATCATATTCTTCATGCTAAATTTCCGCATCCCCAAAATCATATTCTTCTTCCTCCTCTTGCTGTTGTTGTTTAGCACGTTTAGACCTCGAGGTTTCAGCTTCTGTTCTGGGCCTCATTGTTGCAGCAGCTTTAGTTCTTGCCATTGTTGTGTTTTCCCTGTACAGTAGAATATCCAAATTCGTCAAACAACTATCCAGACAATTCACAACTGATATCCAGATATAGCAAACAGATATCCAGCCAATTCACAACTGATATCTAGATTTACCAAACAGATATCCAGGCAAATGAAAACAAATATCCTGCTGCAAAAGAATTAATATCGAATTCCAGATACACAAAACCCAGAACAATAGCAATCCAGATCCAGTCAAATAAGCAAAAAATAAAACTGGGTTACCCAAAATAGTAATCATGCACACCACGCAATACCCAAACCCGTCAACACTCGTATCCATCGCACAACCATGAAAACGAATCCCAGACATCCAGACAAACCCCAACGAATCATTAACATTAATCTGGGTCTTTCGGATATCTGTCTGGGTCTTTCGGATATTTTGTCTGTGATTTGCTGATATTTGTTTAACTAAAGAAGGTATTTGTTTGTTCTTTAAGGATATTAGTCTACAAAAATATAGATATCCAAATTGTTGTGATTTCCCTGTACAGTAGAATATCCAAATTCGTCAAACAACTATCCAGGCAACTCACAACAGATATTCAGATATACCAAACAGATATCCAGGCAATCCACAACTGATATCTAGGCAATCCACAGAAATATCCAAACCCGTCAACACCTGTATCCATCACACAAACCCCAACGAACCATTAACAAGCAGAGCCAGCCAAAACCCCCAATCCATGAAACCCAAAATCGATCCATGCCAAAACCTAAAAACGAACTATGAAATAAAACAATCTTAAGTTCGAATGAAGCAAGGGGAAGACATACCTTATCGGCGTAGTTCTTGTCTCGCTGCCGTCACCGTCGTGATGCTGTCAAAACCGCCATCGCAACTTCACTGCCCGTCATCCTCGCCACAACCGTCAAAGTCGCCGTCGATTCCTCGCGCCACCGTCGCTGTCGATCCCTCGTGCCACCATCGCAGTCGTCGATCGAGTGAGTAAAAGGAGCGGCCGCAGCAGAGAGAGGGAGAGGGAGCGGCGGCAGAGAGAAGGAGAGGGAGCGAGACAGATGCGGATGATTTTAGAGAGAGAGAGAAAATGGTCGAATGAATGGCTGAGGAAGCAAATATGGGGCTGGGTTTTTTGAATTTGGGGCTGGGAATTCAAATTTTTGGTTTTTTGAATTTGTGGGCCCTGCGGGCCCATTTTTCTTTTTAGGGCCTTGGTGACGTGGAGGCACGTCCTGCTTTGTTAGTATCTACTAACAAATATAAACCGCCGCTTCGCCAATTCAAAGAAGCGCCAACTTCCCACGTTCGCCCACTCACTGGTAAGTGGTAACCGGACCGTATCTCGGCTCTCCACGCGCTGCGATTTCCCCATATTCATCTTCTACTTAACCACACGCATCCTTCGAAGCCGACGGTTTCAGTAGCAGTAGGGCTCCAGTGAAAAAAACCAGAGCCCTGATTTCTCAATTGGGTCTTCTTCATCATAGGTGAATGTCATTTGGGCTCCTTTTAATTCGATTCCGTTACTCATATTTCTGGATTCCTTTTATTGTCTGTTCATGGAAAATATGGGCAGGATTTCGTCAATATTTTGTTATATTATAGCTACTACTGTGAATGCAACTAATTGCTTTCTGATCATCCCAAATTACAGGGGAATCTATCCATATTTCTTTCGGTTTAATGTACTTCTAATGTTTGATTCCGACGATGACAAGTAGCCAGTCGCCACTCTCTGCTTTAAACTAAGTACACTTGAATCTCTCATAATTTCAATTGTTTTGGTGAAGGCAGGAAGACAATGGCTGGGAGTTCAAGGAAGTCCAAGAGACCAAAGAGGAGCCATGTAGTTAAAGAAGTTGCTACACTGAGCGATTTTCCTGACGAAATTCTCCATTACATTCTGTCCTTCCTCGACACCAAGTCTGCAGTTGGAACCAGCATTCTGTCAAGGAGATGGAGATGTTTGTGGAAAGATGTCCTGGTCCTCAATTTCCTCCCAAAATCCTTCTGTAAACTGGCGAGTTTCAGAAAACATGTATACAGGCTCCTGTCTCTCCGCTCCCACCGTACTCCTGTGCGCAAAGTTATCTTCGACGTACGTGGATACAAAAGGGATGAAACACCGGGGCATATAACGAGAACAATTGAACAGATCATGAGATATGCTGCTTCACATGGTGGTGGTGGTCTTGATCATTTGTCCATTATCGGCGAGGACCAGAATCTGTGCTTCAGCTACTTTGATGAGAACATCACCGCTGGTAATCATCGCGCACCTCTCAAATCTATGAAGTTGGAGGGATGCACTTTGTGGTGTATCCAATGTGACGACGTGGGCTTTAAATCGTGTACGACACTGGGCTTCAAGTTGCTTACAACTCTGGAACTGCGTGAATGCCCTCTGTCACCTTATTGTCCAATTCTGCCCTTTGATTTGATTGGTGATCTACCTTGTTTGAAGTACCTGAAGTTAATCCGCTGCTTTATAGCAGATCCTGACTGTTGGTTACTAATATCTGGACCTCAACTGCTTGATCTTGAAGTTGAGTTTACAAATCACTACCGCTTTTATGAACTGATTGCCCCAAAGCTCAAATCTTTACGGTTGTGGGGTGAATACATTGATGAATATCTACCCAAGTTGGATCTCCCCAGCCTGGATCATGCAAATATCCGCCTCAAGTGGGAACCAGAACGTTGGGAGGATGATGATCCAGTTTTCATTGAGCAGAATTCTGCATTTGTGAATTACTTGTGTGGTCTGCATAATGTAGAATCTCTCAAGCTATGTTTCGACAAGGTAAGAATTCCCTGTTCTTTTAGAAGCCATACTTATTCATACTTTCACCATTGCAAATGTCAGGAGGGATATGATGATAGCAAGTTATGTAAATTGTTGGTTTTATTCAAGATATTGCTAGCCTTAATTTGTCAATGCACATAGTTTTTTTATTGATATGTTATTGTGTTTCCATATCAGGAACAGAGATGGAAGAATGATTGGGAAGAGCAACCCTTTCCTCTTAACAGAATTAAGGCATTAGTCGAGCATGAAGCTTCTCCCTTTAATAGATTGAAGACCTTGACGATACAATGTGCACATCAACGACACCCACCAAACATACCTTATCAAGTGATTCGCTATTTTCTCGAAGGCTCTTCGAATACAGAAGAAAAGTTTGTTAAGTTCGAGTTGCTTGCTGATTGAAAAGCGATGCTGACGTCAAATGGTGTCGAAACTGGTATAGTAATCAAGTATATTGGATGATGCAGAAGCTTCTTGAGAACGTTGGTGCAGAACTTAGAATTGTTTAGTTTGACTTGTGTTTTTCAGTATTTTTATGTTCCTTCAATGCTTAAGCATGTATGAACTATTGTCTTTGGTTATTTAGATGAATATCTCCCGAAGCTGAATGTCCCTGCTCTAGATCTTGAAAGTTGGTTCAGGTTCAGGTTGAGATGATTGATGATTAGAAAGCGCGGTAATGGTTGCATTGTTGTCGAATGATGTCAGGACTGATAGCTAGTACTAGTCATGTTCTCTGGTTGCATGTATTGCGGCAGCCATGATGCCAATTGCCATGGGCAAAGATCGATCAGTTGTGCCCAAAGTGGTAGTTTTCTCTTCTGTTTTTCAGACAATTTGGTGTTTAAGCATGTACTTATGAGTCGTTCATGTTAGTTAATAGGGCTCTGTAACATTTTTTACTAATTAATGTAAGTTGGTACATTCATATGGAAAACCTGGATGAAGAGCTGAATGAGGTGATCATTATATGTTGGATATTTCCAGATTTTACTGTCTTAGTGGCAAGCTCGTTAGAAATCAAAGTTTAAGATACTCGTTGTTTGTAATTACAAAGTCCAGGGACCATTCCTGTAATTGATCCGAACTTTTACCTTAAGACTATCCACAATAGTGGAAGGGAAAAAAGGAAAAAGAGGATGGGAAAAGTGGGAAAAAAGGATGGGGGAAGGATAATGGCCACAATAGGTGGTAGGGAAAAAAGGGTATTGGGGAGGAGTTTTTTTTTTCAAAACCAATCTAGAGTTGATATGGTAATTTTATTTTGATAATTTATTCATTATTTTTATATAGGTAGTATTAATTAATTAAGACGAACATTTCGATATAATTTTTTTTAATTTTGGACATAAAAAAATTTATCACTAAAATCCAATAACTCATAAAAATCCAATAAGAAAACCATAAAACAATTTTTAAAAAGAAAAAACAAAAAAAAAACTCACCCACATGGTCCCCCTTCCCTTCCTCCTCTCACCCACCTGGACCCACTTCCCCTCCTTTTAACCTCTAGCGCAGGATAAACCCTCCCCTTCTTTCCCTTTTATCCTTTTTTTCCATAATACCCACCCTTATTGTGAGCCATTTTCTCCTTTTTTTCCCCTTTTATCCTCTTTTTCCCTTCTTGTTGTGGACAGTCTAAGTAAAGGTGGAAATTCTTTACCTCCAAGGTAGTCCTTTCCCACTACTTTTAGCCTTCCCGAAGCCAAGTTTCTTTTTTGGCTAGGATTTTACCTCAGTAGGCAATCTTAAGCAAAATCCTCTATAAATCTGCTGGAAAAGGTTAGTTACAACCAAATTTATAGTTACAACCAACACCTTGTCTAAATTGTTGATCGATTTGTAGAAAGACGTTAATGTTCATATTTTAGAAGAAGGATTTGACCGCGTGAGCTATCTGTTTAATAGCATTTTTGCATCATATTTTTTATTTCAACCAACGTCCTATCTTAGATATAGTTGTGCTCTGTCGAAAGGTGCCTCCATCTAAAACGCTAGATATCAAAGCTTATATGCTTGAGCACAATTTGGTGCCTTTATGTTCCTACCGTTCAACCTAGCTCGACAACCAGATTAGCTTTAGTTCAAGGAATGGTCTAGGGATGTGGAATTATATTTGATCCGGTCCTTGGTATCGATCATGAGTAGTCGCGAGTTTTGTCAGTGCATGACTATGATGAATCAGTAGGCATTTTGACCTAATATCCCACCATCAAAACAAATCGCTAAAGAACTTTCGAGTTGCTGCAATGTCAACTCGTCAGTCTCGACAAGATTTGTAACTCATCCTTCATGATCTCGACCACCTTAAAACTGTGTCACAACAATATTTTACCGTACTCAGGTTTAGGCGATCATTTCACTAACCTTCTATATCTGAACTACTTCAAGCTACTCGATTGTTAATCGTCCCCGCTTAGATTCAAAGTCAGATGACTCCCACCCTAGGACAGAGGCATTCATTTAACTTTTTACTTAATTAAGATTAGGGTTAAGATTACAGGCTAATCTGAGTCTCATGCGAGTTTGAGGAAATAATAAGTTGGATCAGAGAGAGAGAGAGGGTGTTGGGTCTCTATCATTATGGATGGTACATTTTTTTTCCTTCCATAATGCAACTCGTAATGATGGATGATTTGGCTTCAAGTGGGCTTTAGATGTATAACAGCCAAACCTTTTCTTGTTGAAACAGCAGAGGAGAAGAATGGAAATGGAAAAGAAAAGGTTCACGTTAGAACTTCCCACCTTAGATTGGTTGCTAAAGGTCGCCCTTAAAATTGCTAAAGGTCGCCCTAAAAAGAATCAAAGTTACACTTTTACCCCCTTAGCTTCTTTACCTTCCCTTTATCAAACAAACACCACTTGGACTAAAAAAACACTATCTAAGAAGAGAAAAATCCATCATCGTCATTTTGAAGCCGATATCATCGGAGTAGCGACTCCGACGAGGTAAATACATTAACTGAAAAACGAGAAAAAAAAAGGGAACCGCAAATCACCTGCGGTTGGACCATGGCTGGACCGCAAATGACCTGCGGTTGGACCATGGCTGGACCGCAAATGACCTGCGGTTGGACCATGGCCGGACCGCAAATCACCTGCGGTTCAGCCATGGTCCAACCGCAGGTCAATTGCGGTCCACCCATGGTACAACCGCAGGTGATTTGCGGTCCGGCCATGGTCCAATCGCAGGTCACTTGCGGTTGGGCATTTTTTGGGTTTATTTTTTTCGTTGAATAATTTTCTATTTTTTATATGATTTATGATTTTTTCGTTTGAATTATTAATAATGGATTATTAATAATAGAGTACATAAAGTAATTAATTTAAGATTTCCATGTAATCATTATTTACGTTACGTTCTATGTAATCATTATTTACATAAAAGTAAATAATTAATTAAGGTAAAATTATTAATAATTAAGTAGATAAACGAATTACTTTTAAATTTTGATTATTAAAATGTTTAATTTTTTTATTATGTTCTTTAAATTTGTTATCATTAATTAACATTTATCGAAAACGTTTTTCAAATTTTTATATCATATAACTAATTTTTTATTATTAATAACATTTATTTAAACACAGAATATTAAAAAACAGAATTAAAAAAAACGACCGCGGTCAAACCGCGGTTAGACCGACGGTCAACCGCGGTCAACGCGCGGTTGAACCGACGGCTGACCGCGGTCAAAGAGCGGTTTGACCATTGGTCAATCGCCCTTTGACCGCGGTCAGCCATCGGTTCAACCGCGCGTTGACCGCGGTTGACCGTCGGTCTAACCGCGGTTTGACTGCGGTCGAAGTTTTTTTTTTTTTTTAGCTTCTTCTTCTCCGGCGCGACTGTGGAGCGCGAGATGCAGAGGGTCGGCGACGGGACGAGGCGGGCGGCGGGACGACGGCGACTGGCGGGCGGCGGCAACTTGGCGGGCCGGCGGCGGGTTGCAGAGGTCTCCAGCGGCAGGTTGCAGAGGTCTCCGGCGGCGGGATGCAGAGGGTCTCCGGCGGCGGTTGATTTTGCAGAGGGAGAGGGTGAAGGGGCTGTTTGGTTGGCCTATTTTTTAAAATTTCATTAAGGGTATATAGGTAAATTGAATTGTAAGTTAGGGCGACCTTTAGCAATTCTTAGGGCGACATTTAGCGATTCAGTTATTATTCTTGCTTCCGTTGTACACTTGTCAGTTTCTTCGCTTCATTCACAGGTTCTGTGCAACTAGCAGAGATAGAGATAGAAAGCTCACTGATCGCTCTGAATCAGCTTGTCGGCCGGGCAATTTCACATGGGACCCGTTTCCTCCCAAATCGGACCCCCGGCTTTCGTTTCACCAGAACAGTGATCAGCAGCAGCGAAACGAAAAGAAAACTCACCACTCTTCCTCTCGTTCTCGCCCTCTCTCTCTCTCCTCATCTTTCTTCTTCCCCTGTTTCCATGTGCCACACATTCTCTCACTCTCTGCCTCCTTCTTCTGCCTGAACTGTAAATCCGCCGTCCCTAACCGCATTACGCTGTCAATTTCAAACCCCGATCTTCCTCTGTTTTTCTTCCCCGGAAAGGAGGCAACAAATGGATCCCAGAACTCTGCTTGATCACGCTCTGTTCCAGCTCACTCCAACAAGAACCAGGTACATTATTGTTCCTCGGAATCCAATCCCACGCTTCTACGGTTATTTTCTCATCTGGGTAGTTAAAAAGTTTCCGACTTTTACTCTTCCTGGTTTTGATTCAGATGTGATTTGGTGATATTTGCTGTCGCCGGGGGCGGCGGGAGCGAGAAATTGGCATCTGGGCTTCTGGAGCCATTCGTCTGTCACTTGAAAACAGCCAGAGATCAGATTTCTAAAGGAGGCTACTCCATTATTCTCCGCCCTTCTTCCTCCCCCAATTCGTCCTGGTTCACTAAGGCAACTCTTCAGAGGTGAGCTTTGCTTTCATTCTGTTATATGCCCAATTCCTCAAAAGCCTAATTGAAACCGTTTCCCGAGCAAGTTTATAGTGTTCTCAGTCGGAATCTTAGTCTGTCCAAACTGATTCCTTTTTCCTAAGATTCTGATAAGGATTGTAGATGTTGTCTTGATTCCCCTTGGCTGGAACTTACTACTGTTATGAATCTTGTGATCTTGTGTGCTTTTGTCGTGTGGTGATTGATTTGTATTCTGCAATGGTGCCAAACAGATTCGTTCGGTTTGTGAACACCCCAGAAGTTCTTGAGAGATTCGTGACTATTGAAAGGGAACTTGACCAGATTGAGAGTTCAGTTCAGTCCAATGAGCTCTCCAATGTTGATGCAGATGGTGAGTAGCGAATTCGGATAAAACAAACTCAAATTTTTTTTTTTTTATGTCCGTGTGCTGATACTAGATGTTGATTGCACTGACATAAACTGGACATTGTGGAATGTGAACCAAGTTTACTTTGTTTGTCTCTAGATTTTGGTCACTTGAATGAAAGTTGCTTACTTGAACCTATTTGGCATTGTAGGAAATTACAAGCCAACTGCCTCGTCTAAGGTACGTCATCAGTGTTAATCCAAAGGGTTAGGGAATTGCTTGATAATGGTTTGCTAAGTCTTCATATCTATAAACTTTACGCCACTGATATTTCGTATTTCAGAATGGAGCTGGTGATGCTGCATCAGAGGAAAATTCAAAGTTAGTCATTTGAACTTGCAATCTTCTGAAATAATATATGCAATGAAATCAACCTTGTCATCTGACTGTTCAACTTGTGGTCTATTAACAGAGTGCATCTTCAGCGTGCTTTGGAATCTAGGAAATCTATCATACGCAAAGAGCAAGCAATGGCCTATGCTCGTGCTTTGGTCACAGGATTCGAGCTTGACTGTATTTATGATCTTATATCTTTTGCTGATGCTTTTGGAGCTTCACGGTTAAGGTATGTTTTCTGCAGTCTTTGCGTGCATTTGGCCTCTAACGTTAACCTTCAATACCTTGGTTTCATAATGTTTCTAGAATTTAGAGACAATGATTTCACATAAACAGACAATATTCACCCTTTCAGGGAAGCATGCATAAACTTCATGGAGTTATGCAAGAAGAAGAATCAAGATCGACTTTGGATGGACGAAGTTGTGGCTATGCAAGCCGCTCAGCTGGAGTTGCCTTCTCTAAGAAGTTCCGGAATTATACTTGCAGGAGAGGAAAGCTACCCTGGCGGCCAGTTGTCCGGTGGGAGACTCAATGGCTCAAATGATGCATCTGAGACGGCAACTAGTCTAGGAAGTGTTGACCTCAGCCAAGGTAGAAAAATTCTGTTTAAGATAAGAGGATTACGCTTTGGTCAGTGGGAAGTACTTTTGCTGTGAAACTAGTAAACCTGTAGATGGCTAATTCAAATTTACTGTTGACCAATCGATTGTTGCAGATAGTAGTTTGCCACCATCAGCAGATGGCAGGGGTCAAGTGCCAGTGCCTTGGCCAAATCAACATCCTCACTACATGCACAATTTCCAAGGACCAGTCTACCAGCAGATGGGTCCATATCAAGGCTACGGTTTCCCTGGTGCACAGTTTCCATCTCCATATTTTCCAGGGAACATGCAATGGCCTCCAACTGCAGATGACTCCAACTTTTCATCTTCGAGGAACAGGAAGAAGTCTTCTTCACGTGCAGATTCAAACAGAGAAGATGACTCCCCTGGCACTGGTTCTAGCTCGAACAACGATTCAGATGAAAACGAGCACAATGGTAGACAGTTGTCCTCGGATGAGAATGTCCGTAGAAAAAAGCATGGCAAGAAGAAGTCTTCAAGAAGAACAGTTGTCATCCGTAACATTAACTACATTACGTCCAAGAGAGATGGGGAAAAGAGTACTGGGGAAACATCTGGTGATGAAGATGAGGAGTTCATTGATGGAGAAGCTCTGAAGCAGCAGGTGGAAGATGCTGTAGGTTCTTTGGAGAGACGAAGTAAGTCAACTTCTTCACGTCGCCAAAAGAAATCACAACATAACAATAATGCCTCTGATCAAGAAAACACCAACATGAACGCAAAGAATCTAGATGGGCAAGGAAAGGACCAGTGGGGTGCCTTCCAGAGCCTTCTCTTGAAGGACAATGATGCAGACTCATCGGAATTTAACATGGAATCTGAGAATGTAAGGAAGCAGGGAATGCTGGCTGATGATTCCTTTATGAGTACAAACAGGTATACTGCAAGTGATGTTCAATCTCAGATACGGAACTTTGAAGGTGGTGCAAATGGTCGTGGCTTATTGCTCAAGAAGGGGGATGACTCGTATGATGAGCTGTTATTTTCTCAAAGAAAAGATAAATCAGAGAATATCCACTTGCAAGCTGCAGTTTCTGATTACTCTTCCGAATCACGATTAATCAAAGTTCAGAAAGAAGGAGATTGGCTTGTTGGAAACCAGATTGACAAATCAGTCAACAAGAATGGCAGTGGGGACATCAGCCTGTTTGATGGTGATCATTTTCGAGATGAGAAAAACAATAACAAGGATGTTATGGCTGATGATTCATTTATGATCCAAGCCCGATCCTTCGGAAATGAAGCTTCTGATTCTGTATTAAGAACCGACATAAGTATGGTGGGAGATGTGTCTGAAGTTGCTCAATGTGATAATGGTACTCTAGATAAAGCTAAAGGATTTAGTAATTCCTGTGAGCCAGATGACCTTTTTATGGTGCTTGGGCGTGATTCGGCAGCTGATCAGCATACCATCCCTTCTTGGACCCCGGAGATAGATTATCAAAATGACATTTTATCTGCAGAAGCCAACAGAAAGAGATCCCCTGTGGAGAAAAGTGCTACTGAGGATGAAGTTGTTCCTGTCAGTAAGAAGACTAATGGTAAGTCAAAAGTTTCCAATGGACCTCTTGGAAGAAGCAAATCGGAAATTCCATCAAGGACTAAGAAACCACCTCTTGGAAGCAGAACCACTATTCCAAAGAGCAAATCCGAGAGGGTAAGTGAAGATGAAGCTACTGCGTTCTGTTTGCTTTATTATCGTAATTATAACAAGTTTGGATAGCCTAGGAACTCTAGGAAATGGAATGCATTTTCCAATTTTATAATTTTATTTCCTTAAGGACGCATGCTCACTTATTATAAAAATACATTTCATTTTTCCTAGTTGTGAGAATTATTTGAAACACGAGAATTGAAAATGGAACTGTATCCCAATATGATCACCTTGTGCATCTTTCTGACAATTCTTTTTGTCTGCTCATAAGCAGGAAGAAGAGAGTAGGAAAAGAGCGGAGGCATTAAAGCTCGAACGTCAGAAGAGAATTGCAGCGAGGGGTTCTGCCAGCAGTAGCAGTCCATTGACAGCATCTAGGAGAAACCCTACTGGAACATCAAAAGACAGGAAGCCCAAAATACAGTCTCCAAGTTCAAGCCAAGATGGTAAGAAGACGGTTTTCAGAAGTTCTACAATTGATCGCCTTGCTGCTGCTCGGACAACACCAAAGGTGGAATCAACAACTCAATCAAAATCAAAAAGTGCAGTGTCGAAAGCAAATGTCCTTCAGCAGAAGGGTGCTGCTGGAGATAAGAATAAGAAACCAAGTGCGAAACCTATGAAATCTGATGTCACGCAAAAGAAAATCACTGCACAGAAATCAACAGAATTATTACTTGCTGCACAAGCTACTCCACCATCTAATGATACTGCTGACTTGATTGAGATGAAGGAGTTGGAAAGATTACCGGTGGAGAAGAATGAAGAAAGCACTGTGAATCTTAGTAATGGTACTGATGGAAAAGGCTGCAATGGTGCTTCAATTCTAATTGAACCCTCTGCTGACACGACTCCCTTAAAGGGCGACACTCCAGCAGCTCCAACTCTTGCTAAAGGTGGACTGGCTTCTTCTGACGATCTTATGGAGGATATTTCTGGAGTCATGATACATCCTACGCCAGATTCACCTGATAAACAGCCGAACCAGTATGCTGCTAATGTGGTCGAGGACGAGAAGAGCAATGTGCATCAAGCTTTGCCACAGCACTCCGAGATAGATATATCCACTCCCCCACCTAACGAAGTAAACGCAGAATCTATTCACACAAGAAAGAAATGGAACAGTGGTGAAACCTCTCCAAAAGGCGCAAAAGGATTTCGAAAACTCCTCTTTTTTGCAAAGAAAGGTTAGAGGAGTGACTGGGATTTAATAAGCAACCAATGGCGAAACTCAGTTGCCGAGGATCTCGAAAAAATCCAGGTAATTTCCTCTCCTATGGGGAAAACAGAGGAAGTAAATAGAAGAGTGAGTGGTAGATGATTTTGTATTGGTCTTATTGGGAAATAAGGCTTGGGGCTTTGCTGCCATGTTTTAAAAATCTCTTGCAAGTTTTAAGTTAATGGCTTCTATTCCAAGTCATAAGTTTTCATGGTGTAAAGGTTTTTGTTTCCAGGAAGGGTTTTCCTGTTCGTTTGTTCTGGGTTTTGGGACATTGATTTGAGTTGCATTGTGATGTAATTGTCATTCATCTTTTTTCATGTATGTACTGTAAACACCTTTATAATGATTTGTTAATTGCTAATCGTTTTGTACAATGATTTATTTATGTACATTTTGTTGTTAAGCAACAGACGATCACCTTCACCAAGTTAGCGGTTGACAGAATAGTTATGTTGTTTACCTCCAAGGAAAAGGTTAAGCATTGTTAATCTACTAGTTACAGCAGTAACTAACTACCAAGACTGCATTGTTAACTTCTCACGCCAAATGTGTCACAAGTTGTTCATCCCTAGTTCTGTCACCATCTTCATCTGCAGCTTTAGCCGCTGGATTACTTGTAAAGGAAGCAGCACAGATAGAAAAGTAGACGAGATTCCCAACTTGGATAGCAGAGATGAGCCAGTAATAGTAATCCAGTCTCCCTCTATTGAGATTCCTATCAGGCAACCAATTGTGTTCTTCACCACTGTACTTATGAACCAACAGCACTAGAGTCGAACCCAAATAGTCGCCCACGGAGCTTCCTATCCAGTTCAACCCTACAGCTATGCTCTTCATGCTCTCCGGCGCCTGTTCGTACATGAACTCCAACTGCCCCACATTTGTAAACACTTCAGCAACTCCCTGCAGTGAAAGCTGGGGAACAAGCCAGAACACGGTCATGGGTATCGTAGCTTCCGGATGATCTAACAGCCCGTACTCTGCCGCCACAGCTTTCCTCTTGATTTCAACCAATGCTGATACTGCAGTTTGCAGAATGTGGAAGCAAAGGCCTACCCCTAGTCTCTGTAGTGCTGTGAGGCCTGAAGGGTTCCCTGTGAAGTGTTTGATGATCGGGACGAAGAGACGCTCGTAGGCGATGAGGCCGATTACTAATGTGAAGATGCTGAAGACGGACAAGCTGGCCGGTGGGATTTGGAAGGAGGACCAAAGGTGTCGGTCCATGGTTCGACCTTGTTGGATAAGGAAGCTGTGATTGTGTGAAGTGGCCATCACGAGTAAAATGGAGGCTGCCCATATGGGGAGGATTCTGATGAATGCTTTCAGCTCTTCGACTCGGTGGACCGTAGCTAGCTTCCATGGATTTGGTGGGTTGCCATTTGAAAGCTCCCCTGGTTTCACTGTCGCCGCCTTATCCAGCCACCTGTGTCGAGGAAAAAAATGAGTCTTGAAACGAAGTTTTTATTTTTCTCCTCATTGAGGCATATTGTCGAACACTTTGACTACGTATTGATCTTACTTGAACTGACTGGTGTGCAAGAGCCTTCCGTGTACGGATATAGCAGCATCCAGCTCGTCGTTACGGTACAGAAGCTCAGAGTTGTTGGGGACATCAAAAGTTCTCTTCTTTACAGCTGCAACAATCACCTGAGCCAATCTGATCATGGGGCTCCCCTTTGGTTTCACTCTGTTATACCAAGGGGAGCCGAAGAAGAAGATCCCAATTGAGACAGCCATGGCGATAGTGGGCAACCCAAGACCCCAACCCCAACCAATGTTGTCCTGAACGTAAACCACGACTGTAAACGCAGCCAATCTTGCAAGCCCATCCATGATATAGTACCAATTGAACAAGTTCCAGCTAGTGCTCTTATCTTCTCGAGGCGATCCTGGTTTCTTCTTCATGTCCAGTTGATCCGCTGCAAAAGTCACCACACAAGGCCTAATCCCGCCCAGCCCGCAAGCTATCAGAAAGAGGGAAAAGTATAGGGAACCCATTTGCGTCACCGAAGGTTGTTTGCACTCGACCTGACTTGGACATGGTGGAGGATGGAGTGACTTCACTACTGCGGTTGTGGTTACGCTGATCATGCCCTGTGACAGAGAGAGAAAAGAAACAGAGTATAATTAGTACTTCTGAGAACTGGGTTGTGATTGTACTGTTATAGATTCAGCTGAAGAGGAAGGAGTTTGAGAACCAGCTGGAAGATGAGGATGCCGACGATGAGCGTCCAGAAATTCCCGGCGAAAGAGTCGGCGATCAGAGCTCCGATCAAGGGGGTGAAGTTTGTGGTACCGTTGAAATTGGTGATGATGTTGGAAGCGGAGACGAGCGGCAGGTTGAGCTGCTGAGTCAGGTAAGTGATCAAGTTGGAATGGAAGCCGATGTAGGAGAATCTCTCCCCAATTTCAGTAGCTGGGTTGTGAACAAAGAAAGAAACTTTTAAAAAACCCCATGCCAGAAGAAATCCATAGCAGGAAGAAGAAGAAAAAACAGAGAGTGAACCGGGAAAAAGGGGAAGTCAGTCTGACCAAAGATGAACGGCAATGTTCTGAAACCTCCGAGGCTTTTCGAGCTGCTGCCATCACCAATTCCTTTGTCCAAGTCCAACAATTGCTGTGAGGGATAACTTGAACCTTCTTCTCCATCATTCTCCTGCAACTCCATCTTCGGCTCTGCGGTCCGCCTATCTGACAGTGGTTGCTTCAACATCTCACCACTCGATTTGTTTCCTTTCCTTTCTTCCTCTTCTGGGTTCTCGTCTTCACCCTCGTTTGTATCGCTTCTCAGCCGTTTCTTGCCTTTGGAAGAAACATTTCGCTGAGAAGATTATAGAGTCCGGGTGTTTCATTGGTTACTGACAAAATGAAACCCAAACAGAGAAGCCATAGATAATAATATTATGTTATTGGGTTTCCCAGTGAGACTCTTCCTTCCAATATCATGCCTTTCATCTTCATTCCATGCTGTTTTATTTCGTTCCTCTCTCGGACTGCTTCTGCCACTATGATTTCGAGCTTATTCTAAGGCCAAGTGGCAGTGAGGGACGGTGATGACTAAGACGATGGTAAAGCTAATGGCAAATGTCAATGAGGGCTGATATGATGTGACACTTGATGAAGGGATCGGCTCGAGGTCGAGGGGACAGCGCACGAATTCGCTTTGTCTATCTGCCGCAGGACGATTGTGGTCCGTTGGATCGTTGGGTAGGGATGGATGTGTACTTCACGTTGCCGTTGGATGGGGGCAATGGCACATTGCTAACTAAAAAGAGTATAATAAAGGTATTTATTATATAGTTTCGTAGGTGATATCTGAACAATTAAATCCGCTGTAGCAATCTGGCAAATTCAATTGAATCGAATTCCGGGTTCAAATCCTGGCAGCAGAAAACATATTTACTTTTTTTTTTTGCAATCTTTCTTATAGAGCTGAAGTTTTTTACCTTAATATTTTTTTGGTAGAAACCTACCTTAATATTTAGGCAAAATACACATGTATAGCCATAACTTTCACGTTTTTGACAAATATAGCCATAACTATTGGAAAACACAAAATAGCCAAGAAATTGGATGGTCGTGTGACAAATCTAGCCATTTCCGTTAGAAACTTTAACGGTGTTAGAAACTCCGTTAGTTATGTTAACGTTAGGCTGACTAGGATGCCAAATCATCGCGCTCGTCAGCGACAACTCAACCACACTTGCCACGTAAGTGCCATGTCATATTTTAATTCAAAAATAATTTAAGTAATTAATAACTAATTTAAAACATAAATTTTTTTTTTTTTCCTTTTCAATATCCAGCCTCCTCTCCCTCTCTCCTCTCCTTCGTCTTCCCATATGTTCTCCAATGGACTCCCCCACCATCTCAATGACGGAGATAAACAGAGGCTGAATCATCACCAAAAAAGTCAATTTCATCACTTCTTCTCTATCAAAATCCCTTCTACCTTCCGTTCTTCTCGTTGCAACCCTTCCATCCTCCCAAATCGCCAACAATGTCGTTGTTGCCAAGAGAGGCACAGCTTCAATCGAAGCCACCGCCGCATCAATCGACTTTCCCACCACCGCCGCATCAATCGTCATTCCCAACCGGCGACAATTGCTCCCAACCAGCGACCCGACCCCTCCGTCTCCGAACAAATCCCCTTCCCTGCAACAAAAATCCCAAACCCAAAAATACCCAAAATCTCCAGAGAATATACTGAACTCCCTCCGTCTCCGATTCAGATCTGCCTCACCGCTCCTAGCGCACAGCCAGGCCCTGCAGCTCCTCCTTCGCCGCAACCCTCTCCGCCTTCAATTCCTCTCCCCGATCGACGCAACGACGACCTTCTTTCTTCTCCTCCTCCTCTCCCCGGCCAATGCAACGGCGACCAATCAAAAATCCCAAACCGCCATCTCCCCGCGGCGACGTTTCCAATCCGAACCGTGCCCTACAGATCACCCATAGCTGGAGCCGGGCCTGATTTGGGAATCTGGGGGATTTTCCTTGTCGGTCAGTTGGGACTACGCGTGGAGGGACTTGGACTCATGGAGCTGCTCAGAAACCAGATCTGGAAACCAGATCGTTGGATTCCCTCACCTGCAGATGTTGAATTTCATGGCGGGATCCATTGTGGAGAGCGGTTGTTCACGGCGGCGGGCGGGCTATGGTGGGAATCATAGGGGAAAGGAGGGATGAAGATGATGTTGAGATTTGAGAGTGTGGGAAGGAGCAGGGGGCGAACTATGGTGGGGGAGGTACAGGGAGGAAGATGAAGTTTTTTGCATAAAAAAATTTATTTTTATTTTTCATTTTATGAACTCGGAAAAATTGAATTTATGTCTTTTTTTATAATCCACGTGTCCGACGAAGTATCCTCAGGTCAGCATTTCCGTCAGTCTAGTCAGAGTGTTAAGTAACACCGTTAAAGAGATGGACGTAATTGGCTATTTTTGGTTTTCGAATACTTGTGGCTATATTTGTCACAAACGTGAAAGTTTTTGCTATACAGATGTATTTTGCCTAATATTTAATAGTTAATACACAACAAATGGATAAGATCCCGAAAGAATAAAAGAACGGTATATATTATATAGTTCCGTTGTGATATCTGAACAATTAAATCCGCTGTAGCAATCTGGCAAATTCAATTGAATCGAATTCCGGGTTCAAATCCCGGCAGCGGAAAACTTTTTTATTTTTTATTTTTTTTGGCAATCTTTCTTATAGACCTGAAGTTTTTTACCTTAATATTTTTTTGGTAGAAACCTACCTTGTATTGATTACACAAAGATAGGGGAAAAGAATAAAGAATGGTTGTCTTAAGGTTTACAACAATCTGGTTATTAAGAGATGTTGCATTCCTGCGGAACTCCCTGCGGGAATCTCTTGTTATCAGCGCAGTAGTTGTAGATCATGTAGTTCTTCTGCGCCCATTTCAGCCTCTCCTGGCTCGTGCTGTCCAGCTCCTCCGACAACCATTCGGCGGAAGAGGAATCCGGAGTTGATGCTGTTCCCGAGCAAGAAGACTTGCCATTGGTCCACACGCAGGCATTGGCATTGAAGTTGCGGTAGGAAGCGGTGAACGGAGCATTCGACCAATCCGTCTTCACCAGGCCGCCCCTTGTAGCCCAGTCGTCAGCGTTCCACAGGCTGGAGTAGATCCTCATCGGCTGATTCTTTGGGAACGGGACGCCGTTGCTCTCCGCGTTCTTGAACTCTCTGATCGGTGTGCCATCCACTGAGAATCTGAAGAGAAAAACAGAGCAATAACAATTTATGTCAGCAACCAATAATGATTCAGCAGGAAAATTGATGTGGGTTTATTAATTGTTGTCTGTGATTAGGCACTTACATGATGCGCTGTGGGTTCCAGAGGATGGAGTAGGTGTGGAAATCGGCAGTCGGGTCGAACCACAAGTGAAACTGCTGCTCTCTGTTTCCTTTCCCCTGGCTGAAGACGTTGGTGTGGAGGATGTATGGATCACCGCTCAAATTCCCCAGGAACTCGAAATCGATTTCATCCCAGTTCGCTCCTTTCGAGGATAGCTGCAAACAGAAACAGCATATCTAAATGTGAGCGCCCCAGAAAGTTAAGGCCCAAAAGTGGATTCAGTGAGAAGAAAACAGAGCAACTTACATAGTATGCAGTTACAGTTCCAGCAGAGTTGCCAGGGACGAGCTTGAGCTGCATGTCAATCTTGCCGAACAAGTACTCGTTCTTGGACTGGAATCCAGAGCCTGAGGACTTGTCAAGGGAGAGAGTGAGGAGATCGCCATTGTTGAGGATCTTGCCTCTGCCGTCTCCCCACGTGACATCTAAGTCCTGGTAGAAGTTGGCTGCTGAGGAAGAAGCCACAAGCACGGCAGAGACGGCGAGAAGCAGCACAAGTGAAGAAGAGCGAGCCATAGTGAGTGCTTTTGAGAGGCTAGTGATGGTTTCGGTGGTGATGGAGAAGTGGGGAGTGTAGTCGGTCTATTTATATGCAGGAGGAGAATCAACTAACTGAGGGCAATAAATTGAATGGACGCGGAACGGGGAAGTGGGGAAGGAAACTTCATCTTCTTCGTTCAATCCGCTCGGCTAAGGTTAAGCTGTGGACGGCTAACAGAGCAAAAGTAGTGAAATGGGCCGAGGGACGGTGGCTTAACTTCTGCCTGGCTGGCTGGCAGCTTTTCTTTTTATTTACAGTGGGAGCTTTGATTAAAGCGTATCCAATCCTTTCACGCCATTTTTATATTCTGACGCGTCTGACTGTTTCTCGTGTTGGGAATGAAGCAGCATGCTTGGTGTACTTGAAAATGATGGGCCTTCCTGTCCTGTTTGGATACAATTCAAGAAGAAATGGAAATGGAATTCTATTTCTAATTCCTATTTTTATAGAATTCCATTTCCAATTTTAGTGTTTGGTATAATTCCTCCAACTAAAGAAATGAATTGCACTTTTAACAATAATTAATAATATAATATATTTATTTTATCTTGGGAAATGAAATATGAATGATAGAGAAAGAGAGTAGTGTGATAGTTGGTTAATAAAATAATAATAAATAGTGATGGGACCCACTAATTCCATCTTCATAAACACAATTCCTATCACTTTTGATAGGAATTGTAATTCCCAAAACTTAGGCCAAATGGAATTCATTTCTCAACCTTCTTATCCTTCCAAACATAAAATATGGAATTGGAATTGAAAATGGAATTCCAATTCCTGAGTTTTTTGTCTATCCAAACAGGCTGGTCCTCAAGTTCCCAGCCTCACCGATGGATCTGATGAAAATTAGAACTCGTGAGAAATAGAATGACCATAGAAGTACAATGCAAAATTTACTTTTCCTGTTCAAGAGCAACTTGCAAGATCAATCAAAATGCAGCACTCCTGAAATACAGGCTATTAAAGGAACTCCAATTTCTTCACTCATGATTCACTACACAAAAATGAGACCAGAGAAACAGCCTATTTTCATTTCAACATAACTATCAAGCACTTGGAGAAAATTATACGCTAAGATGATTAGAATAGTGCAGGAATGTTAACCTTGACAATAGCCAGCAACATTGTCAGGCAGCTGTAAGATATATGTGTGATAGCCATGACAAAGATGAAGCGATGCAACTGTTCAAGGCCTTGATACGACACAAATGGTTCATGTCCCTGCACGCATGAGTGTTCCAAATTACCACATGCAATTCCTATGTTGTCAAAAACACCTGACTCAACAGTTATGTACCAAAAGTAGGCTTCTGGGGCAAACATCTTGTTTCAAGCAGAAAAATGTGTCATGATGTGTACTAGTGCTCAAAATTAGTGCGGCATCCTTTACAAAATTTTGAGCAGATAGATGAATAACTTACCTCATGGCAAGTATTCCGCTCCAAGCTATTCAGAATCCTACGGAGATGGGTGCCAGAAACCGTATTTAGTTTGCGACCCTGTGAAATGGAGTTCTCTTCCATCTCTTCATCAATCTGAGCCGTGGTGCAAGGAGCAAAACGACTATTGTAGAACTTTGATGGGATGCAAATATTAGCAATTAGGCTGGATGATGCAGTGAGAAAAAGTGATATGAATCCAAGCAACATCAACTCTGGAGACATGTGACAATAATTAAACAAGGAGATAAGTATGATGGACAATATGCCACAAGATTACCAAAAACAAAATACAACTAACAGAAATACTTGATAGAGTTTTAGGCCTTTTGCAAGTAAGAGTTACCTTCTTTCATTTTCTCCACAGCAGCAAGCAGAGGTTTTCGGTTAGTTTTCCGCAACCACTGCAAGGTATAAACTAATTATCAATCTGATGTACATAGAAATGCTCAAGTAAAAGGGTATATCTCGACCAATCTTTTAACAAATGACTGCATACATATAATGGGTGTCATGAGGGTACATGAGTTATGGAGCAAACTGTATCATGTTATAAGAATTTTTAGAATGGTTCACCAAACGAAAAAGTTAAGCAACTCCAGTGCAAGCCGTCATGAAATTCGTGAACGAATTTGTTGATTTCAACTCCTATGGCTACTGTATCCTCTATCATCTACAGTCCACTACACATAACACACAGAGGAACAACTTCAAACGGTATATTATGCCCAGCCAAATCGGCCCCAAACCTCCAGTTTATCATATGAAAATCACAGTTGCTTCAAAAGCTAAATTACTTAGTGTCACTGCAATGAACAGAAACTCCAACTCTGACTGCACAGCTTAAATGTTTGGTATGTGAGAAACGAGATACAAGGATGAACTTACATTACTCAGGCGATTGATTAACCGTTCCACGATCAAGGAGACAACCACAAAGATTGTTAGCACAGTTGCAACTGACCATGTGGGAGTCAAAGCTAATGAGCGCATTTCTCTTGTATTCTCCAAGGTCCCCTGCTGGTTTTCTTCTGCCATGACCACCACCACCACCACCGCAGAGCAACAATCTGATCCTTGCAAATAACCTTTCCTTCAAAATCTCAACTTCTTCTTCCGAGTTCCTCCAGCTTGGCTGAAAACCAGAACCCGCAAATCTCGATGACGAAAAAGAAACCAGCATTTACAGTACTACTACTAATCTGTCTATCTGAGATTTCTTGTACATCCCCACTCGGCGATGATATACACAAGACCGGAGAATCCTCTGAAAGCAAGCTAACTTTCTTTCTATTTTTGTTCACTGTGGAAGGGCGATACCCCCTATGAATGAATACTTTAAATGAAACCCAACTTGGGGAAAGGAGAATGTGGAATAGGGTGGTATCCACAGACCAGATATCTTTCCCTATCAACCAAAAGCTTCCACCTTTGCTGTCTGACCGCTTTTCTTCCCTCTACCCAGAAAAAATCTTTCTCTTCACATCTTCACAGACGAACGGGACACTGGGGCTAAACTACAGAACTAGTTGCATTGAAGAGAAAGATCCAGTTCAGACTCACAGCATCAACCATGGGCACCTTCGCATACTCTTCTGGTCCCAGGATGAACTGATGAAGTAAACTTCTAAGGAAAGGTTTACCAGTCTTCCTTCCTTCCTTCTTCTTCTCTGGGTATTTGTAAAGCAGCCGCCTTTCTAGTTTCTACTGACGCCACGAAACACGGCGGGTGACATGATTTTGACGAGGCACGTGAAAGAAGGATCTCCGGTCTCTGCTGGGCTTCGTTTTGTTGTTCAAATTCTGACGGTAGTTTTCTTTGTTTTTTCTCCATTTTCCTTCTCATGGGGTCCATTTTGCCGAGAAATGTCATGGTGATTGATGACTAGGTAAGACACCCGTAGTGGCAGGCAGGTCGATAATTGAAAGCGCTTTTGCGAGGGAAAGAAACTACCAGCACCGATCGTTTTCCATGATTAGGGGGATGGTATGGCCTATTAACAGAGACTGAATGAAAATGACACTTTTCTCTCAAAATAGATCCAGAATCCAAATTCTTGAAATATGTCAAATACAGAACTTTCTAAGAAATGTGCGTATTGAGCCGGGGGCATCTCTCCATCTATGAGGAAATTTGATGAGCTCTTCTCCGTATCCATTGTTGCTGCATTCATGTCGACTTCTTTTCCTCACAAGGTGACAAGACAGGAGCAGTGAATAGTAATTATTCGTTTGATATATCCCTCACTGCTTTTGTACATGTTTTTAACTTACATTACAACTCTCAACTCAAGATGCTGCCATGAGTCCATTTGTGGACATCAGATAAAATTGAAACGATACAGAGAAGATGCTGCCATGAAGGGAACAGAACTTTAAAGCACGAGGGTGTTTGTACTTTCCAGAGAATAAAAATAGAGAACAAGGCAGAAGGAGCATGGGTGTTTTGAATAAAAAAGGTAACTCAATCATCCGACTCTTCTTCAGTGTCTTGTTGATCGTCATCATCTTCTGCTTCAGAGTCTTGTTGATCGTCATCTTCTTCTGCTTCTGTGTCAGGTTGATCATCACCTATATCGTTGGACTCCCCTGACTGCTGCTCAGGCTTGTCACCCTTCAACTCATTCTCGCTAAACAGATCCCTTTGTACTGGCACACTTCGCTGTTGCTGGGTCGAAATGACGTTTGCAATTGCTTTGAAAGCTGCAGATGCCCTGTTCTTGTCTCCAATAGCCTCCTCGTCGATACCATTGACTGTAGGTTCCCCTGATGATGCCTTGCTAGCTTCTTCTTGTTTTGGTGGAGGGACAAAGAAGGGAATTTTACCCCTTTGCCAGTCATGAAGTATCATCTTTGCTGCAGTCGTCAAGTCTGGCTCACCTCCCTACACACCCATCCAACCATCCCAATTCGGTCAGATTTAGATCATATAAAAGGAGGAAAGCATGAGAAGGAATGCAGTAACTGCGACAAATAGACCCACACCATCAACAGCTTGATTGAACATGCATCACGGTTATAATCAAGGGAGATAATAGAACATAAATCGAACCTTCAAAAGTTTGCCAGTAGATTTGCACAGCTGAACCAGAAAGTCATTGTCATCGACCCTAAAAACAGGTTGCCAGAATTAAAGTCAGATGCCACGATCTAGTAGATAAACTCCCATTTCAGCAAATAAAGAATTCGAGGTCTATAAAATTAGTAGTATGGCTGCTGGAATACAAAGGTGAAAGGGGGAGATGCCAATAGCAAATAATTAAACAACGAAATGCCAGGAGCAAATAATGAAACAACGTTTGGCCAAAGGCCACGGACAATTAACATGATCCATATAAGGTTGTACATATAAAATCAGTTACATTACTTACCAGTCTTCTATCTTATAAGCACGTTTCAAATGTTCTTTTTTCACACGTTTCAGAACTTCTCCTATGTGTTCTGTAGCATCTTCCAAATTTGTGACACGGACCTATATGGCACCAATAACATGATCAATCCTTTGTACTAAAGGAAGACTTAAAATGGCGCCTCAAGTCTTCTGATAAGGTCAGATAATTTGGGAAAAGCAAGAGAACAAAAAACATACCACACCCTTCAGTACAATATCTGTTTCAGAATCTTTGCTCTCATAGACAACTCCAGGACAATCAATCAAGAAAATTCTCTTGGTAAGTGTTATGTACTGCCACACTTTAGTCTCCCCTGGTATGGGAGCAACTTTGCAGACCTAGCCAAGGCAAAAATATTATACATCAATGAGCATATGATGGGAAAAAGAAACGTGATTATTAGAAGCAACAGAAGACAGAACAAACATTACATTCTTTGTCCGAAGTGTGTTGATGACAGAAGACTTGCCAACGTTGGGATAGCCAACAAATCCGACTGATATTGCTTGCTTGTCACTTTTTAACCGAGCAAACTGTCTCAGTACTGACAGAAGAGAACCCTATTGCCAAAAAATTTAAAATGAGAAGATGGAGCAAATATAAATATAAATATTAACCGAAACAAAGCAGGGTGCATCTCTCAAAGCAAATAGCCACAAAGGATACAAAACTAGCAGAATCCTGGATGATTGTTCACATTTAGTTCTAGAAGCTAGATGTGGTGGAAATCAGCTCAATCGGTGAAAATTATTTACAATATTCCTCAACGAGTACCTTGCCAAATGACTTATTGATGCTTGCATGGAATGCTAGAGTTGGATACTCTTTGGATAACACCCTGAGCCATCCTTTTGTTGCCCAAGCGGGGACTAAATCACACTGGAATTAGAGAGACCAAAGTTAAAAAACACTTCTCACTGTTTAAAGAAAAAGAATATCATTCACAAAATGAAGAGTGATTAGTTCAGCTGACCTTATTTAGTAGAAACACCATGTGTTTGTGTGTACAGTGCTCTTTCAGGTGTCTTTCTAAATGATAACATCTTGTACCTTGGGGGTCCCTTGCATCCAAAACCTGCAAGGAACAAGGAGGCACAAAGTTATAACTAAACAGCATAAGATGCACAGCAACCAAAAGATTTGGAATCTCTGGTTGATTACTTCTTTGGATTAAAAAAGGGATAACATCAACGAATAACTTACTTGTACAACAACATCAGATGAGTCTATAACCTTGTATAGCTCACCCCATATACGCTTACTTTGGCCCTTCTCAAACATATTGTGGCGAACAAGGTCTCTAAACCCATCCTCGTCTCCCCCTTCTGCAGTAGCACTACTCCCATACTTCTCCTCGAAAGCATCTGCGATGTCACAAAAGTACCAAGTATGAAATTGGTTACCGGCATCAACCCAAAACTGCAGTGATGGCTGATGATGTAAAAAATTGCTCAGCTTGCATACACAAGGAACACGCAGAAACAATACAAGGAAATGACAAGCAAGGGCGGATTATAAAGTTCTAAAATACAGAGTAAACAATCAATAGTATACCCTGAGATTCATCAGCTTTCTTGGCCAAAGACTCGTAATCTCCAGCCAAAAGTCTTGGGCGCTTCCTTTTCTTCTTAGGTCCGAATGCATCGCCAAAAGGCTCGGTATCAAGAAGATGAACTCTAGCTTGCTTCACAAAGAAATAAACATTTCAGGAATCGTGAGAACGTCTGTGATAGATTTTTTTTTAAAAGGCCAGCAAAGCTACAACTAAAAGTTATAGGCATCAACCAATGACGGGAAGCTGACACAAAAACTAAAATCTCCACTATTTGGATTGCAAACCACAGACCAATTAGAGGAAAGATAAATCCTTTCAATGTGGGAAAAGCTAAGCAAGGTCAAATGGGTTTAGCACAAACCTTCTGGTGGTCATTCAGAAGAGAAAAGGGCAACTTCTTCCCTCTCAAAATAACATTGTAGTTACTTGACATACGACTCTGCAGCTCTTCCCTGAAAAATTCTAGCTCTTTCTGATCCACAACACGCGTGTTCCCTATTGAAAAAAACAAACGAAAGGAGAAAAAAGCCTTCACATTCCCATCCCATTACCCGATCAAATCCAGTGTGTCCCAGACGAAACCCCAAAGAGGCAATCAAAATCCGCGAAGCAACCCAAATGAAAATCTGTAGCGCGCGTTACCAAACCATCGTCGGTCCGGCTGAATACGAGTGTTGGGGAGTTCTTGCGATTGGAGATCGTGCTTCAGAACTTTTCCCTTGCTGTCACGCTTCGGCCTTGTTTTGTACATCTTGAGTCGGCGGACGGTGGCCGCACTTCGCGAGTTGGTGCTGCTGCTGGCTCCATTGCTCCGATTGGTGTCCAGGGAGTGCTTCGGCTTCCCCGACGTGTTCACCTTCCTCTCTTTCTTCGTCATCGTTCACTACGTTTTCTTTTCCCCTCGGATGACACACAGTCCTGAAGGAAAACTGAAAATGGCTGAGGAAGCTAAAGCTTTGCTCTCGCCGAATACTGAATTCTGAATTCTTACCGGCCGTAGGGTTTTATGTAGAAGGAGGGAGTTTGACATTGGGCCGGACATTATTGGGCCGGCTCTCAAAGCCCAAATAAATGTTAAATGATTCAGGGACACAAGTTTGCCATTGGGCTGACGTTATTGGGCAGTACGTGGACTTGTTTGTTAAGATCACATAGTACGAGGACCGAACAAGCTATTATTCCTCTGTCTTAAGCAAGTTCCACTGCCCCCAACATCTGAAGGATCCAAATGTTGAAGAAGCTATCTCCTGCATTTGATTGAGTTCATTTAGAGTTCCACAGATCCATGAGACTGTAACAATGGATCGGGCTCTGAAAGCTGCGAGAGCCTCTGGTTCTCTCAACCTCTCCAATCGCTCTCTCAGGCAAGTTCCCTTCCTTCCTAAGCTTTTACACCCCTTCGTACTGCTTCATTTCCCATGGCTATAATTCGCATTTGCGATTCCAGGGATGTTCCCGACGAGGTGTACAAAATTTCCGATGCTCTCGGCGAGGGCGAGAAATGGTGGGAGGTAATAGTGATTTCCTTCTTCCCGTTACCCGCTTTAGTTTTCATGGAAGCTGCATCGAGCTGTAACGCACAAGGTTTGGCCGATTCATTGTGTTTGCAGGCGGTTGAGCTCCAAAAGCTGATATTGGCTCACAATGAGATCGAGTCGTTGAAGGAGGACTTGAGAAATTTGACCCAATTGACTGTGCTTAATCTTAGCAACAACAAGCTTCAAGAGCTGCCCTCTGCCGTAGGAGAGTGAGCTCTCTTTAGTCTTTACCTTGCTTCCCATCTCACCTTTCTCCCCATTTATTGTGCTTTCTGGGTTTGGTTCTTTAATACATATTCCCATCGTTTGGCAGGCTTCCTATGCTTAAATCTTTGGATGTGTCGTTCAACTTGATTACGAGAATACCTGAAGAAATCGGATCGGCGTCTTCGCTCGTCAAGTAAGTGTTTTGCATCAATTCCCTCTTCCCATGGTTGTGTGTGTATAACTGGGTGTGGATCATGAGCAGCATTCTTTCTGCTTGTGGATCATAGGCACCATTTGGCTCGTATGCTAAACCTATTTTTAGTGCAGTTGACGTTGAATTCTTAATCCACATCATCTCACTGTCTCTTGGTTTGCTTTAGGCTGGATGCTTCTGGAAATAAGCTTTCAGAACTTCCAAGTTCACTTGGAAGATGTTCAGAGTTATCTGATCTCAAGGTAATGGTGTTTATAATTTGCAGGTTATGGTGGACACTCTGTTGCTATACCTCATCCACCCAAAGCTTGTTGCTTTCTTTTACTTTGTGATTTTTAAGTTTTTGTTGACACTGCAGATATCTAAACCAGATGGGATAGCATTTAATAATGGCATCTGTATCTTAAATTAGTTCTTTTTTTCGCCGTCTTGTAAAACAATATCATTTTTGTCCACTAAGTTTGTATTGTTTTGATCTATGTCTATGTGGTGTCCGTATTTATTCATATGTGTGGAGAAACCACATATTCATGTTATATACTTCAGTTTTACGTTTTGTCCAGACAAACGCTTGCTAGATATTTGTGGACTAGAAAAATGAAAAAGACTTGATCACTCCATTGTGGTTGTATCTTCTTGGCTAAGGATTATACTTTTTACATTTCTTGTGTCCAAGAGCCTGTATAGTATACATGATGTACTCTTGTTCATGCTGCATCTGGCAGGTATCAAACAACTGTCTCAATAGCTTGCCTGAGGAACTAGCCAGATGTTCAAAACTGTCAAAACTGGATGTGGAGGTATGCATCTAAATGTGCAAGTCTAACATGAATTGCCTGCTGGTTAGCTCTTTGGGGCAATATCTTTGGAGTTTCCGGATGTGGCCCGTAAGATAAACATACGATATTCATGTTTATACAAGATTGTTGTGATTCTAGAAGTTCCGAGTAAACAATATTGTCAAAAATCAGGGGAACAAGTTACACATTTTGTCTGGCAATCTGGTGGCGTCTTGGACCAAGCTTACAGAACTCAATGCATGTAATTGCCTATACCAGTTGTTGGTTTGGTTTTTTGACGATAATAATTTTCTAAATTGTGTGTTGATATTCTTAATTTGGTTTCTTCATTCTAATGTTTCCAGCAAAGAACTTGCTGAGTGGCCTACCAGACAATTTTGGAAGTCTGTCAAAACTCATCCGTCTGGATCTTCATCAAAACAGTCAGTGAATATATTAATGAATGTGCTTCTCAATGTAGTGATGAAGCCTCTGCTGAAGGCTATTCTAGCTTTCCTGACTACTTGTCATATTCATATATGATATTTTGCAGAAATTGCTTCAATCCCACCGTCAATAGAGGGATGCTCTTCTCTTGCGGAATTCTATATTGGGTCAAAATTTTATCTACTTTGTGAATTTATTTTCAGTAATCAGATTGGATTTACCACATTCTATCTTCTTTCATTTTATGTTGCAGATTTAGCACTTGAGTCTTGAATAACCTTTAGCTCCTTGAATGTTCAGGAACAACTCCTTGTCTACTTTACCTGATGAAATCAGGGCACTTGGTCGCTTAGCCACATTAGATCTCCACTCCAACCAGGTATTTTGTCTCATGACTTCCTTATAGATCACGACGGTCTTTGGTTGCTGCAAGCTAGATTGAACTAGAAATAACCTGTAATTGCTTTTTATTAGTTGGACAATACACAATAGACATCCACTGAATAGTGTATTACTCCTAGAAGTTACGACTGCTATCAACCAGTTCATAAGGAGTGTGCTACTGAAAATATCCCTGTCATATTTCATGATGCATTTATATGCTGCTTGCATCAGTCAGGTGGAAGAACTTAAAGTGAAAAACTAACACTTATATAATAAAATGTACTTTCAATAGAAATAGTGATCTCACAGAGCAGATACACGCTATCTAAGTATTATGCTGCACTGCTGTCTTCATTTTTGTTTTCTATAGTATTGGACCGAAGAACTTTTGAATTCATGCTAATCATTTGGTACATGTGCAGCTGAAGGAGTTTCCTGTTGAGGCTTGCAAGTTACATCTTTCAGTTCTTGACCTTTCAAATAATTCATTGAGTGGATTGCCTCCAGAGATTGGTAAGGTTAGCGATTGCAGTTTGCAAGAAAATCTATTCGAGTATTGGTCGAGTCTAAATTCATGCATGATTCAGTTATGATAGAACCTCATGCTACTTAGAAGACTTGTTTTAATTTTGGCCGCATAAATAATTTGTTCCAACCAAGTGGCTAAGCTAGGATGTTGCCTGGGCCAATAGTAAAGTTTTTATTGTCAGATCTTTTCCCCCAACAGTAGGTCTGGCCACATGGTTTGTCCACATCAGAAAGGATATGTTAGGTTGTAAGGACTCGTTGAATACAATATTCAGGTGAGAAAGTGTTAGAAACAAAGTTTCTAACGGGTTTGATATTTGGGGATTAGGGTTTATACGAATAGAATTAGGGATTGAGATTGGGGATTTGGGAAGAACAGAATTGGGGATTAGGGATTTAGAAGAGGAAATTGGGGATCGAGGAGAAGAATGGCCGACGGCCTAGGGATAGGTGACGAATTTGAGAGAGATTAGGGTTGAGATACGTTTCTGAATAATTGTTCTTGCTTAATTGTAACGGAATACCCAAGTACATATTTATAGGAAAAGATAGGAAAACCTAATACTAAACCTAATTCTACTAAAAGACTACTAACCATATTTAATAAAACCTAATAATAATGCTAATGATAATGATGACATAGAAACCCGTTTTCGTTAGAAAACGTGTTTCTAACATCCCCTCCCCCTTGAGACCAACCTTGCCCTCAAGGTTGACCGATTCGACCCACGTCTTCGCCTCTCTTGTGCTATCAGTACGCCAACTGCTCCGTGTCTTGCGCTTCCTTTTCTTCCAATCAGGCTCCACTACTTGAACGAATCTCATGCCAGCAACTTCGACTCCCATGGCTTCTCCTTACCCACATGGATCGTGTCACAACCTCGACCAAATGACTCTCCAAATGACTCTCCTAACTCCTTTTCAAACTCTATAAAATAAGAGTCAGAGAGTTGTTCTTCCTTGAGCATATCCTCATTAACCACCTTAAAGTATTCGATGGATTGCTCCATTGACTTCGCTAAGTACTTGGTGGTGTTGACGATCCATGACTGCTCCCAGCTCCCTTTGCCATCTTCCTTAGTTCGGCCCATGATAACTTCTAAAAAAGAATTATGGCCCAAACCAATTTGAAGTTTTTGTGCACTCCTCCTTCTAATTTTGTTTGGGCTTGTCTCCTTTAAAGACCCACTAGTTAAGCCCACCAAACTCTCTTCTTCGTTTAAGTTATGTCCCTGCAAACTAAAATCAATAAGACAACCCATTGAAACTCGGCCCAAGGAGAGCCCAATAGACTTCTCACTTCTCAGCCCGTATCCAAACCAATCCACTGCTCTTAGCCCATTCTGATCTGATCCGCCCAACATAAGCTCGGCGAATTTTTTCTCACGGACCAGTCCGTGACTGAGAACCCTTCTAGCCGGCCCATCAAACCCGTAGATCCGAACAGAGCGGCCCACGAACTGGAGCACGGCCCGCCCGACTTGTTGCTTCTGAGTGAGGCGAACTAGGGTTGCAGGGGAGAGGTAACAGCCACCCTCCCTCGTCGTTTCCCTCCCCAGCGGCACACAAGCCACTCGCCGACGGCGAGACCTACCCAGCCGACACGGAGATTCGCGCGCTGCAGGTCGCTTCTCCGACTCCGCCTCCGCCTCCGCCTCCGCGTCGGTGGTCCTCGGCTCTTTCCTCGACGCTTCCCTTCCCGAAGGTGCCCGCTTCGCCTCCTTCTCCCGCGACAAGGTCGTCAGGCGGCTAGGGGGCCAATCCGACCCACCACCTCTTATCTCCGCCACCTCGTCGCTCGATGTCCGGAAGGAGGAAGGGAAATCGTCGCCGCCCTCCTGTTTCTTCTCATCGGCCGTCATTGCCACGACTCGAGCCGCTAGTGAGTGCGTCAGTGCTGCGGCGGTTTGCGATGCCGACGAACTAGCCCGACAGTTTGCAGTCGTCTCCTCTCCGCATTGTCGGTGGCTGGCGCTGAGATCTGTCCGTCCCTCGTCCAACTTCACCCACAGTAGCGGCGAATTCTCTTCTCCAAAGACCTTCGAGATCAATGGTCTCTCGCGGTTCCTCCTTTCTTCGCGTTGGAGACCCTCTTCCACCATTTTCTTCTTTCTGAACTTCCAATTTGATTCTTGTAGAAAGTCCCAAACTAAACCAAGATCATAATCAGCAGCGTAATCTTCCAAACCTGGTCTCGTTCGCGTCGAGGAAGTATGGCTATCAAGTGATTCATCCCCTATTCCGTCGATTGAGGGAACAACAGGGACGGTCCGAATTTGAACAGCAGCAGGGGTTACAAAGTCCCCTTCTTCGACTGCAGCAACGTCAGTAGCTCTGATTGCCCTCTCCAGCACCTGGGTCTCTCGCCGCTGCTGCTCCTCTGTCGCGTCTCCGGCCACAGCCTCCTCCTCCATCACCGGTTCCGTGTCGCTCCCTTCAACGGTGACTTCCACCGCTTCGTCGGTCTCGGCGGACATTGGTGGTCGCTCGCCGTCGGCGATTCGGGTCACCTTCTCTGCTTGCACGGTCGGCGACTCTTCGGAGCTCCAACGGCGTCCGATGCGTCGAGCCCGATCACGCAACTCTGTCCACGATAGGTTCGAGAGCTTTGAAGAGCTCATCGTCGAACCAGTTGTAGAACTCGTCCCCGGTTGAGAGTTGTGGCGAACTCAATTCTCGAACCGGGCTCTGATACCAGATGTTAGAAACAAAGTTTCTAACGGGTTTGATATTTGGGGATTAGGGTTTATACGAATAGAATTAGGGATTGAGATTGGGGATTTGGGGAAGAACAGAATTGGGGATTAGGGATTTAGAAGAGGAAATTGGGGATCGAGGAGAAGAATGGCCGACGGCCTAGGGATAGGTGACGAATTTGAGAGAGATTAGGGTTGAGATACGTTTCTGAATAATTGTTCTTGCTTAATTGTAACGGAATACCCAAGTACATATTTATAGGAAAAGATAGGAAAACCTAATACTAAACCTAATTCTACTAAAAGACTACTAACCATATTTAATAAAACCTAATAATAATGCTAATGATAATGATGACATAGAAACCCGTTTTCGTTAGAAAACGTGTTTCTAACAGAAAGCAGTTGGAAAATGAGATATTATGTAACTATAAAATGATACTGGGGCTGGAAATTGCCTTGGTAACTCAGCCAACTCTTATTTCTCACATGCTGATTAGTTATTTATCTGTTTGATTTTAGCTGCAATTTTGGTGAACAGTAGGATTGACTGCTTATCGTTCTCTCTGCAATCAGATTGTTTATTATGTGTTATTCTTGTCACTTTTATGGTGCTGTATTTTTCTCACTTTATGCATAACCTTTTGGTTAGTTGATTCTAAAGTGGCTAATGAGTATATATGTTGTCCAGGCAAGATGAACAGTCTGCGGAAAATTTTGCTTAATGGGAATCCAATACGGACAATTAGAAGGTGTGATTTATCATATTTATTTTCTATTTATTTCCCATTTTGCTCATCAAGTTAATTCGTCATTCTTTTCACTCTACCAGCTCTTTGATTTCTGGACCTACTCCTGCTTTATTGAAGTTTCTACGCAGTAGACTTCCACAAAACGGAGGTATGTGGGCCTCACCTTATTTGTGAAACTATGTTTATCTATTCTCTTTTCCTTCATTTCCTCTGCTGTTAGTGGTCTAACTATTTGATACTCTGCCAAAAATTTGATGATTCCTCTCATTCAGATTCTGAGTCTAGTACTTCATCAAAGGAGGATGTAGTTGCTTCTGCTGCGAGAATGTCCCTTGGTTCAAAGGTCTTTGGTTCTCTTTTGTTTTAAGACTTCCTTTTCTGCAGTTCTAGTTCTTGTACTCTAACTTCTACATTCATTGAGGTCCATGAGTCATGACCATGTCAATTGTTCAATGCAGTCACCTTCTTGCTTTTTTTCAACTGCTGTAGTATTTTTGCTCACAAGTGTGTTAGCCTATTTGTCATTTGACCTCGTATTGGAATATGCATGTCCAGCGAAAGGTTTCATTTGTTGTTGTAGAATGTAGAGTACATATGCCATAGACTATATTTCTTGTTACATTCCAGTATTTGGAATCAATAAATTGTAAAAAATCCCATTCTTGCACGACCGTCGACCGGCAAACATTGGCTGTAAAGATAGTTCCTCCGCTCTGTCGGAGCAGCTGCTTCCTTTTCATAAAGATCATAGCAGTAGTTCTTGATACCAGAGTTAATCTTTCCTCGGTCTGCTATACTGATCTTTCTGGATCTTAGAAAAAGTGGATAACTGTGTTGTCTCCTATGATTTGTTCCATACCCATCAAGGAAAATTCACCATTTCTGTTTCCATTCAATTTATTTGTCTACTAGACATTTCTTTTAACATTGAGCTTGTTTTGACAGGATCTCTCTCTGGAAGGGCTGGGTTTAAGTGCTGTTCCGTCAAAAGTATGGGAATCAGGTGAAATTGTAAAACTTGATCTTTCCAGGAATTCCATTCAGGAACTGCCAGTAGAACTTTCCTCGTGTGTCTCTGTACAGGTAATCCATTTGGTTAATTTCAGAAAAATTGCTACATGTGCATCTCTCATTATGGCCTTTCAAGAACCTCTGATTCGGAATGCTTTCCTGAAAGTGAAAAATGCATTTTTCCCCATCCATTTTGCTACTTCTGGACAGTGACGTGAAATAAATACATATTAGATATATAACTAGCATGATTTTCCACAGTTCTTATTCCTGATCCGAAGTAATTTTGCTTGATCAATTTGTGTATGATTTGTATGCATGCACCTTATCTTTACTACATCTTTGTATTTTTCTGTTTCAGAAGAAAAGATATTTGTTGCTTTTTAGGATAAGTTGGAGTATTGGATCTATTTTGTCTGCTTGGCTTTCTGGGTGCAGTGAGGCTGGCAATAAATTATAACGTACTACTAAACTGTTATATTGAATGATCTTACGCTGTCACTAAATTGGATATTTTGCTCAATTTGCAGACTTTGATTCTATCGAAAAACAAGATTAAGGAGTGGCCGAGTTCAATTTTGAAAGCACTCTCAAGCCTGACATGCTTGAAGTTGGATAACAATATACTTGGACCGGTAAGCGAGACCTAAATAACATATGCCAGAAAACAATTTTCATTCGGAATATCATGCTCTCAGCCTGTGTTGACGTGGAATTGATGTTTAGGAGTTAGCGAATCATAAGTGGATGATCCTCTTAATGAAGCATTTTGGTTCATTTTCCGCTTTCACGCGTGGTTATTTTGCTTGCTTCACAATATTCAATGATCCTCTAAATGAAGAGGGTTACTTTTGATGGACGCCATCTGTTACCTTCTTGTTTTTTTTTGGGCGCTCGGGAAATTGGTCTACTCTGGAGAACATCAACTTATTTCATTTTACTTACCCGTAGATCCCAGCAGATGGATTTCAAGCAGTGCCAATGCTTCAAATACTAGATTTAAGTTGTAATCCATCATCCTTATCCAGGAACCCAGCATTTTCCAGCTTACGGCATTTGCATGAGCTTTATCTGAGGTCAGTCAACAGCAAATGGCCATGCTACTTGCTTGCATTGGGGGTTCCATTTCTTGTTTATCAGTTCCTTGTCTTACCTCTTGAGTAATGTTGCAGACGTGTACAACTGGGGGAAATTCCATCTGATATATTAAGCTTAAAGCAACTAAAGGTCCTACACTTGAGCCAGAATTCGATCGAATCAATTCCAGAGGTACTGCTGGGTCACCATTTATAATCAAAGACTGTTCCAAGTGTTCCACATGATTATGGCCTCGGTTTCGAATGTTGATCATGTGATACTTTTTGAATGTCAGTATATTTAGCTGGTTCGCTTCCATTTACTCTCGTCTCCCATGGAAAAGTGGAAGCAAAGATTTGGTGGCCTTGAGTGCTATATTGGGTCCTTGACTTCTTTTGTGCTTTTTTCATGCAGGAATTTAAACATTTTGTTCAGCTCACTGAGTTTGACTTATCTGACAACAATATTTCTGTGCTTCCTCCAGAGCTGGTTAGTACACTCTGTCTTCGTGTAATCGTGTTTCTCGCCATGCCCACTTTTTCTGAGTTCTGTAACCTTTGTCCCACTCTTCTGCTGGAAGGAGAATTGTAAAATGTGGGAAAAAACCAACGTTTAACTTGTTTACTCCCAACTAGAAAATGAACTGAGCCACAGTTGCCAGCTTCTACTCGTATGATAAAAGACTCAACACTTCACTTGAATATCACCATGCACATTTTGCACGATCTAGCTGTCTTAAATTAACATCATTCGTTGTCATCAGGGCTTGCTCGAACCAACTCTACAGGTGTTGAGGCTAGATGGCAATCCACTGAGAAGGTATGCATTGCTTCTATTTGTCTCAGAATTACACTAGCGATTTGACAGCAGAAGCATCATTTTGCCATGCGTAAATTTTTTACGCCACTGTCTCATCGTTGCTACTATTTGCAGCATCCGGAGGCCGATTCTGGAGAGAGGAACTAAAGCTGTTCTCAGTTATCTGAAGGACAAACTTCCGGCCCAGTAGCTGGTTGAGCCTTCCTCTGTTTTCTGGCAGGCCAGTTCCCCCTGGCACTCCCTTTCACCATTTTACATCTGTTGCTTGCTGAAACTGTTGTAACAGCTTGTATCTTAACTGTCCTGTGAAGTGTGTGTGGTTGTTGTATTCTGAGCCCAAATTGAGAATCGCTGGCGAGCGATAATGTTCCTGATTGTGCAATTACACAGTTTATGTACTTAACTATGTTGAATTTTAAGAATCTAGAGTAGTCTATGATAAACAATTTGAGTTATTGGAATCAATTCATTCTTGACATGTTATCAGAGCTGTGACCAAGAGGTGTTCTGTTTGAATTCCGATGACATCATTTGTTTCTGTTAAGCACATGGTGTCTGGACCTATGCAAACTTCAAGCTCATATAAGGTGTTCTGTTTGAATTTCGATGACATCATTTGTTTCTGTTAAGCACATAGTGTCTGGACCTATGCAAACTTCAAGCTCATATAAGGTGTTCTTCGTTCGAGGGGGGTGTGTGTTAGTAATAATATAATAAAAAAATATGTAAAATGTAAAAGTAATATAATTACTAAATATGATTTTCATTCGTGAAATTTATTAAACATTACTTTGGGGCTTCAACTTACCAGAAAAATGTGTGCTCGCGTGGACAATTGAAATTTTGAAAGATAACGAAATTTCGTGGTAATTCGATCTCATCGATCTCACGAGGTAAAATGTAAAAGGGAAGATTGGAAAAATGATGAGGAGAAATGCAAAGGAATTCGATCAATTTCCTCAGAGCTATCCAGATTCTAGACAATGAGGCATGTGAGCAGAAACATCATAGCTGATATTAATTACTTTATTGTGGTGGTAAAAATACATGTGTTTCATGCATGGCAGAGAAATGCGCGCTTGTTCCCCAAACTGACATAATATCTTCATCATCCATGAAAGTTTACACAACAAATTATAGAAACAGAGAAAATTTTAAGTTAGGTATCGATCGAAAAATAGTACCTTTATCTCAAATAATAGAAACAAAGAGTGGTCACTTCCTAACTGTTATTGCTTATGTAATATGTGTCGGAAGAGACCGCGCGTGTCATCCTCTACTCCATTATCAGTTCGCGTAGCACATTTTAAATCACATTTTCATCCAGATGAGGGTTATTAGGTCTTATGCAATATACAGTTTCTCTCATGCTAGAAGGGTGGTCGATCCTTCCTTTCATGTAACTCCACAATATACAGTTGATTTTGTTGACACATATTATGTGCCTCTCCACACTAAAATCACACATCATTCATTACAAAATATATTCATCAACAATCTGCCCCGGCAGCAACGACGTACGACGTCGTTGATGATGTGTAACGTGGAGCAGAGTCCATTCGGGCCGGGTCCTGATCCGGGCTACCACCAACCAATTGCGACGGAAGGCAGGTTTCGCCGACGTGGCGCGGCGGGATTGGTAGATTACATTTCCTGGGGCGGGAAGGAAAAAGCCAATCCTTTTCCGACTCGGACTAGATCTATTTACGGCTTTACGCACCACCGCCGCTCTTTCCCATTTTCTGCTTTAAAATGAGGATTCCCTTCCCTTCTATCACTGATCAGTGTATGTTCCTAAACACAGTACGTAGATAGAAGGGGGAAATCAAAGAATGGCGATCGCGAGCCGGAAGCTGAATCGCCATCTCGCTCTCCATCTCAACCCGACTACTCCGGCCACTCACCACCGCTTCTCACCTTACCCGGCGGCAACCTCTTCTTCTTCCTCTTCTCTCACCACTCATCATCAAGAAGTCAAGAGCCTGACGGAGTTAGAGAAGCTCCACCCACTCGGCCAAGGAAGCGGCGGCGCAGTCTTCAAGGTCCGCCACAAACCCACCCGCGCAATCTACGCTCTCAAGAAGATCTCATCCGCCGCCGAAACCCAAGAAGAAGAAGAAGTCTCCATCCACCGAATCGCGTCCTCCTCCCCACACGTGGTCAAATTCCAGGGCTCCTTCCAAACCCCAAACGGCGACGTTTCGATCCTCATGGACTACATGGAATCCGGCTCCCTCTCCGACCACGCGAAAGCCAGCTACCACGACGCCCGCCTCCCGGAGCACGCAATCGCCGACGTGGCGCGACAGATCCTCCAAGGGTTCACCCACCTCCACGCCAACAACATCGTCCACAGGGACGTCAAACCCGCCAACTTCCTGGTTAACGCCAACGAGGTCAAGATCGCTGACTTCGGCGTCAGCAAGCGGCTCCCCACCCGCCTCGCCCGCTGCGACTCCTACGTGGGGACCGCCGCCTACCTCAGCCCCGAGCGGTTCGACATGGCGGCCCACGGCTCGACCTACGACGGGTTCGCCGCCGACGTGTGGAGCCTGGGGCTCGTTTTCTTGGAGCTTTACCTGGGGAGGTACCCGCTGCTTGAACCAGGGCAGAAGCCGGACTGGCCGGCGCTGATGTGCGCCATTTGCTTCGGGGAGATGCCGCCGAAGATCCCCGAGGAAGCTTCCGAGGAGTTTAGGGAGTTTATTGGGTGTTGCTTGGAGAAGGATCCTTGCAAGAGGTGGACCGTTCAGCAGCTGCTCGGCCACCGTTTCATCGTTCCACGTCCCCAAGAAGAAGAAGTCAAGGAGATAGCTAGATAGATAGACGAGAGGGATTCTTTTTTGTCATTATTGATGAACTGTAATTAATTAATTTGATGTAATGTAATAGAACTACGTAGACCTGATCCTCCGTGTTGGACAATGTAAAACGGAGGTACGTAGGCAGCCCTAAAGTTACCTGGGTGCGGTCTAAAATATTGTTACAAATCCAAAACTCTGCTCTAGCTACATGCATTTTCTGGAGCAGCAGAAATTAGACAATCATGGAAGCAAAATACAGTGAAATCTCCAGGAACTCAACAGTTGGCCCATTTATGACAGTTACCAGACACGTTCATTCTGCAGATAAGAGAGATGCCAGCTACCAAGACGAGATCAAAGCACTAGGCACGATTAAAATAGACCTTCTTCTCTCTTACATTTAGAAATTAGAACAGCAACAATGCATGCACATCTGCGTTGTATATGATTTTTCTTTTCGATCCGAAAGTAAGTAAAGTCGCGCTTGGTATTGGGTGTTTCTCTCGAATCGATCGAGAGGATTATTCTGATGTTGGGTTGCGCCTTGATGAACTCAGGTTACCTTCTTCTTCCCGAACAGTAGCCCCACGGAGTAGGTATCGCCCTTTTGCTTAGCAGCTTCCCGAACAGTACCATATCTTTTTTTTGGCAGAGTACTTTAGCGAGTTTCGTACACATATTTTTTCAATACTATTTCTTTGTATAAGCGTTGAATGTTGTTTTTCTTTTCTAATGAAGATTGCTCAAATTCTGTTGTGACAATGTGGGTATGAATTGATATGATTTCTGAAATAAAGAGTTTCACCTGTTATCAATATATTGCTTTTAAATATAAGGCTATGTTCCCTCCTGCGGCGTAGCCGCGGGTATTGATACTAGTGAGAGTGAAGACTACCTACACAGACACCAAGACTGGCAATGTATCCCTCAAGCTAGGAGTGACGACTATAAATATTGGCATTACATTCCTTGCTGAAGGACAAATCGAGATATCCGGGGGAGCTCTCTGGAGGTTCCACTTGGGGGTGAAACCAACGAAACCTCAAACACGTTGGAGACAGAGTACAAGGTCATGATGGCTCCCATGAGTTCGACTCGAATCAATCTGTTGGCCATCAGAGGTTCTTGTGACGTCCCCTTCTCCTATACCCAAAAGGACACTCTCACGCGTCTCACCAACACGGCAACCAAGTTACTTACTACATGGATGATGGCCTATCTCTCAAGTAACGATTATAACGGTTACTTGAGAGGAAAGTGACGGTGAAGGCGAGACCTTTAGAACATAAAAAACCATCAACCCAGTTCTATTCACATAAAAGCTCAAAGTTAACAGGTTATTCTTCACATGATTACCCGTAAGTAGGTTTTGCTGCTGTAATCATATCAACTTCTCGCCTTCAGTTTTGAGTAGCTGTTGATTGGTTCGAAGCATTTCCTTCAGTTGATGGGTGATCTTGTTGAGCATCATCTACACCATCTAGCAACAACCTAAACTTGAGGACCTTTTGAAGACGAGCAACCGGTTTCACTTCCTTGGACGGTACTTGATTTGGATCCACTATGCATCTCCCTGAGAAGAGATTCGCATCCGATGGTCCAGTCTCTTTATGCAGGACAGGGGCCTCTGCAAGAATTTGGCCAAACTTATCAAGTTCAGTTTTCGCCAGGCATCAATCAGAACATATCAAAGCATCAAAAGGAGTAAACATATACGGAATAAGCCCAAAGAAAACTAGAATAACTTCACATCTCAGCATAGAATCATTAGGTAAATAAAGGGTCCATGTCACTTCCAACACGCACATCTTCGATTTCTAGATGTCTATTGAGCATCCAATGTTGGGACTGTGTTCACTTAAGTGCCTTGTTCTTCTGTTAACGTTGGTTTCTCACACTGTGAATGGAGAAAAGTTTGTACCCATAGCTATAAACTTTTACACAACCCTGTTGGCTGGATCTAAAAAAGAAGTCATTTTTCAGTCAGCTTCATATTTCTCTTTACCAACTACTGTGTGCAGATCAGTAGTCTATGACTATTTTTCCCTAGAAAAGCAAAGTGATAGCAACTATGCAATGGAGGAACAAATCTTGGCCGAGTTCTCAAAACGACCAGAGAAACAAGGTGGTAAGCACGCTCACCGTTTTCTGAGAAAACCAAGCAAGTTCCTATTGTCTCTTCATATTCTCCAATCTGTAACAAGCATGACAAAAAAAAAATGGATTTTTCAACAACAGTAATATAATACAAACTTTCACAAAGCACAGTGAACCCCTTACAAGTAGCAACTCACCAGCTTCACTTTGCCATCTATAATCAGCATTGGGTTCAACGTGTCCAGACCCTATCATTGATTCAAACAAAACAGAATGACTTGCTGAAGATTTCGGTAGACAACATCCTAAAAGTGTCTAACTTATGACATGAATGTAGCAAATCAGGGAAGAAGCATATAAATCAAGTACAAAGCTTTGGAGGAATCTAAAAGACCAAGTATTCTTAACACGCAGGCGAAACGAGGGAGAGAAATTATGGGATACACTAAAATCAAACAGCAAAAAACACATAAGATGCAGGTGATCACAAACAACCAACCTACTGGTCTTAGAAAGCTGCAACATAATCCTAATATGCAACTGGCCCATGCATCCAATTCATTGTCTATTGATGATCCCATATTTCCAACAATTACTTGTGAACATATACTATGAATGCCAAACCAAACTTTACATCCACGCCAAAGATTGATTACTAAGAAATCAACATTCAAATGAAATGTAAACATAGGTAAAAGGTTATGCAAATTGCAAAGAACATGAGTGAAGCATTACAGTAAGAACATATGGCGTATCTGGCCGAATGCTAACATGCTCCATGACCGCATCAAGGTCAAGTAGTACATACTCTTCTTCACCCTTCTCGTCACTACGCTCTGTCAATCCTGCCTCCATTTAACTCTGCCCACAGGAAAATCAGCAAAGAAACAAGGTTAGAATCCAAATAACAAACGGTAACATGCAGATCAAGGAGTGCATTGAACATGGTTGCAGCCAGAAGGGACAAAAAAACTACCAACCAATGCTGTCAAAACCGAGTCGAAGTATGACCCGGTAACGTGAACGGCTCGATCATTAGTGATCCAGCCGGCATTAAACCGTTTAAAAACCGTTTGAGAACCGGTACCTAACAAACAATCATGTAAATTTATTAAACATCAATATATGTCGTGCTCATTCAGTATCGACAACACATTGCTAGCTTTCATCATTGCAAACCATTACAACAATCAAGTAAATTTATTAAACAAACCATTACAACAATCAAGTAAATTTATTAAACAACTACAAACCATTACAAACAATCACATCGTCTATCAGTATCGACAACACATTGCTAGCTTTCATTTGTATCTACTATAATCTGTTGCTCGCTATTTTTCAAACTTCCATCTTGCATCATGGACACCAATCCTAGAATCGAATGCATAGGTCTCTTCATTCCATCGCTCATAACCTTTTGAAAAGCATTCCTGGCTTGGCTAGCCATTAAACTTTAATAAATTGGTGTTTAATAAATTTACTTGATTGGCTTGGCTAGCCATTCGATTCACTGATAATGAGGTGCTTCATTAGTAATTTACCTGAAGAGGCCGACGTTCCGCTGAAGAAGATTGAGCCTGGATTCTCCCGGGTTCTGGCAGGCGCCGGCGGTGACGATGCAGAGGTTAGATCCGGCGGTGACGGAGTAATCGGTCGAGGAGAGAATCTGGGTGCGCGTGAGGAAAGCAGCAGCGTGCTGATGGCGAACGGAGACGGCGACGGGGACTCGCGAACGGAGACGGCGACGGGGGACCCGCGAACGGCGACGGGGGACCCGCGAACGGCGACTGGCTCTTCTTCCTCGTGTCTGGCTGCTGCGCGAAGGGGAGAAGAAATGAATGTATCTCAATGTCAATTAGGGTTACGTTTTCAGCAGCCTCCCCTTTCATTTACAATTTTTTTTTAAGGGTTAATAGCATTTTATACCCCTCTACTATTGCGAATTAACAAACATACCCCTCTACTAATTTTTTGCACAAACATACCCTTCTACTTTTAAAATGTAACGAATATTATACTTCCGTCTAATTTTCTGTTAAATGTCGGTTTAATAGACTGTAAAATGTCCCAATTGTCCTCATTAACTCACGAAAACTACTAATTTTGATTTAATATATTTTATGTCTCTAAAAATTAAAAGCTATCCCACAAATTTAAATAAGAAAATCTAAGCATTCCCAGCCGTTCTAACCCGACGACAAACCCTTTCTTCTTCCTCTCTACTCCCCTCTCTCCCCTGTACCATAGAAATCTGGCTACGCTCTCATCCAAAGGATGCTCCTAATATATATAGTGAAGCTAGCTATGCTCTCGGCAGCCAAAGGATGTTCAGCTGGCAGTTCATATAGACATATACAATTTGGGCGCAAGATTTCTCTGGCGCCGGCGGCCGGACGCACAAACGGAGGGAGAAGTGGATTGCGTCAACAACTGATGTTCGCGGGAGAAGAGAGTTGCGTCACCAACTGTGTGTTTACGTGGAGAAGAGAACGTGTACAAGCGCTCCCTCCTGGCCGCCGAACCTACGCAAGCTGCCGTCGATACAGTGTCGGATTTATTGGGCGCCATTTTTCTCTAGTGTAGAGAGTTCGGCGATGTGAGGAAGACGAAACGTCTGGCCGTCGAAGAGAAGTGAGGACTGAGGAGTCGGTAGGTTTCAATTTTAAATTAATTTGGTTAGAGATTAAAAATAATTAAATCAAGAGTTAATGAGGGACAATTGAGTCATTTCACAACTCATTAAACGTTATTTAACAGAAAAGTAGACGGAAGTGTATATTTGTTACGTTTTAATACTAAAAGGGTATGTTTGTGCAAAAAATTAGTAGAGGAGTATGTTTGTTAATTCGCAATAGTAGAGGGGTATGAAATGCTATTAACCCTTTTTTTAATTAAAGCAACCGGCCCAAATGGTAAAAGCCGGCCGAGCGGCTCGAGCGGTTAACCGCTTCGGCCGCTCGCCGACCGCCCCAAAGAACCACTCCGGCTAAATAGCTGAGTCGAGCCGGTTTTATGGCCGGGTGGCGGTTTTGGCGGCTCGGCCGGCCGGCTCGGCTCGGCTTTGACAGCATTGCTACCAACTGTTGTTCCCACGGCAACAACGACTAATTAACATAAACCGCTTATCCAACCAGCAGCCGCGGCAGAATGCATCTAATCCAGGCGAAACAGCTTGAGTTATATATCAGGCAATTGCAATTCATGGTCCGAAACGTTGACCCATTGAATTTCACAGCACAACAAGATCAAAAGCAAAATACTTTCCATTGCCTACTTCAGTTCCAGCTTACCTTCCTGAACCGTCGAGAATGCTGGAAGGAGAGGGAGAGGCATCGACGTAAACTCAGATGCGAAATCTGGGGCCGAAGAGGCCACTACCAGTTAGTTCCCCCAGCCACGGCCGACGATGAGGCAGCGAGAGAGCAATGGGACGGCGGCAACCAGCCGGTGCTTGCACCAGGGCTGGAGAATGGAGGAGAAGCGACGGGCCGGGAAAGAGAGGTCCGCCGTACCGGTAAAATAAAAACCTAATTTTCCCCCCCTTCTTCGTTGTCGATTTACTCTTCTGCCCTCCAAACGACACCGTTTTCTTGGTAGTTAAGAAGTTCAGTTGATACGGCAGCGTGCAAATGGTTACACGGCTACTCACCTGCTTCTTCTTCTGTTTCGCAAGATCTGGAAGAGCATCAGCATTCCATCGTTCCATTTGAAACCCGAATCGAGCCTTGTGAAAAGCAGAAATCGGAGGAGGGATTGAAAGATGGCGGCGGTGACGGGAGGAGCAGTGGCGCTTTGGAAGATGAAAGGAAGCCCGAAGAGAAAATCTGGCGACGAATTGGGAGGAGAAGGCGCCTCGTCATTCCATCGTCGCCGTCTTGATTGCGCCGGTTGCAGCTCTGGAGGCTCGAGTGGTCGATGAGCACGGGAGAAGGGAATTCGGAGCACCGGCGATTCGTCGTCAATTGTCCTCCGGAGAAGGGAGGCCGCGAGAGGTAGAGGAGGCTGGGAAGACTCGAGTTTTCGTCTGCTATCCGCCCCTGTCTGCCGGAGAAGGGAGGTCGCAAATGCAGGGGAAGCTGCGAGTGAGAAGTTCACCCCTGTTTTGGTCGGTTATGCGACGGGAAGAACTCGGGTGGGAATCGATCCTTTCTATCTCCTTATTTTACCGTTCAACTATATCAGCAATTTTTTGGTTTTTGATAAGCAAAATGTAGATTCATTGACTCAGCTAACATGTACCAACCCAACCTACTAATTTGAACTTGTTAGCCTAATGACTCTGTGTATACTGACTGATATATTATTTTATGGAAACCTTCTATTCTATTCATCCATGATGTTGATTTTTTTTTACTTTCTTCCTGGCCAGCTGATAATGAAGTTGGCCAATCCTGGAAATGCCCTGAACAACCTGGAATGCACGACTTGACTCTTTGGTCTCCTTAGTTTCCGTAGTCGTCATGATCTCGAAAGGTTACTTGTTTCTCAGATCCATTTCTAACAAGTCCTGCAACTCCCAGAAAACTACTACTCAGTCATTCTTACAGCAACACTGCTCAAACGAATGGGTTTTCTGTTTCAGTTCCCCTTCGCAGTAGTTCATGTCTTCCTGCTGCTGCCGTGCTCTAGTACTGCGGTGCTTGATGCTGTTACTCCAACCCAGCCTCTGATCGACAGCGATGGACAGACTTTGGTGTCCAAAGATGGAACCTTTGAGCTGGGTTTCTTCACTCCTGGTCCTTCCTCCAACAGGAACCGTTACTTGGGGATTTGGTACAGGAACATACCGGTCAGAAGAGTTGTCTGGGTTGCAAACCGCGACACTCCGGCTACCGATTCAGGCAGCTCTTTGTCGGTAGACACAGGTAATAGAAGCTTGGTAATTGTCAGCAGCAACAAGAGTGTCACTTTGTGGTCATCAAATGCGACGGCCAGCAGTAATCACCTGGTGACTAGTCTAGTAGCCGAACTTCTCAACACTGGCAATTTGGTACTAAGAGACCAAAATGACACGAGCAATTCAGAGGAATTTTTGTGGCAGAGCTTTGATTATCCATGTGACACACTTTTACCAGGGATGAAGCTGGGATGGGACTCCAAGTCGGGGCTTAACCGCGGCTTAACATCTTGGAAGAGCCCCGACGATCCATCCACTGGGGACTTCAGATGGGGAATCCAAGTGCAGAACAACCCTGAAGAGTTCATGTGGAAGGGCTCAGAGAGGTTCCACAGAAGTGGGCCATGGAACGGGTTGGGGCGCAGCGGGGCACCTGAATTGAGGGACAATCCAGTCTTCTCCTACAAATTTGTGTGGAATGAAGACGAGGTTTACTACCAATACGAGCTGAAGAACAAGTCATTGATCTCCATTGTAGTCATGAACCAGACATCGTACCTACGCCAGCGTCTGGCTTGGAACGAGGGGAGCCAGAGTTGGGGGTTGTATGCATCGGTGCCGAGAGATCGGTGTGACAACTATGCCACCTGTGGGGCATATGCGACCTGCATGGTTTCTGAATCCCCAATTTGTGAGTGCATGAAAGGGTTCAAGTCTAAGTCGCCCGAGATGTGGGAAATGGCGGAGTGGTCTCAAGGGTGTGTGAGGGAGAAGCCATTACCGGAGTGCCCCCCGCGGCAGAACAATGCGGAAGGTTTTGTCAGGTACAGTGAGTTGAAGCTCCCTGATGCCACCCATTCTTGGGTGAACAAGACCATGAGCCTTGGGGAATGCAGAAACAAGTGTCTGCAGAATTGTTCGTGCACGGCATATGCTAATACAGATATCAGAGGGGCAGGAAGCGGCTGCTCCATTTGGTTTGCTGATTTGATTGACATGAAAATGTTTTCAACTGGGGGGCAGGAGATTTACATTAGAATGCCGGCTTCAGAACTAGGTATGTTTCTGCTTGTTCTTTGTTACACTTACATTCAGTTAGCCTAAACGTTTTGAATTTCCTAAGTTGGTTTATTGTTGTTTCAAATGAAGAGAGGAAGAAGAAGGTGACAACAACCAGGATAGCTGCAATAGTTGGAGCTATTGTTGGGGGTCTTGGGTTGCTTGCACTTGGCTATTTCATTTGTAAGTGATCTATTGCATCTAACAGATTTCATTTTCAGCAAGAATGCATGTATGTGTGATTGTCATTTGATAGCCATCAATTATCAGATTCCAGAGTCAAGGAACAGGGTGATTCAAACATTTGCAGAAAGGAAGATCTAGAGCTACCCTTAATTGACCTACACAAGATAGTTGACGCCACTGCCAACTTTTCAGATTCCAACAAGCTGGGAGAAGGAGGATTCGGACCTGTCTACAAGGTCGAATTTATGTTATTGTCAGTTGATGAGAACAAAAAACGTTTGTTGTTGCATCATTAAAACCCATAAGACTGATTATAGTAAATTCTTTGTAATTATTCAGGGTGTTATGGCAGATGGACAAGAAGTAGCTGTGAAGAGGCTGTCAAGCGATTCCGGGCAAGGATTGAAGGAGTTCAAGACCGAGGTCATACTGATATCGAAGCTTCAGCACAGGAATCTTGTCAAGCTTCTTGGCTGTTGCATTCAAGGAGATGAAAAGATGCTGATTTATGAATACATGCCACACAGAAGCCTAGACTCTTTCATTTTTGGTCTGTCTATATGTGGATGCCACTATATTTCATTCAACGTTGTACTTGTTCGAAATCGAGCTGATATATATGGTTACACTAAGTTAACTTGTTTTCTTTTGATGCAACCATTCATGGCAGATAAAGGAAGAAGCAGATTGTTGGACTGGGGCAAGCGTTTCGACATAATTTGTGGGATTGCAAGAGGTCTTCTCTATCTTCACCAAGACTCAAGACTGAGGATTATACACAGGGACCTCAAAGCAAGCAATGTACTCCTCGACAGAGAGCTCAAGCCAAAGATCTCGGATTTTGGACTCGCTAGAATCTTCGGAGGAGATAACAGTGAAGGCAACACAAAGAGGGTCGTCGGAACATAGTATGTGACATGTTCTTTCGTCCTATATCCTTTACATAAAATTGAAAATGAATTAACTTAGCTTCCACGCATATTTATATTCGTTTTGATATGATTCTGCAGTGGGTACATGGCACCAGAATACGCTGCAGATGGGCTGTTCTCCGTGAAATCCGATGTCTTCAGCTTTGGAATCCTGGTACTAGAGATCATAAGCGGTAAGAAGAGTCGTGGGTTTTACCATTCGGACGAGAGTTTGAACCTTATTGGTTATGTAAGTACCAGTTGCTAAGAAAGTTGCTTCCTCATTCTCCCTAATTTTCCCCATTCTTATCATCACATTACCAGCCGCTTGTTTTTTGACAGGCCTGGAGAATGTGGAACGAAGGCAAGGCTTTGGAGCTGATGGATTCAGCACTCGATGATCAAGAGTCGCCGAGTGCTCGTAATCTGTCACAAGCAATGAGATGCATCCACACCGGCCTACTATGCGTTCAGCACTATGCAGAGGACAGGCCGAGCATGGCAACTGTAGTTGTAATGTTAGGAGGAGGCGACAGTTGTGCGCTACCGCCACCAAAAGAGCCCGGCTTTTTCAAGGACAAAGAACCGTTCAACATGATGGTATACTCATCCTCAAGCAAGGTGGAATCATCTTCAACGAATGAAATGAGTTTCACACTTCCAGAAGGTCGTTGAGTTGCCCGCGCCAATGCCAGAATCCTCGTCTACTAATCGATCCTTTTGTTCTGATGAACTTGTTTAGTGGTTTGCAGTTTGCCGTACTTTCAAGTTTCCTGGTGATTAATTCGGTTGTAATTGTATTCTTGGTAATGATTATAAGAAACTTCTGAATTCTGAGAACAGAGTAAAAGAATACAGTTCCAATTGATTACAAAGCCCAATAATCAATAGACAAAAAACTTATTACAAAGCTAGCAATTTTAATAGAAGCCCTTCAGAGCGGGTATCAGATTGTTGTGGATCGTCCGCCGGAGACGTTTCCCGTCGGTGACCGGTCCCAAATCCTGCTCCGCCTCTTCCTTGGACACTCTGAACGAGAAACCCTGACGCCGCTTACAACTACTGCTCTTTCTCCTCTGATGATCCCCCTGCCGCACATACCTCCGGTAGTTGTTATTACTGTAATTGTTCCCGTCGGAGGAGCTTCTCTCCGCCGCCAGTGTCCTGGCCGCCAAGATATCCTCTTCGATCTGCTCTTCCGTCAGCAGAAGCGAGAATTTCCTCTTCTCCTTTTCTCTCTCTTTCTCCTCTCTCTGCTCCAGCTTCTTACGCTCCTCGTCCGCCGCGATTTCAGATCTGGAAAAGGCGGCCGTGGGAGAAGATTTCCGGTAGGGCAACTCGAATCCAGCGACTTCTTGCGGCGGAGAGGAGAAATCGCGGTGACAGTTGGGCGCGAATTTTTCGACAACGACAGTGGAAGTGGTCCCGATTTGTCGGGACGGAGAGGGGTAATTCGGAGCGATTTTGCCGACAGTGAGGTCGAGATGGCGGCCGACGCGGAGGCGCACCACAACATTGGATGGAGCTGGAGCCATGCCGGCGTGCGAATCATCCTTCAACCCAGTTATGGTGGTTGTGCCTGGAGGGAGCTTGTAGCGGAAGGCGGATTTCGGCGGAGGTTTTGGGGGAGACGGGGCCGGGCGGCTTCGGAGGGAACGGCGGCGGGGAGAGATCATGGGCCAGTTGACGGGGAACGTATAGTTGGAAGGCTGGACGGCCGAGGAAGCCATGTTTGGCGAAGGGTGGAGTTTCTTCGAGTTAGGGTTTGGTGGGTGATTTTGCATATCCAGTGAGAGAGATGGAATTACAGAGTGACAGTGGCCGGAAAAACAGAGAGCTAACTATATAAAGCAGAGCAAAGAAGCGCCGCAACAGAAAGCTTGGACTGTGACCGAGCTTTGTGTATATATATTATTAGGGTTGTGTTTCGCTTATTCCATTTTGCATTCGGATTCCAACCCCTTTCCTTTCAGGAAAAGGATACGTTACCCGCCAATTTTTATACTTTACAGAAACAGGGGAGGAAGAAGAAACAATAATAAGATCAGAAGAAAGTGAACAAGCGAATGGGCTTTTTTCTAACAATTAGGCGGTATTGCACTCTGGAGGGAATCCATGAGGGAACCTCTTGGAATCCTTGCAGTAATCGTAAATCATGTAGTTCCTCCGAACCCATGCCAGCCTCTGCTGATTCGTTGCGTCCAGCTGCTGCGACATCCATGGCGCTGCGGCAGAGGAAGCTTCCGATTTGAAGTTTCTGTAGGAAGCCGTGAATGGAGCTTTCGACCAGTCCGTCTTCACCAGACCGCCGCGTGTAGCCCAGTCGTCTGCGTTCCACAGGCTCGAGTAGATTCGCATCGGCTGCCTCTTCGGGAACGGAACGCCTCTGCTCTCCATGTTCTTGAACTCCCTGATCGGAGTGCCGTCCACCGAGAATCTGCACACACAAATCAATTTTCAGAAATTGTAATTCAGAGCTCAGACAAGAATTATAATTGCTAAGTTCTAACTACTGGGCATAGTTAGGAATGGTTACATGATGCGCTGTGGGTTCCAGAGGATGGAGTAAGTGTGGAAATCGGCCGTCGGGTCGAACCAGAGATAGAACTGTTGCTCTCGGTTCCCTTTGCCCTGTGAGAACACATTGGTGTGAAGGATGTAAGGATCTCCACTCAAGTTGCCTAAGAACTCGAAGTCGATTTCGTCCCATGTCGATCCTTTCGACGACAACTGCATGCACACAAAAATCCGTAAGACAAAAATCCGTAAGACAAATGAAGAGGACGTGACAAGGGTTGGGACGCGAATTGAGGTTGTAACAAACGTACGTAATAGGCAGTGACGGTGCCAGCAGAGTTGCCAGCGACGAGCTTGAGCTGCATGTCGATCTTGCCGAACAAGTACTCGTGCTTCGACTGGAACCCCGAACCGGAACCCTTGTCGAGGGCGAGGGTGAGGAGCTGGCCGTTGTTGAGGATCTTGGCTCGGCCATCTCCCCACGTAACGTCGAAGTCCTGGTTGAAGTTTCCTGCTGCTGAGACGATCGCGATTAGCAAGATCGATATCGAGCAAGCTAACGAAGCCGCCATTTTGTTCGATTCGGGGGGGGGGGGGGGGGGGGGGTAGGAATCGTGTGTAGAAGATTCGAATGGTTTGAAGGGATGAGAGAAGTAGAAGGGTTTAGGGTGGGTTTTATACTAGGAAGGGAAGGGTCAAGCTGGTGGTGCATGAATTTTCATGGGGATGGAGCAAGTGGGTAGGAAAAGAGAGGCCAAGTCAAAGTTTTTTCTAATGGAGGAGGAGAGATTGGTATGAAGTTACTTTCAGTGTTAGCTAGGGAAGGGGAGGGAATGGGCTGTGTCCAGTTGGCGTTGGATGGAATAGTTGGTGCTTAGAAAATACAGAGGACCCATCAGCGATCTCAAAGAACCAAACAAGTAGCTAGTAGCTAGTATGATTAGGACTTGATTATGGGACCTGAGATTAATAGTTTAATTGTCTAGACTTAGATAAGACCATACTAAGGATAATTAAGAAGCTTCGTCGACAAGGCTACTTGGATGAGACCTGAAATTATATGAACTGGGTGATGATGGTATTGAAAGGTTAGTTTCGGAAGATAGAAAAACTCTGGTATTTTAGAATTGCTGACGAGGCAGTCGTTTCGTGTTCGGATAAGCTGGAGGCAGTGGCGGATATAGGAAGTTTATATAGGGGTATCCTTATCCAAAAAAATTAAATTATTATTAAATATCAAATGTTAAAATTAATAACTATCCAACTAGTAAAAGTTACAATAAAAAATTCAGATGTGTTTCATATTATGAAAAATGGTCGAATACATTCCGTATCTACACTACGCATCAAATATCTCTCGACATATTATACTAAACAAGGGTAGCCCGTAATTGGGTTTAATTATTAGGTGTTGAAAGTAATTGAGGATAAGAATAGTCTTTTACTTTTATATTTGTATCTAAAACAAAACAATAGAGTCTAATTGAAAATATGTTAACTAATAGTAGCAATACCATTCCAAGTTCAAATCACATAGAGTACCACATAAATATTATTTGTACTCATACACAAACTACTACGTGAAGTTAAATAATAATTTTCCAAATTTTAAATGTGTCCCGCTACCACTTAGGTATTTTTTTTTATCAATCGCAAGCTACTATCGGAGGCTGCACAATCATTTTTCCAAATTTTAAGGGTGTCCCGGGACACCCCTAAACATGCATGTATCCGCCAATGGCTGGAGGACTCGTCACTAATGATCGAAGTTGTCAAAGTCGTAGAAGCACCCTTTTTTTTTTGTAATTATGTTTATTTGATTTTAATCATTCCTCGATCTGGTTTCTTCATAGCATCGGTTGTTTTGGGTCTAGCAATTTATTCGACAGATTCGCATTTCAATTTAGAAAATTATGTAAATTTGTTTTAGTTTGACTCAACACAACATATAACTCAAATATTCTCATCGGTTGACGTAGCTACCTAGTGAATGTCTGATCATGGCACCCTAGATCGATCAAATAGGAAGAACAAAATTAGCGATGCCAATTAGAGAAAGAAGAAGAGTAGATGAATAATCGAAATGATTACTTTTCTTGACGAAACAAGTAAAGTTACCTTATAAAGACTCCGACCCAAAATGTGAATTCATCCTAACATAGCGAAATGCCTAAAATACCCTCCTAACCTATTTAGACCCTCATCAGTCATCACTGTCCTAACCAGCAGACACTGAATTAATGGGGTTTGTTACTCCATCGACGTCCGAACAGAATGCAGAGCAGGCAGAGAGACCCGAATTTTGGAACAGAGAGATCAGAGGCAGGGCAAGACGCGTTTGTTAGCGTCAGGTCTGCTAATTAATTGTAGAGAGAAAAGACGTCAGAGGGAGAATTGAATCCACTGTAGAACACTGTAAATTGCAATCTGACGAGTCTTTTATTGAATGAAAGCCAAATACTTATACTTGTCAGTGCAAACCACAAGATTGGTTGCTCCCAACGTTCACTAACCGAGAATCAAGCTAAACACAAACCAGCTAACAACCTTACTCGCAGAAGACTCTCAACAGACTAACAACTCTTGACTGGACTAAAAATAACAAAACACAAAGTAAAGGACCAGCATGGTAATAAAGCAAACGACGCAGTATTGCTCAAACTTGCAGCAGTAGTAATTTGAACAGCTTCCATTGGCGCGCTTCCTAATCCTTGTGAGACAAGGATTCCTTCTTCAACATATCCTCCCCTGAACTGAACCCTTCCAATTCACGCTTCAGTTCACTTACCATCTCCAATCTTCACTGGTCTTCGAATTCAGAGAGATCACACATACCAAGCTCTGCTCTCAGCCTGTGAAAGGCTTCTTGAGATAAAGCCTTGGTCATAATATCAGCCACTTGCTCCCTTGTCCCACACTGCTGCAACTCCACAACTTCATCTCGAACCAACTCCCTCAGGAAATGAAACCTTACATCTATATGTTTGCTCCTTCCATGAAGAACTGGATTTCTGGACAGCTTTATAGTCGAGCTGTTGTCACATCTGATCTCAGTGGCCTTCTTCACACTTGATTCCCATCCAATCTCAGTTAGAACTCTTCTCAACCACACTGCCTGTGCTGCACAGTAGGCAGCAGCCACGAACTCAGCCTCAGTAGTTGATAGGGTCACCACAGGTTGCTTTTTAGAGGCCCAGGAAACAGCTCCACCTGCAAGGAAGAAAATGTATCCACTGGTACTCTTCCTGTCATCAGAATCACCTGCATAGTCTGAGTCTGTATATCCTAACAGACTTCCTTCTCCATTCTCCCTTTTGTACCATATACCACTGGTGAGTGTGCCTTTTAAGAATCTGAGAACTCTTTTAGCTGCTAGTAGATGCTGCTTGGTGGGTGCTTCCATGTACCTGCTTAATAAGCATACAACAAACATCAAGTCTGGTCTGGTGGCTGTAATGTACAGCAGACTTCCAATGAGCTGCTTGTACTCAGTGGCATTTACCAAACCTCCATCTCCAGCTTTAGTTAGTTTTGCTCCAGGAACAAGTGGATTATGAACAAAATTGCAGTCAGCAAGATTGAATCTTGCTAATACCTCCTTTGCATACTTCTGCTGACATATGAATATGCCAGTTTCCTTCTGAATTACTTCCACCCCTAAAAAGTATTTCATTTTGCCCAAATCTGTCATCTCAAATTCTGCTTCCATCGATTTTTTGAACTCAGCAACCATAGCAGCATTAGTACCAGTGTAAAGTACATCATCCACATAAATGCTTACCAGTAGTACTTCCTCACCAGAGTGTTTGATGAACAATGTGGCCTCATATGGACATTTTTGGAACCCAGCAGCCAAGAAATGAGCTTCTATTCGACTGTACCAGGCCCTGGGAGCCTGCTTTAAGCCATACAAGGCTTTCTTGAGTTTGTATACTTTGGATTCCTCCCCAGCAACCACAAAGCCTTGTGGTTGCTCAACATAGACATCCTCAGCAAGTTCTCCATGGAGGAATGCGCTTTTGACATCAAGTTGCCAGACTGGAACTCCATGTTGTGCAGCAAAAGCCAACAGGCACCTGATAGTATCCCATCTGGCTACTGGAGCAAAGACCTCATTGTAGTCTATTCCCAGCTTCTGAGCATATCCTTTGACAACCAACCGAGCTTTATGTTTATCCAGAGCTCCTGTTTCAGTAAACTTAGTCTTATAAATCCACTTGAGACCAATGGGAATTATACCTGCAGGCAGATCAGTTAATTCCCAGGTGTTGTTCTTGTCAATGGACTTCATTTCCTGCCTCATTGCTTCATTCCAGACTTCTTTTGTGGCAGCTTCTTCAAAGGATTGAGGATCTTCAGATACTGCAATCATAGCCAGCCATTCTGGTTGCTCACTTTCTATGCTGTTGCAGTCATATATAGCTAGGTGACTTGGTGGCTTTCTTGATCTGGGGCCAAGATCAGTGCTTCGAGGTAGGCCTAGCACATCAGTGGCCTCATTTCCAGCATCTTCATCTGCAGCTTCAGGTACAGTAGGAGGTGTAGGAGTTTTTGGACTTGGAGGTTCTTCAGATTCTTCCTCCTCATTTGTTTCATCAGGAACTGCAGTAGCTGAAAGGTGTGGCCCTTCTTCTCCATCAGAATCTTCATAGATATCATCACTTCCTTCCCATAGCAAACTTGTTAGGACAGGTTGAACATCAGATTTCCACTTCCAGCCCTTACTTTCATCAAAAACCACATCCCTACTCACCAGAATTTTCTGTGTTTCTGGATTGTAAAGTCTGTAGGCCTTTGATTCTGTGGAAATCCCCAGGAAATGGCACTGGACACTCTTATCATCCAACTTCTTTCTGAACTTGTCAGGTATATGTGCATATGCCACACAACCAAACACCCTAAAGTGAGAGACTGATGGGGGAGCACCAGTCCACAGCTCCTGTGGTGTTTTTCCACCATTAGCAACAGTAGGGCTTCGATTTAAAACATGTGTTGTCCAAGTTACAGCTTCTGGCCAGAATTTTGCAGGTACTAGAGTGTCTTTGAGCATGCATCTCACCATGTTCATGGTGGTTCTGTTTTTCCTTTCTGCCACCCCGTTTTGCTGAGGAGTTAGAGCTGCTGTCAACTGTCTCTTGATTCCAGTTTCATCACAAAGAGCCTGGAATTCATTTAACAAGAACTCTCCTCCCCTGTCTGTTCTGAGACACATAATTGGTAAACCAGTCTCCTTTTCAACCTGTGCCTTGAACTTCTTAAACCAATCCAAAGCCTCAGATTTAGCTGCTAGGAAGTAAGCCCACAGCTTCCTACTGAAATCATCAATTATGGTAAGAATATACCTTCTTCCCCCATTTGAAATGGGTGTGATGGGTCCACAGAGATCTGCATGGAGCAACTGAAGTTTCTGTGTGGCCCTCCACTGGCTGTGCTTTGGAAAGGCCTGCCTGGTTTGCTTGCCCACTTGGCATGTAGAACAAACTCCAACCTTCCCCTTCAGCTGAGGTATGCCTGTGATGAACCCCTTCTGTGTCACTTGTAGTAGACCCTGAGGATTCAAATGACCAAACCTCCTGTGCCATAGGCTCAAGGAGGTCTTCGAGGTATCTTCAGTTTGAATCCAATGAGCTTCAGTCTTGCCTGACTCATCTTTCAAGACAAACATTCTGTTTGATCTCATTGTGGTTTCTAGCAGAAACCCTCTTTCTTCATGATAGATTCTGCAAGTGTTCCTCTTTACCATGAACTCCAGCCCCTTCTCCTGCAGTTGGCCCATACTCAGTAGATTGGTTTTTAATCCAGGTACATAGAACACATTATGTACAACAAGATTCACACTTCCCAGCTGCAACTTGACTTTGCCTTGCCCAGCAACATCCAATCTAGTATCATTTCCCAGCCTAATCTTTCCAGCTTGAGTAGCTTCAAGAGATTCAAACCATCTCTTGTCTCCAGACATATGATTACTACAACCAGAATCCAGAAACCAATAATTGTCCATTGCTTCTGCTAGAGGTTCTTCCAGAAAAGCCATTAGCAGAACATCATCAGGAAGAGCATTTCTGTCACTTTTGTCACTGGAATAGGCTTGAGAATAGTGAGCTTGCTGATTTGTGTACCAGTCAGGGCATTCACTGCGATAATGACCCATCTTGTGACATTTGAAGCATTCAACATGCTCTCTATTCCAGCCTCTTCCTCCTCGCCCTCTTCCCCTTCCTTGCCACACACCAGCTCTGCCTGCTCCTCTTCCACCTCTACCTCCACCTTCATATGCCATTTTCAGTGCCTGATCTTCCTCCAAAACAGACTTCCTATGAAACTTCTGCTCATGAACAAGTAAGGAACTCTGCAGGGCATCAACAGAAAGGGTCTCTATGTCCTTGGACTCCTCTATGGAGCATACAACATAGTTGAACCGTTCAGTCAATGTCCTCAAGATCTTCTCTACAATCTTAACATCAGGCATCTCCTCTCCACAATTCCTCATGTCATTAGCCACTACCATAACACGACTGAAGTAGGCAGAAATAGACTCACCCTCCTTCATTTCAAGAACTTCAAAAGTTCTCCTTAAAGCCTGCAACTGAGCCTTCTGGACACGAGCACTCCCTTGGTATTTTGTCTTCATAGCATCCCAGAGTTGTTTGGAGGTAGCTTTGTTTGTGATTGTCTTCAGGATGGACTTGTCGATGGAGCTGAACAAGTAATTTTTGGCCTTGAGATCTTTCAGCCTGAGTTCATCCAGGTTCTTGGATTCCACAGCAGACAGTTGAACCCCAGCAGGATGCTCAGGGATTCCCTCACTGACCACTGACCAATACTCCTTGGATCGTAGGAGATTTTCCATAAGCAGGCTCCAGTGATCGAAATCACCATCAAACTTTGGCAACCCCACTTGAGCAAAGCCATTGTTATCACTCATGTTTTACAGATCACACACAACTCACAGCACTCAGAAATCACACACCCTTAAAACACCTCACCAGAGAACTCTCGTGTTTCCCAAACCCAGATCTTGCACTGCACTCTCACTTTCCTTAATCAATCACTCAGAATCTTTGCTTGAAAGCAACAATGGTTACAGCTTGCTAATGCTCTGATACCAAATGTAGAACACTGTAAATTGCAATCTGACGAGTCTTTTATTGAATGAAAGCCAAATACTTATACTTGTCAGTGCAAACCACAAGATTGGTTGCTCCCAACGTTCACTAACCGAGAATCAAGCTAAACACAAACCAGCTAACAACCTTACTCGCAGAAGACTCTCAACAGACTAACAACTCTTGACTGGACTAAAAATAACAAAACACAAAGTAAAGGACCAGCATGGTAATAAAGCAAACGACGCAGTATTGCTCAAACTTGCAGCAGTAGTAATTTGAACAGCTTCCATTGGCGCGCTTCCTAATCCTTGTGAGACAAGGATTCCTTCTTCAACATCCACAAGTGGAAGAACTTGGTCATGGAGGAAGGAGGTAAGTAACCTATCAGCAGCCCATCAGGTGACCCACTCGATTTGACTGTATGGTCGATCGATCGAACAAACAAACCCAATGCTGCCAAAACAAATATGGTTGTTTGCTGATTCAAATAACCAATTGGGGTTGTGACTTACGGGATTATCCTCTTTTCATCTGCTTTACAGGCTGTGATCTGCTGGATCAAAGGTCTTACTCTGTTTTTTTAATGGCGTCACTTGCATATTATTATGATCTCTACTGAGCCGGCGGGCACTGGTGCAGAACGCTGCGCTCGAAGACGCCAGAGGATTTGGATCGAGGAAGGAATCTGGAAAGTGACGACGGCAAAGTTGGCAGCTCCAGGATCTCCGAAACCACCTCGGTTTGTCGCCATGTCAAGAAGGAGAGGCCGCGTGCTGACTAAGTTGTTGTCAGAGAGAAAGAAAGTTTGGCTGCTTGAAGGACCAAAGTAAAGAATGACCTCAAATAATCCTCCAGCTGACTCAGTTCGAGATTAGGGGAAGTTTAGCTGATTGATTGGTTAATTTCGGCCGATTAGTCTGTGCAATATTGTGTACTGTACGATCGAACGTATTAGGAAGAAATTTAAGAAGGAGTAATAAAAATCTCAATGTCGTCTCGTGGATAATAAGGTAAGTGTTGTGTTGATTTTATAAATTGATACGTGATAAATTAATAATTGTGTCGGTCTCGACTTGGATTGTTGTAAAAAAGAGAAAATTTAATTAAATCATAAGATAATAATTATTTTTAGAACCAACCTACATAAATATATGAATACGCAATTCTATAAATTAATAATTATAAAAATACAATTCATTAAGAAATTTAAAATACAACTAGAAAAATGTTAATATCTACTTGTTTGTTTCTTCTCGAAGTTCAAGTATGGTAGACGCGTTCAGTTTGAACTTTCTTCATTGCACTATAAATCTTTGGTGTTGTCTTCTCTAATTGCAACTTCATCTTCTTCATCCTCAATCGAACTTCCAATGACGTCGTCCCCAATTTCTTCTAAACTTTAATACATTTGTAAAATTGAAATACATGTATTTGTGTAGGTTGGTTCTAAAAAATACATTGTAATATTGAAAATTATTTTGTTATATGGTACAACAGAACAACTATACATGTGTATATGCCATTAAGAAATTTAAAATATAACTAGAATGATATAGAAAAATATTAATATCTACTTGTTTGTTTCTTCTTGAAGTTCAAGCATGGTAGACGCTTGGGGTGGCTATACGGTCCGGTCCGGTTAAATTGGCCCAAATTGATCTGGTCCAGTCCGGTCTTTTTGAAAATATAAGGACCAAAGCTTGGATTGGATACAGTTCGGTCTTGATCCGGTCCGGTCCCAATTCGGTCTTGATTTTATATTGAGCTTGTGGGGATTTGAGTGGCCTAAGGCCTAAAAGGGTGAGGAGTTGGTTAAGTTTTGTACTAAGTGCAAAGGTTTGTGACCGTTTATGCAAATTACCCTTAAGTTTTGGGTGTTGAGCTCTCTTATCCGGTCTTTATCCAGTTTTCGATCCGGTCCCGAACGGTTTTTTTTTACCTCAAATCCAAGCCCAAAGATTGGATTGGATTGTTTACTATCCTGTCCCGGTCCGATCTCGGTCCGGGTTATACGGTCCAGTTTCGGGTAAAACCAAGAACCCGGACCAAATAGCCAGCCCTACTAGACGCGATCAGTTTGAACTTTCTTCATTGCACTAGAAATCTCTGGTGTTGTTTTCTCTAATTGCAAAAAAAAAAGAGTAGTTTTAAAGAGTCTATGTGGCTTTAAGTCTTTCCTTTTGCACGACTGGTTTCAAAGACATTGAATCATCATCTTCTTTATTTCCAATCGAACTCTCAATAACGTCGGACACAATTTCTTCTAAACTTTATGTCTCGATACATTTGCAAAAATTTGAAATGCATGTAGGTTGGTTTAAAAAACACATTGTAATATTTGTATTGAACATTATTTTGTCATATGGTACATCAGAACAACTATACATGTATGTATGCCATCAAATACTTAATAGTCATATACTCATATGCACACACGGTGTGTATCAATTTCCTTCTCAGGCGACGCTGCACTCAGGAGGAAATCCCTGAGGAAACCTCCTGGAATCCTTGCAGTAATCGTAAATCATGTAATTCTTCTGAACCCATTTCAGCCTCTGCTGGCTCGTCGTATCAAGCTGCTGCGACATCCACGCAGCTGCACCAGAGGAACCCTTGTTGTTGTTGTTGTTGTTGCCGCAGGACGAGCCTCCATTAGACCACACGCACGCTTCGGCGTTGAAGTTCCTGTAGGAAGCCGTGAATGGCGCTTTCGACCAGTCCGTCTTCACCAGACCGCCACGCGTCGCCCAATCATCCGCGTTCCACAGGCTCGAGTAAATCCGCATCGGCTGGCTCTTGGGGAAAGGAACTCCTCTGCTCTCCAGGTTCTTGTACTCCCTGATTGGGGTGCCGTCCACCGAGAATCTGCACCAAATCATCATATCGTTAAATATATGATATAAGGTTTTGGTTAGAAAAAAAAGGGTTGATTTTTTATTAATGCCTTACATGATTCGCTGCGGGTTCCAGAGGATGGAGTAAGTGTGGAAATCCGCGGTGGGGTCGAACCAGAGATAGAACTGTTGCTCTCTGTTTCCTTTACCCTGTGCGAACACGTTGGTGTGGAGGATGTAAGGATCGCCGCTCAAATTTCCCAGGAACTCGAAGTCGATTTCATCCCACGTCGATCCTTTCGATGACAACTGCGAACGAAAGGATCCCATGAATTAATTCATGACGAATGAAGCAGAGGAAAAAAAAGGGAGATGCAGGGGAATCAAAAATTAGGCAACATACGTAATAGGCGGTAACGGTGCCAGCAGAGTTGCCAGGGACGAGTTTGAGCTGCATATCGATCTTGCCGAACAGGTACTCTTTCCTGGACTGGAATCCTGAGCCAGAGGACTTGTCGAGGGAAAGGGTGAGGAGATTGCCATTGTTGAGGATCTTTCCCCTGCCATCTCCCCATGTCACATCGAAGTCCTGGTAGAAATTACCTGCAGCAGAGGAGGCCACAGCTGCCAGCATGAACAGTAGGATGGAGGCCGAAGATGTAGCAGCCATGGTGATGTTATGCAGCAAGAAAGAGGAATGTTGTGTGAATTGGTGAGGAGAAATGAAGTGGGTTCAGCTAGGGTTTTATACTTGAAAAGAAAGAGCTGTGTCCAGTTGTTGTATGGTGGTGAAAGGGAAGTCAGGGGAGTTAAATGGGTGGGTTTGAAAAAAGATGGGAGAGTGGAGATATTGGATTGGACCCGTCAGCCATGGGAGGAGAGCATGATAGCATTGCCACCAAATGGCAAGGCTTACAGATGGCGGCAGCAGGTTGCCAGAAAAGCTTGATGTTTGAACCGAAAGCTGCATGGATGAATGGATGGGCAGCAAGACGCGGTTTTCATTATGAAAACCATTTTCCATCAGATGAGTGAGTCATGATCAGAGGTTGAATTGTGGGAAAAGGATAGTTCTAGATATGCATGACTGGTTAAATGTTTGTAATTGACCATTGAAGAAGTCAAATCTTATGTATATTTCTTATGGGGAGTCCTTTTACCCTCATTAAAGAAATAGAGAACTGCAACTCATACAGAAAAAGAGGATGCAAGTTCTTTAATTTCTGTTGTACTGTGGTTCCCCTTCCTCTTTAAAATTTCATACACTGCACATTTATAGCTGTTCGACTTATCTTGACCAAAAAAAAAAAGATATCGAGATTGGTTACATCAAGAACGAGAGGGCTGATGTTAAGAAATCGATAATAACCTAATTGTCATAAGTCGTCTAAGTCAACTTGTGAGTTTGAGATGAAGTGTTAATATTGAGGTTGTAAAGATTTGATATTATGTCATAAATCATATGGTGACCTCAAGAAATAGTATCGAAGGAACGAGAGAGGGGAGATCAAAGCTATATGGTTGGGCCACTGATGGCTTAGAGCCACAACATGGTAACTTAGGGCTGTCGATTTGGTTGGGCTTGGTTAACCAAATCATTAAGCATGAAAAAAACCAAGAATCAATTCAGGCAAATTCCGAAAAACCAAAATCAAGACCGTTAAGGGTCTAATCGGTTTTCGGTTAACCAATAACCAATAAGGCGTTAACGATTTTGGTTTAGATAAACCTAAATATCAAAAGTCAAACTCATAATTTTGGAAGTAAAAAATAATGGAGTCAGAAAATTAGACAACAAGAATAATGAAGATATTAGATATGAAAGAAGTCGACTACACAGAAGTTGGTTGTGTTACTTGTTGTGTATTGATTTAGTTTAGCATTATCGGGTTCTTATTGATTTTCAGTTTCATCCGAAACCAAAATCATTAAGATATTAAATGATTTAAAATAAAATAAAATTTGAAAAAAACTGTTATCCGTCTTATTAGTTTGGTTTCGGGAAAAAACCGAAAACCCAAAAAACCAAACTGACATTTCCGGGTGTGACTATCTTGCTTCTTCCTTTAATGGCTACACTCTTTTACATCAACCTCTATGAGTATACAAATCCTCAAACAAATGATAGCAGGAAAAACAAAATTCGTGAGAATCGATCACCTTTGAATTATACCTCGAATTTCATATTCAGTGAGAATAAGAACCATGGTATTCTTTATATAAAAATGTATGAAACATCATCAAGAGTTTATAAATAATCCAGTTTTAAATTTGTTTTTACACCCGTATCCAAACAAATTGTTGTTACGTGAGTTGACCTAGCCACACCCACTCTGAGAGGGACAGATTCATGGACCAATAACAACCTAAAATCCCCCCCACCCCCACTGTCGCCCAACAAAAACTAAAGAAAAGAAGAAGAAGAAGAAGAAGAAGAAGAAGAAGGTGTTGGTGGAGAGCCGGTGGTCGACTCCCATTGGTGCTCATCGTCCCCAAAATCTGGTCACTTTCCACAGAGCACAGGATTACGAATATGAAAGCTTCTGTAAAGTCTAAAAAAAGTAAAAAGTACTCATGATGACCACTGAAGAATGAATGGGGGCAGTTAGAACTTCACTACTGGGACAGGTTTATCCAGACTCCTCCAGAGGAACCTGGCCGCCATGCTATAGTACTGCCTACCTGCCACGTTAAGCCTTGCATTCACCACTTTGACATTGTTCATCCCTGATTATTGCTGCTGAATCCATCAGGTGGTATTCTATTGGTTGAGATGGGTCACTGCTCATGTGAAGGCCTAGTTTTCCTTTTACTCTGCCCTATCATAAGCCTTGTTATTAATTGTTAATTATTATTATATAAAAGTTTAGGTTTGAGTTACTATTTATTAGTGGCTCTCACACTCCTCCAAGTGCAAGTGGGGAAATTCAAAGTCTTTTTTTTACCTCACTCTCCATTCTACAACCTTTGTGTTTAGTTATTGTTCGCTAGATTTTCGTCTGTGGTATTTTGCACAAATCATCGCCTTTATGTTTTGTTATTGTTCGCTAGGTTTTCGGCTATGGCTTTTTGCACAAATCATCGACTTTGTGTTTAGTTGTTGTTCGCTAGGTTTTTGTCTATGACTTTTTGCACAAATCATCGCTTTTGCCCACCATTTTGCGGCTCATCTCGAAATACTTTTGGCGGGATCCTAAGTTGTTACCCACCACCGTTTCCTATGGCTTTTTGCACAAATCATCGGTTTTGCCCACCATTTTGTAGCTCATCTCGAAATACTTTTGGTGGGATCCTAAGTTGTTACCCACCACCGTTTCCTAAGGCTAGGGATGGCAATGGGTCGGGTTTGGGGCAGGTTTGCTTAAACCATCCCCATACCCATCTTCAGATACCCAAACCCATACCCCCCATACCCATGCGGGGAATGTTTTGCAAATCCATCCCCATACCCGTGGGTTTCGGGTACCCATGGGTAATACTCATACCCGTACATCCAACATTATTATACCTAAAACTTACAAGAAAAGTTCTAATTATAACTCTAAACAAACATATTATATCATGAACTCAACAAAACACGGTCATTTTTTTAATATGGTTCAAAGATTATGATCCTAAAATATCCATTAATACATAATATAGAGTATAATATTTTTCAAATTATTATGTTCTAACTCTGATATATCTACTAAATAATAATTAACTAACATAATCTTGTTGACAAGGGGGGAAAGTGAAAGAGTGAAATGAGATTTGAGAGAAATGAATTAGATTTTGATTAAGGTGGTCACTCAATTGCATTTCTACTATTTATTTTCTCAAGTTATCCTCATCATCATTGATAGATTATAATTTGATGCACATATTTTTTTATATATGAAGAAATTATCTTGGTGGGGCGGGTATGGGGATGGGTATGGGGCGGGGGAGGCTAAAACCATACCCGCCCCATACCCATCAAACTTTTTTGCGGGTTTTACCCATACCCGCCCCATACCCTGTCAAAGCAGGGATTCCTCGCGTTGACTGGGTCGGGGGCTCGGATGCCCGCGGCCATGGGTTTGATTGTCATCCCTACCTAAGGCCACTACCACGAGTTTTATATCGGGACCGAGTTTCATCCTCTTTAGTGTTTTTTTCTCCTTTTGTTGAATAACCCAAACACATTGGTATCCTACCTTGAACATAAATCATCGCCTTCTCAAAATACTGTAGGCGGAATCCTAAATTGTTCCTCACCACCGTTCCCAATGCTGCTACCACCATTTCCCCACCACCTTTTTGCAAAAATCATCGCCTTTATGTCTAGTTATTGTTCACTAGGTTTTCGTCTATGGCTTTTTGCACAAATCATCGCCTTTGCCCACCAATTTGCAGCCCATCTCGAAATACTGTCGGCAGGATCCTAAGTTGTTACCCACCACCGTTTCCCAAGGTCGCTACCACGAGTTTTGTATCGGGACCGAGTTTCATCCTCTTTAGTGTTTTTTTCCTTTTGTTGAATAACCCAAACACATGGGTATCATATCTTGAACATAAATCATCGCCTTTACCCACCATTTTGCAGCCCATCTCGAAATACTGTCGGCGGAATCCTAAGTTGTTCCCCACCACCGTTTCCCAAGACCGCTAATATGAGTTTTGCATGTGGACCAAGTTTCATCATCTTTAGTGTTTTTTCTTTCTTTTTTTCCTTTTTGTTGAGCATGATCACAATTGAACCCAAACACATGGGTATCCTAACTTGAACACAAATCATCGCCTTTGCCCACCATTTTACAGTCCATCTCGAAATATTGTCGGCGGAATCCTAAGTTGTTCCCCACCATCGCTTCCCAAGGCCGCTACCACGTTTTGTATCGGGACCGAGTTTTATCCTCTTTAGTGTTTTTTTCTTTCTCTTTTTCTTTTTGTTGAGCATGATCACAATTGAACCCAGTGTCGCTACCGAAAATCAATATCATATCTACTCAATGTTGGCGAGTTTTGTATCAGGACCGAGTTTTGTTTGCTTTAGTGTTTTTTATTGACTTTTACCTTTTTTTTTAGCATGATCACAATTGAACCCAAATCCATGGGTATCCAACCTAATTCGTTCCGGTCAAAGCGACTTGAAACAGACTTTAGCATTTATAAATTTCTCTTTTCTTCTTCTTTTGGTTGGGAAGACAATTGAACCTGAATCTAAGGTTTTGACGAGTGTTGTATTGTGAGCGATGTTTATCCGTTTTTGTAGTTAGCAGGTTGGACCAAGTGTTATTAAAAAATTGTTCAAAGCGAATTGAACACATTGTTGACCAGCTTTAGATCGAAAGCGAGTTTTGTACGCTTTAATGTTTTTTTATTTCTCATTTTCCTTTTCGTTGAGAATGACAATTGAACTCTGACACATTGTTGACGCGTTTCGTATCGAGAGTGATTTTTATTTGTTTTTGTAATTGCCAGGTTGGGTAAATTGTGAATTTGTTAAAATGGGTCGACCTGGTCAAAGCGAGTTGAATGCAGTGTTAATAGTTTGGGGTCATGAGCGAGTTTTATCCATTTTAGTAATTTTTTATCTTTTCCCTTTTGATTGAGAATGACAAATGAATGCAAACACATGAGTATACAACCTAATTCGACCCGACCAAAGCGACTTGAACCCAATTTTACAGATTTTCGGCGGGAGCGAGTTTTATCTGTTTTTGTAATTGGCGTGTTGTGTTAGGTGTGAATTTTTTCAAAACTCGGGCCAACCAGGTCAAAGTGAGTTGAACTTGGTGTTGACGAATTTTGAGTCGGTAGCGAGTTTTAGCTTTAGTGTTTTTCATTTCGCTTTTTCCTTTTGTTTAATAAAGACAACTGAACCCAAATCCATGTGTATCCAACATAATTTGACCCGATTAATGCAAGTTGAACCTTCTCAAACCTGCAATTAGTCCAAAAATTTCATAAAGAAGAACCACGATTACCTCAAACAAACAAAAAAAAAAAGAGTACGACTATGTTTGATCCGAATTTTAGAAGTTTTATGTTTCAAAATTTGAAGCCAAACCATACACCTCTAAAATTTCGCTTTTTAAAAAGCTTAAGTTTGCGTAACTTAAAAGCACAAGGTCGAGGGGACAGCGCACGAATTCGCTTTGTCTGCCGCAGGATGAGTGTGGTCCGTTGGATCGTTGGTAGGGATGGCAATGGGGCGGGTTTGGGGCGGGTTTGCCTAAACCATCCCCATCCCCATCTTCAAATACCCAAACCCATACCCGCCCCATACCCATGCGGGGGAATGTTTTGCAAACCCATCCCCATACCCGTGGGTTTCGGGTACCCATGGGTAATACCCATCCCCGTACATCCAACATTATTATACCTAAAACTTACAAGAAAAGTTTTAATTATAACCATAAACAAACCTATTATATCACGAAGTCAACAAAACACGGTCATTTTCTAAATACGATTCAAAGAATATGATCCTAAAACATCCATTAATACATAATATAGACTATAATATTTTTTAAATTATTATGCTCTAGCTCTTGATACATTTACTAAGTAATAATTAAGTAACATAATTTTGTTGACGAGGGGGAAAGTGAAAGAGTGGAAGGAGAATTGAGGGAAATGAATTAGGTTTTGATTAAGGTGGTTACTCAATTGCATTTCTACTATTTATTTTCTCGAGTTATCATCATCATCATTGATAGATTACAATTTAATCCACGTATTTTTTGATATGTGAAGAAATTCTCTTGGTGGGGCGGGTATGGGTATGGGTATGGGGCGGGGGAGGCTAAAACCATACCCGCCCCATACCCATCAAACCTTTTGCGGGTTTTACCCATACCCGCCCCATACCCAGTCAAAGCGGGGATTCCCCGCGTTGACTGGGTATGGGGCGGTCGGGTACCGCGGCCATGGGTTTGATTGCCATCCCTAATCGTTGGGTAGGGATGGATGTGTACTTCACGGAGCCGTTGGATGGGGGCAATGGCACATTGCTAACTAAAAAGAGTATAATATAGTTTCGTAGGTGATATCTAAACAATTAAATCCGCTGTAGCAATCTGGCAAATTCAATTGAGTCGAATTCCGGGTTCAAATCCCGGCAGCGGAAAACTTTTTTACTTTTTTTTTTTTTTTTGCAGTCTTTCTTATAGACCTGAAGTTTTTTACCTTAATATTTTTTTGGTAGAAACCAACCTTAATATTTAATAGTTAATACACAGCAAATGGATTGTATTGATTACACAAAGATCCCCAAAGAATAGAAGAATGGTGTCTAAGGTTACAAACAATCTGGTTATTAAGAGAGGTTGCATTCCTGGGGAAGCCCCTGCGGGAATCTCTTGTTATCAGCGCAGTAATTGTAGATCATGTAGTTCTTCTGCGCCCATTTCAGCCTCTCCTGGCTCGTGCTGTCCAGCTCCTCCGACAACCACTCGGCGGAAGAGGAATCCGGAGTTGATGCTGTTCCCGAGCAAGAAGACTTGCCGTTGGTCCACACGCAGGCATTGGCATTGAAGTTGCGGTAGGAAGCTGTGAACGGAGCATTCGACCAATCCGTCTTCACCAGCCCGCCCCTCGTAGCCCAGTCGTCAGCGTTCCACAGGCTGGAGTAGATCCTCATCGGCTGATTCTTTGGGAACGGGACGCCGTTGCTCTCCGCGTTCTTGAACTCTCTGATTGGGGTGCCATCCACTGAGAATCTGAAGAGAAAAACAGAGCAATAACAATTTTATGTCAGTAACCAATAATGATTCAGCAGGAAAATTGATTTGGGTTTATTAATTGTTGTCTGTGATTAGGCACTTACATGATGCGCTGTGGGTTCCAGAGGATGGAGTAAGTGTGGAAATCGGCAGTCGGGTCGAACCACAAGTGAAACTGCTGCTCTCTGTTTCCTTTCCCCTGGCTGAACACGTTGGTGTGGAGGATGTATGGATCACCGCTCAAATTCCCCAGGAACTCGAAATCGATTTCATCCCAGTTCGCTCCTTTCGAGGATAGCTGCAAACAGAAACAACATATCTAAATGTGAGCACCCCAGAAAGTTAAAGGCCCAAAAGTGGATTCAGTGAGAAGAAAACAGAGCAACTTACATAGTACGCAGTGACAGTTCCAGCAGAGTTGCCAGGGACGAGCTTGAGCTGCATGTCAATCTTGCCGAACAAATACTCGTTCTTGGACTGGAATCCCGAGCCTGAGGACTTGTCAAGGGAGAGAGTGAGGAGATCGCCATTGTTGAGGATCTTGCCTCTGCCGTCTCCCCATGTGACATCAAAGTCCTGGTAGAAGTTGGCAGCTGATGAAGAAGCCACAAGCACGCAAGAGACGGCAAGAAGCAGCACAAGTGAAGAAGAGCGAGCCATAGTGAGTAGTAGTTTTTGAGTATCTGGTATGGAATGGGTTGTGTTTCCTCTGTTTTGGGTAAATCAGAGTGTGTGGGTGATGATTGAAATGTGGAATGGCAATGCGATATTTATATGCAGGAGGAGGAGGAACTGATGGCATTGTTGCAGGAAAATGGGGTGGACGCGGAAGTTGGAAAATGGGAAGGAACCTTCTTCTTCCTGCTCCATGGCTAAGCTGAATTGTTCAAAAAAAAAAAAGGCTAAGCTGAAGCTGTGGACAGCTAATAAAGTAGAGACAGTGGAGTTGACGGAGGGACGGTGGCTTAACTTTTAGCAGCAGCTGGCACTTGGCAGCTTTCTTTTGCACCGGATCTTATCCCGTCACCATTTTTATAAGTGAGCTGATGGGCCTGACCGTCGCAAAAAAAAAGGCAGGCCCAATTTCCAGCCTAATTGGCCCATTAGTCCATGTCTAACTGACCCAGCTCTCGCCGGATCTTCTCCTCTCCTTAAAATATTAAAATTAACAAAAACATTAACCAGCTAACATTTTGGCCTTTTGGGGTATATTGCGAAAACTTAACGAGGTAGTTCAGAACTTGTGTCCCGACCAATCACAAGCCAATTTGTCATAAATCAAACGTGGCAGTGCCCAGCACTTCCCACGTGTCCATTACAAGGTGGAGAAAGAAGTGGGTAATAATACAATAACGTAATCTGCGGCAGAGCGGCGAATCCACCACCACGAGACCTTTCTCCTCCTTCGCCAGACTGTTCGATGTTCTGTCTCCCCCATTCTGATTCTGTTTCAGCTTCTCTGACTCTCTGAGAAGCGTCATCGATCGAATTTCATTTCACCCTGGTGTCAGAATTCATACACAGAGAAACCTCCAGAAAGTAGAGAGAGAGAGAGTCCGAGCTGGGGAAAATGCCGCCATAAAGAGAATATAATTCTTCTTTTCAAAAACCCTAGAATTCCAACACTTTCCTCCCTTTCCTTGTTGTGCTTGCTTTTCCCCCCTTCTCGCTTTCGGTCTCCCTTTTTAAGGGGGGTTCACTTGTAAAACTATTTCTTGGTGGTGGGTTTTCGTTTTGTTGATCGATCTGCATTTCGGGTTATAAAGTTGAGATCGTTTACCCCACAAGGCCCTCAGTCGTCGTTGCTTTTTGTTAGGTGAGTTCTCATTGTGAAGCTTTTGTAGACGAATTCTAATCGCGAGTTCCAGCCGTTCTTTCTCTGTTTTAGCGTTCAATTTTGCAACTTTATGATCAGATTCATTCTGGGTTTCTCTCCGATTTCCCATTTTCTTACTGAATTACGCTCAATTTGCAGGCAAGGTCGAAGTTCGCGATTGAATCATCAATCGTCTTCCCGGGGGTTCTGCAGCTGTGTGAATTATTCCCTTCTGATGTTTGATTTCCAAGTTCTGAATAAAAACCCTGTAAAATTTTCAGCTGGGCAATTGTTCCTGTACTCCATTCCCTCTGTTTTCCTTCCATCTCATGTTGTATACTTTATATGTTGTCTATACTGTCTTAGATTCCGTTTAAAAATTTGATCTTTTTTCTTCAACAACCTTTTCTTTGAGTGGAATCGGTTGTCCTCGGTTCTTCTGAGTTCATTTTGGCTTGGAACTGTTGAGTATTCAGTTCGGGGGAGTTTGATAGATATGGCGGATAGGTATAGATCGGCTTCGCTGGAGGACCTACCTTCGCACTTGATTCTTGAGATATTGACTACTGGAAGGCTTAGTGCCGGTGATCTTGTTCATTTAGAACTGACCTCTAGCATATTTGGAGGAGGACATGGGTTGTACCCTCAGAAATTCAGGTCCTTGGTGGATTTCGCGGCATTTCAGCTCTGTTTTTCGAGTAGTATTTACAAAGGAATGGGATGGAATTCTCAGAAACAGTTGTTTGATCGCTGTGGTGGGAACTGGAAGAGGCTCTTGAGGTTCCTGCAGGCTGTGGAAGAATCATCGGGCATGGTCGAGACTTCTGCAGGCAATGTACTATCTCTTTATGCAACTTACTGAGTTCTTTTAAGGTTTCAACAATATATAATTTAGCACAGGTCATATGTTTCATGTCAACTAGGAAGGCTAGCTGATAGTGTTACTTCTTCCTATTAAGTGAACCATGTTGCTGCAATTCAGGGTCCTGTTCTTAGCATCAAAACCAGTGGAACCTTTTGATTGATTATGAGTCAGTAACTTTTTTTCTTGTTTCTTGATTGTCGAATAAGCAGATGCAGATTACTACAGGGATGTATCACACGTTGCTGATCAGCAATTCGTCCATTTATTCTTGTGGTTCCAGTTTGACTGGTGCTCTTGGACATGGACCTGAAACAACACAATGTGTTGCATTCACTCGAATTAGTTTACCACCATTGGCACATGTTGTACAAGTCTCAGCCTCCCATAATCATGCTGCTTTTGTTCTGAATACTGGAGAGGTATGCTGGTGACTATATTCCATCCTTATTGTGGATTTTTAAATAAATATTAAACTATCATCGGCTTAGTTTTGCCTACGTTGAATACAGGTTTTCACTTGTGGAGGCAATTCGTCATTTTCTTGTGGTCATCGGGATACCAGCCGCCCCATATTTAGGCCTAGACTTGTGGATGCAATGAAGGGAGTTCCTTGCAAGCAGGTGAGCTCAATATTGTTCTTCTCGCGAATTGATGCATGCTGCTGTTCTAAGAATGTTTAGGTCATAGTTCTATTGTCCGATTTGAAATCTTTTATGCTCCATCTGCAGTTCAAGTCTTCCAGTTATCATGTGTCTCCTACGATATTTAAGATAGCTTTGTAGTAACTATTGAACGTTTTGTTTTTGGTTGAATCCGTATATTAGCTAACCTAAAAATAAAGACAGTGTATGAAACTCTTAACCTGCAAGCTGCTAGTTGAGCATAGTGTATACAACTATTAAAGTAGAGATCTCTGGTTTGCTTTTCAGGTTGCCACGGGACTCAACTCTACAGTATTCCTTTCTAGACAGGGCAAGGTTTACACCTGTGGAGCTAACACATATGGGCAACTTGGTCATGGTGACACAATAGATCGACCGACACCATCAATTGTTCAATTGCTGGAGACAACTGGCTCCGTGGTTCAAGTTGCTGCTGGTCCCGGTTATGTTCTATCTGTGACAGACAATGGAGTAGTTTACTCTTTTGGTTCTGGTTCTAACTTTTGCCTGGGCCATGGAGAACAGCATAATGAGTCGCTGCCTCGTGCAATCCAGACGTTTCAGAGGAAGGGTATTCATGTGGTTCGTGTGTCTGCCGGGGATGAACATGCTGTGGCACTCGACTCAAATGGATTTGTCAGTCTCTGCATCCAAGATTTAACTCAGCCATGCATGTTGAAGATTTTTCTTGCTTCTGACTGGAACTTTCTTTTTTCATGTGGTTTAGGTATACACATGGGGTAAGGGCTATTGTGGAGCACTAGGCCATGGAGATGAGAGTGATAAGACCCTTCCAGTAATATTGAACAGTCTTAAGAACCACCTAGCTGTTCAGGTTTGGATTACATCTCATATGCAAACAATAAACTTGGATTACTGCATCACATTGTAGATTTCACGAGCTTTCATTGATTGTTTATATACCCAATCGAAACCTTATCTATGGTTTTATGTGTTTCTCTTATCTTGTTGGTTTTGCAGGTGTGCGCGAGAAAGAGGAAAACGTTTGTTCTGGTGGATAATGGTTCAGTTTACGGTTTTGGTTGGATGGGGTTTGGCAGTTTGGGGTTTCCTGATAGAGGACCATCTGATAAAGGGACGAAACCCAGGGTTTTGGACAGCTTAAGGGCTCATCGTGTATCTCAGATAAGCACAGGCCTGTACCACACCATTGCAATCACCAACAAGGGCCGCATATTTGGCTTTGGAGACAACGAAAGAGCACAGCTCGGACACGACTCACTGAGAGGATGCCTCGAGCCCATGGAGATCTTCGTTGAAGATGTGGCAGCAGATGAAAATGATGCAACACAACAGTGAAACCGGAACGATGGACAAAAAAGAGGCCGCTTTCCAGCCTGAATCTTTAATTAATGCTAGTGTAACCGAAGAACAAGCTGAAGTAATGAGTTGATGTTGTTGTAGACTTGCAGTAGAAACTGAATATGATTTATTTGACCACACAATGGTGTGAGCTTTTCAATTGCTGCTCAAGTGCCATGAGTGTCTTTGTAGTCCAGGAAATCGTATATCAAGGATAGCTTTGGCCCCCTCTTTACATAATTGTGTCGACGGCAGATTTCATATCCTGAAAGTCCCCTCGCAGTCCCCAAGCCAAGGTAAGCCTGCCTTACCGTCGAGCTCCCGGAGACGATGCAGGCCACCGGGATTGTAAGGCGCTAGTGGCGGCCGGAGCAGTGGACAGCCAGAAACTGTTAGAAGTATAGGTATCAACTTGTAATTGTACAATAAGTGACGTGAGAAGGGGTTAGGGTTATAGGTTAGCCGAGTATATATATGAGTTGTGATGGCTGACCTATGTAACGACTACAGTGAATAAGATCGATCTCTGCCTTGTGCCGTGGACTAGTCTTGACGATACTCGTCAAGCAAACCACGTAAATCCGATGTCCCTCTTCTCTCGTATTTGTGTTGATTATTATTATCATGGTATCAGAGCCTCAGGATTCTTGATCGCGCCTGACGGTTTGAGTTTCGTGTCTCCGTGAGTTAGTTCGTGTATTCGTGATTGCGCCTGGGTTTCCTTGCGTGGTTGTATCTCTGTCCGTGCGAAGAGGTTCTTCTTTGCGGCGCGATATATTTTACTGGGTATTTCTGGGCCTCTTCTCCTGTTAGCAACGTGGTATTTTTGCTGGGTATTTCTGGGACTCTATTCTTGTTAGCTACGTGGTGTTTTGCTGGGATTTCTATGCCCCTTCTTTTGTTGGTTGCACAGTACATTGGGGTTCTTCTTCTGTTGGCTGCGAGATCTCTTGTTTGGTGATCATGGAGGGTTCCAAATCTGATGCGGTGGCTGTTCGTTTTAACGGTAAGAATTTTGCACTTTGGGAATTACAATTCCGCCTTCATGTACAAGGACGTCGCCTTTACTCATTCCTCGATGGATCTGCTTCTCAACCTGCGGCGGATGCGGCCGTCAAAGAGCGTGAGGATTGGGCTGCCAACAATGCGACCGTGATGTCCTTGTTGCTGGGCTCGATGGAACCAGGAATTGCACTCAGTTTGCGTGGCCTTCCTACGGCTGCCGCCATTTGGAAGCACATGGCGGAATTGTACTCCAAGGCTAGCGCTTCTCGCAAGTATGATGTTGAGTTTGACTTGGCTGCATTGAAACAAGGGGAGATGGACATTAGTTCCTATTATCAGGAGGCCCTGACGCTGTGGACGGAACATGATTTGATTACTAGTTCTCTAGTCTCTGCGGCTGCATCGTCGGAGGTTCTCCAGGACCGAGCTAGCTCAAGGATTATGCATTTTCTCATGAACCTTCGCGCTGAGTTCGAGGGAATTAGAGCTTCCCTGCTTCATCGTGGTGTCTCCACTATTGAGGGTGTCTTACCCGAGCTTCTCCGAGAAGAGACAAGATTGAAGAGTCAAGCTAAACTTGACATCCATGCCTCTGATCCCAGAGCTGTGTTTGCTGTACGCCCAGGCCGCCCTCAGTTTGCTCGCACCTCCTCGGGTGTGATCATCTGTCACTATTGCAAAGAACCCGGTCACATCCAGTTTCACTGCAAGAAACGTAATACTTGCAACTATTGTAAGCTCGAAGGCCACCTCATTGCTGACTGCCCGACATTGGCGCAACGAGGCCGTAATCGCAATGGTGCTGGTAGCTCTCGTTATCGTGGTAGCTCTCGCCCACGACCCTCCGGCAGTGCCTATGCAACCTCGATGGACTCCTCTTCTTCGCCTAGCATGTCTCCGGAGGATGTGCGCCGGCTGGTTCAGGAAGCTTTGAAGGAGGCTTTTGCATCGGGTAAGCCTTCCTCCTTTTCTCGTACTTGGCACGTAGACTCAGCAGCTTATAACCATATGACTAGTGATCGTCACCTGTTCTCCGAGCTTAGTTCTTCTCCGTCGCCGCTAGCTTTGCAAGCTGCTGATGGGTCTCGCATGCAAGTTCATGGGACTGGTTGTGTGGTCCAGCCCAATATTTCACTCCCTAATACATTATATGTTCCTAATCTGGTTCCCAATCTTGTATCGGTGGGACAATTAGCTGAAGCTGGGTGCCGAGTTATGTTTGATGAGGCTGGCTGTGTTGTGCAGGACAAGAACACGGGAGTGGAGATAGGGCGGGGGAGTAAGCAGGGTCGAGTCTATCTATTGGATCGTATCTCGAAGTTCGGAGCAGTGGCCGATGGCAGTTCTGGGTCGGGAAGCACCGCTGGAGTTAGTGTGAAGAGCTTCGTAGATGCTTCTAGTAGTAGAAATGTTATTTCTTGTTCTGGTTTTTCGGCTGAATTATCAAATTGGGATTTGTGGCATTTTAGACTGGGTCATCCCAATTCTGCAAGACTTCGTACTATGTTTCAGAACCATTGGTTATCTGGATCTATTTCTGGGAATAATTCACATGATTGTGTTCATTGTTTGCAAGCTAAGCTTTCACAGAAATCATTTACTGCGAGTGATACAGTCTATACTGAACCTTTCGAGTTAGTTCACACTGACTTATGGGGGCCGTCACCTGTGACATCGCGGTTGGGTTTCCGTTACTTTGCATTATTTGTTGATCAGGCGACCAGATTTACCTGGGTGTACTTCTTGCGGCAGAAGTCGGAACTGTTGACAGTAGCTCGTGAATTTGTGCAGATGGTGTCGACTCAATTTGGTAAGGAAATTAAGATCTTGCGATCAGATCCAGGTGGCGAATTCTCGTCAAATTCACTAATGGATCTATTTCGAGACCGCGGCATACTTCAACAATTATCATGTCCGGGAGTTTCACAACAGAACGGACTGGTCGAAAGAAAGCATCGTCACGTTCTTGAGCTTACCCGAGCTATATTAATTCATTCACAGGTGCCATCGGGATTTTGGGTTGAAGCAGTGCATACAGTGGTTTATCTGATCAATAGACAGATTACATCGACTCTCCAACAGCGTAGTCCGTATCAAGCTCTTTATTCTTGTCTCCCCAACTATGGCTGGTTGCGTGTGTTTGGGTGCATATGCTATGTGCTGGTATCCCGACGAGAGCGAACTAAACTCACTCCCAAAGCTGTCAAGTGTGTATTTATCGGTTATAGCGATAAGCACAAAGGCTATGTATGCTATGATGTGCCTAAAAGACGAGTCCGGATATCATGTCATGTTAAATTTCTAGAGCATCAATCATATTATGGCTCGTCTAACACCTACCCAGCTGGTTCGGAACTAGATTTCTTGAAGGATACTTGGTCTCTTGATGCTGAAGCTGCAACGGATACGCCAGCTGATCCGGCCGAGGATAATGACCCGGATTCGCCCAATCCCAGTCCCACGTCCTCCATGACTTCGTCAACTTCGTCCAGCTCCACCTCGGCAACTTCGATGAGCTCGCCAGTATCTATCTCCTCCTTGGATGATGAGAGTACACCAACCTCACTAAATTCCTCACCAACGTCATCCTTTTCCTTCTCGTCCAGTAACTTGTCTTCTCCTGGGTCATCTATATCCCCAATTCCCTTTGAGCTGGCGCAACCTAATGAGGAGCCAATCTTGCGACGCTCCACTCGCATTACCAGAGGTAAACCACCACCTCGTCACAATGATTTTGTGTCTTACTCTACCTCTCCTGTTTATGTCCCAGCAACATACAAACAGGCCAAAGGCATTGAACGGTGGGAGAAGGCAATGGACGTCGAGAAGGATGCTCTTGAAGCATCACACACATGGGACTTGGTTAAGCGCCAACCTGACATGTCGGTCATTGGGTGTAAGTGGGTGTATACACTTAAGATGTTGCCCGAAGGTACGGTGGAACGAGAAAAGGCGAGGTTGGTAGCTCAAGGGTTTCGACAAGAGTACGGTGTCGATTATGAAGAAACATTTGCACCGGTGGCAAAGATGCAGACTGTACGGAGTTTACTGGCGGTAGCAGCAATGAAGGAATGGCGGTTATTGCAGTTAGATGTGAAAAATGCGTTTTTGCATGGGGATTTAAAAGAGACTATCTACATGGAACGACCACCGGGCTATACGCGAGGGGACGATACTATGGTCTGTCGTCTACGTCGTTCTCTGTACGGTCTAAAGCAAGCTCCCCGGGCGTGGTTCGAGAAGTTTCATGCTACCATTTTACATGCTGGTCTGGTGCAGAGCAAGAATGATCCATCCCTCTTTCTTCGATCGACTGGTAGAGGTATTACAGCACTTCTGATCTATGTAGATGACATGGTGGTGACAGGAGATGATAGTGTTGGTATTGAGGACTTGCTGTTGGTACTACGCTCGGCATTTAATCTTAAAGAACTTGGAGATCTTTCTTACTTTCTTGGCTTGGAAATTCATAGGTCTACTGCAGGTATTCATGTCGGACAAAGGAAATATATTGTTGACTTGCTCGAGGAAGCTCAGATGGATGATTGTCTCCCCTGCAACACACCCATGGAACAAAATCTCAAACTACGGCAGCTTGAGGGTGATTTACTGCCGGATGGCTCCCTATATCGGAGTATTGTGGGTAGCCTCATCTATCTTACACATACCCGACCTGACATATCTTATCCTGTACAGATTGTAAGTCAATTCATGTCGGCTCCGCGCAAACCTCACTGGTTGGCGGTTCAGCGAATTTTGAGATACTTACGTGGCACTCAGGAGGTTGGTTTGCTATTTCCAACTGGAGGTGCCTCTATTCTTGAAGCTTATTCAGATGCAGACTATGCTGGTTGTCAAGACACACGTCGTTCTACCTCTGGCTGGTGCATCAAGATTGGAAATTCATTCATATCTTGGCGGTGTAAAAAGCAAGATCGGGTATCAAAGTCATCTACAGAAGCTGAATACCGGTCCATGAGTGAAGTGTCTTCTGAGATTGTGTGGTTGCGCAGGCTGTTAGCGGAGCTCGGGGTTACTTGTCAGGATCCAGTTCGGCTATACGTCGACAATACGAGTGCTATCCGTATTGCAACTAATCCGGTGTTACACGACAGGACAAAGCATATTGAAGTGCACGTTCATTATGTTCGACAGCTTGTAGCCGAAGGAACTGTGGAACTCACCTATATCACTTCAGAAGACCAAACAGCGGATCTTTTAACTAAGGCCATGTCTACTTCACGTCACTGGTTTCTAGCACACAAATTGATGTTGCGTCAGCTACATCAATTTGAGGGAGGGTGTTAGAAGTATAGGTATCAACTTGTAATTGTACAATAAGTGACGTGAGAAGGGGTTAGGGTTATAGGTTAGCCGAGTATATATATGAGTTGTGATGGCTGACCTATGTAACGACTACAGTGAATAAGATCGATCTCTGCCTTGTGCCGTGGACTAGTCTTGACGATACTCGTCAAGGAAACCACGTAAATCCGGTGTCCCTCTTCTCTCGTATTTGTGTTGATTATTATTATCAGAAACTGGGTTCTTCGGTAATGCAATGCCAAGATGTCGTCACTAAAGGTTCAATCTTGACAAATAGGTATCTAAAAATTCATCGACTAATGACTTGAAGATTCTCTCTCTCCATCCATTCTCTACACTGAATGCAGTTATACGATTTTGAACTTACAATTTCTTTACAGAGTACAAATTTACTACAGAAGTGATCTGCAGTCTGCAGTATTCTGCACCACCAGAAAGCTTGACTATGGTTTTGCCATGGCCATAGACTGGGTGGAAAAAAGAAAAGAAAGAAACTACTCAACCTTAGCCTGGTTCTGGAGTTACCCTCAACCTCAGAAACTACTCCAAAACAAAAGAAGAAAACGAACATTAATCTACAAAACCAATTGACAAAAGCAGGCTACATACATTTTACACATTTTTACAGGCGATGGCCTCAAAAATGTTCCCTGAAAACTCTCAAGATGCTAGCAAAAGTCACGATCCCAACCAAGCTACAATCTTCCTCCATAACCCAAACGTAGTTCACCCTGTGCGCAATGGCCTGAACCATCACTGCCACAAGCGAGCTCTTCGGATGGCAGACGATCGCCTCCGCTCTCCTCACCATCCTCGCCGAGTAGCTCATCGACCTGTTGTACTGCTTCCTGGACGACATTGACACGGCCCGCGGTGTATCCTCGTCTTCGGACGATGACGAAGAAGATGAAGAGGATGATAAACTGGAATTCGACGAAATGACAAAGTTGTTGAACTCATCAAGCATCGCTTCAAGCCCTCTCCGTTTCAGCCCGGCCGTCACCACTCTGGCCAGATCCTCTGGCGGGCGCCCACAGTCAATGTAGGCCATCAACTCTCCAGCGGAAAGCGTCGTGATCGCAGCCGCCACCGTCTCGTCACAAGACGACAGAGCGAAGGGCGAAATCTCACCCATCAAAATCCCGTCGCTGTCGACGACGGCCACTGAAGTCTGGTCGGCGAGAGAGGCGGAGATGGCCTCCAGAGCAGAGGAGGCAGGGGAGTGGTACTCAATTGTGAGGACATCAGTGGTAATTATCCCCAGGGAGTCGATCGAGAGAGCCGGGAGCGGCGAGAAAATGGCGATTGAGCTCAGAAAGAAGCGAATCACGTCTTCTTGCGTCAGCCAGCAGTACTCCCTCCCGTTGTGGAATGTCGAAGAAGACAGCTTCTGCTTCTGCTGCTGCTTCTTCCTCATCCAGCTCTGCCTAGCTCTGATCGGAACCACCAAGTTCTGCGCGCCTTTCAGTATCAGATCTATCGCTTCCCCCAAACTGCACAAAACCCCCCCAAATTTCTCAAATTCAAACCCCCAAAACCAATCAATTCGTAAAATTGAATCCAACCCAATTTCCAAAACCAGTTCTTACCTGCAAGAGGGTTCAACGTGGGCGACGAGACTCGGTACGGAGGGTGGAAAGAGAAGGGAGAGCGGCGAGAGCAGAGCAGCAGCAGGGGAGATCAAGCTGTCCTCTCTACAGAGGAAGCAGATCAAATCCACCATGCAAATCTTGCCAATACATTTGCAAGAGTGAGAGGAAAGATCGGAATCAAGACCATCCTCCTCGTGGTGGCAGGTCCAGAGGCTGAGGAAGGTGTCGTGGTGGTCGGAGGATTGCAGGGCGGAGATAGCTTCAGCGACGGTGGCGGAGAGAGAAAGGGATCTGAGCGCCGGCTTGCCCAGACAGAGGTCGGATACCTCCCGGTGTGCCAAAAACTTAGCTGCTGCCATACAAATGGAATCCGGCCGGTAATGGCGGTAGAAGTGTGTGTGTTAGGTGGCGAGCAGGAGAATGAAGATGACAACAAGTAAGAGTGGCAATGGCGGTGGTGGTGGGGATGGTGTAATGACTAATGAGTAATTGACTGAGCAGAAATATATAAAGGGCGGAGGGAGCGGGTGGGGTCCACCTGGCCAGGTGGCAAATGGGACTCGTTTGTGAAAAGTGTTGAAAGAAAGTACGGGTCCGGTACAATACTAAAAGTCTGTGGGGTCGTATGCCAGAAAAAAGAACCATTAACGATTCAAAACGAAACGTAAACGAGTACTAGGACGGAGGGAAAAAAAAGAGTGGTGGGCTCCACCCACCTTATGGTTTTGTACTTTTGTTTATTTTATTTCGTCCGGGTGGGTTTTTGTAATTTTCCTTGCTGACCGGAGAGTTTGTTTTTGCCTTTTTGGTATTCTTTTTCTGGACTGCTGCGGCCCATACCGTTTCACAGAGATAGATTGTCGTTTTGCAGCGATGCGTAAGTAAAGAGGATGACATACGTGTAAGCTTGCGCGGGTAAATTCATGCACAGCTCTCTCTGCCATTGTACGTGTGTCGTTTGCTTTGAACTTGATATCGAAATTATTCGAGCCGTGAAATATTTCTGTGTCCATGGCGCGCACCATTGCTGACTTTGAATTTCCGCTCACCAAAAAAAAAAAAAAAATAGTGCGCGCCATGGATTTTTAGTTTTTACTGGCGCTGTACTCTCCTAGTGCTGTGATTGGACCGAGTGGGTGTTTTGGGCTTCAGCGGATAAAGCTGGCATGCATGCACACGTCACATCGGCCCGCCATTATTTTGTCGCAACCCACCAGCGATATAAAACCCAAAACAGAGAGTGGCCCATAAGGAATGGGCCTTCTTGGTTGATATATCAGACTGATTACGTTACGGGCTCGTTACTGTGGCAAAGCAAAGTCACTGTTCCTACTCTCTTCAAGTTATCCCTCAGTCCTCAACCCATTTTTTCTGATCCTTCTTCTCCTTGTGGCAGGGGTTTGTAATGGTGATGGCCGTGACGCGTTTTGTTCTCTTCTTATGATCTTCTGTTGCATCTCTGGACTCCACAACAACGTGCCATATGCAGCTGATCCAATAATAATAATTATTGTAGGTCAAATATGCACATCAACTTGCGAGCGAATTGTTAAGTTTAATATACGGGTCTATTTCTATATAGGCAGTTCGACAAAGAAACAAAAAATAGGTCAAACATCGACATCAACTTGCGAGTTTTTTTTGTTTTTTTTGTTTTTTTTTGAGACAGCCTGCAGATCGGCCGTGACGATAATGCTACAACCCACATGGTGGCGAGGAGGAGGAGGAGGAGATGAGGACAGGAGAGATTGAGCTGGCGAGTGTGTCCGTACTTTTCAGGCATGCATGTGCTTTTGGGAGAAGAGAAGTGCTGAAATGAAAGACTTAGCCGCATTGGTGAAATGTAAGGTTGCTTATACATCGACCGCCTTACCCTAAAACCTTTGTTTTGTTCGTCACATTCACGTCCACTATACTTAGAGATTTACATGGATGCATATGATGCGGAATGGTTATGGTACACCGCGTACTATTAGGAGGACCGTACTTTGAGTGTTATTCCGCGGTTGAGATGAAAAAAACTCACTTTTTTTTTAATGGTTTCGGTCTCTTTTTTTTAAGTATAAATGAGTGGATTGAGGGGATGAGACTTCGTTACTAGTCATGATGATTGACGAGTGAGGTTTTTGTGTCTAGCAAAGTTGTGGAACGGAACACATATTATACATACATGTGGTATGTGTACATATCATTACATGATATGTTTTCACAACTTGTATTCGGAATGAGCAGAACAAATGTTAGAATATGTATTCGAATTATAAAAAAAAAAAAAAAGACATCAGCAAATATTTGATGATGATAACCAGTAATGATTCCCTATCAGCATAGTTAGTAAAATACGGTACGGGAAAGTTACGTAAAAGATACGTACGGGCATTATACTTCATCTTTAAGTTAAAATTACGTTTAATAGTACGTTAATAGTCATAAATATATAAAATTAATCATTTTAAAAATAAATAAATATATAAATAATAGTAAAGTTAACAATTTAATTCGTAAAATACGGATAATAAACGTGTTATACGGGTTTTATACGTGTTTAGTACGGGAACCATGAAATGAACGGGGGGAAATGAAACGGCTTGACAATAATACGGATACGGAAGTTTTAAACGGATAAAGTACGTACGGGTACATATACGTGTATTAAACGGAGTATTTACTAACTATGCCTATCAGTACAATAATTACATTACTTCCCCCTCTCGCTATAGCATATTATTAATTGATCGTGCAAGCCAGGCCAACTGCTCATGTGCTTCCCTTTTGGCGTGTTATTCCATGCATTGGTCGGTCACCTTCTTATCAATCATTAGCCGTAACAAGCCGAAGAAATGGACTTCTTCTATTGTTTTATGAAACGAGGAGTTAGTAGTCGTATATAAAATACTGACCGACATGCATCCTCCATCGTCCGTTCAGCATATATAGTTTATATTTGCGATGCACAGAGATGCCTATATTCTGTTTGGATTGTTTGGATGGAAGTGGCAACTTGGCAACTTGTGTTTCTGTTATACACCATATATAGGAAGGTGCTTAATTGATTAACTAAACAGGGTGAACGTGGGATTTTGGCTAGTTGGATTAATAACGTGGGGATATATGGGTCAGACTGACGTACACCAGTTTGGATAGTGGGTTGCGTCGGTAGCATGGTGGTGGTGATGGTTGAAGTACCAATTTGGTTTTGAAAAAAAGTGTAGAAGAAGTAGGGATGGGTAATGAGTGGGTCGGACCGTTTTTTTTTGTTAAAATTTATTTACTCGGTGGGAACAAAAACGATCCTTACCCATTGGTTTGTACAATTATGACTGGGTTGGATAGGTGATGACAGATATATAGTTGGTTTGGAGTTTGGTAAATTTGGTGGATTAGAATATTTTTTTTTTATCGCATCATAAGATAATTGTGGGACGGAAAAGCTTACAACAAGCTAATTGAATTTTAAAGCTACAAAAATTTGCGGAATCGAAAATTATTGAGCACAATCTATACATAATATTATGACAATTCAAAAGTAATTGTTTGCCACCTAAGCACTTGGAGAGTTCACAAATTGCCAAGGTGGATAATATTTTTACAAAAAGAAAAATAGTTATTGATATATTTATGGAGCTATCTCTCTCTTCATTTAATATTTCATTTCTCTTTTATCTTTTTTTTTTGTATTATATTAATGTACACAATAATAAATAATGTATGAAAAGTGACATATATTACATTTGTTATCTCTAATTTTTTTAATATTTAATTTTCTTTTCCAATACTTCCTTTATGTTTTTGATTTTACTTTTGCATTGTATTGATGTACGCAACAATAGACTATTGTTTTTGAGTCACACATATAACTTTTTTCTCAACCAAACAAATATCTTATTAAAGCTCACTAAGTAAACTTTTAACTCACTTTTAAAATAATTTACAAATATGTTACATTTTAATGAACAATTTATACAAACACACATACATAATAACATTTTATAGCGACAAAATAAAGATGGAAATTAAAGAGAGAAAACAAGAAACGTTTGAATAGAAACTTGACCAAGCAATAAAATCTATTTCTTAAACAAAAACCTTATTCATTCTAATTAAGTGAAGACATATGAATCATAGGTGTGCAATAATTTACAATATATCCTAGGTTCAAATTAGTAATTTTTGCATTTTTGCTCTAGATCGTGTTAATTGAGCAAACTCTAATGAGTTTTACGTCATATGCTAAGAAATTTAATTTTCAAACTTGGAGTAATAAATTTTCAAGGATTATAAATAAAAATTTTCAAAATGGCTTCGGTATGATCGTTTATGAACTTGACTTCATATCTTAAGATGAGACACGAGATACATTAAAAAATGATACATGTGAAAGTTAGCTGGATCTTTGCTAAACTGTATGTTAAACATCATGTGTTCATTAACCACTGACCTATGCATTAATCAAATAAAGGTTTAAAATCTATCTATCTATCTATCTATCTATGGCAATTCAACAATAGTTTGTTGCCACATAAGCACTTGAAGAATTTACAAATTATCATGGTTGACACTTTTTTTACAAACACAAAAGTAAGTTAATGCTCAATTTATGTAGCTATCTCTATCTTCATTTAATGTTTCCTTTTGTTTTATTTAATAATTCATTTGTACATTTTGTAGTATATATGTGTAGCAGCAGTATACTAATGTTTGGAGGCTGACATGTATCGCGATTGTTTAAACAAAAATATTTGAATAAATCTTATAAAGTAAATTTTCAGTTAACGTCATATGCTAAGTAGGTGTTAGGCCATTACCTTTTGATTTTTCGTTAGGAGAAGAAATTTTGAGTGAAGGAAAGCAAACCAAATAACGGGTGTTAAATGCAATAGAGAGTGGAGATACCCGGGTAGACGAAACTAACTATGTCAACAATTTGGTGGCGCGTGTGAGAAATGGTGCAGGAGGACAATTTAAAATTCAGCTGGCGATGTTATTATATGGGCCATGAATTGGTGGACAAAGGTGAGGATTGGACAGAGCAGATCTGGTATAGAACTTCAGTAGCGGTCGTGACAAAATGTGAGAGGAGACAACATAGCAATTGATACATATAGAGTAAATAACATTTAAATAGCTAAACCTTTCAGTTTTTTTTAATTATTAGCCAAACCTTTAAAACTACAAATGATTAGCCAAATATTTTGTATCACATCAAAATATTAACCATTTTTTTTGTTATCATTAATAATTTTGTAACTCTTTTTTAATTAAAATACTAAATTGGATTATAGACCGTCACGTGTCTCTTCCAACTCATCATCATGTTGTTGAGTCAACGTTACTAACAAAAATGCTAACGGGGAGTTAACGTTTGGCTAATACTTTGTATTTTGAATTTTTTTTTGAAAGATTTGGTTAATAAAATGTATTTACTCTGTTATATAGTATACTAAATTTAGGTCTCTTGATAGACATA